GGGGCCGTAAAGTCAAGTAGATCTTACTCTCATCTATGAAAATTGATCGTCTACTGCTATACTTAACCATATATCGTGCCCGATCGTCGATTTCTAATGGCTTAATGCAATTGTTTGCCTGTCTGGCCATTGGAATCGGGCTCTTTGAAGATCCAAAAGTCTCCGGTTTTCTTACATTTCTGATCGGATTGGCAAAAACTTCAGAATTTGTATTGACCGCCGTTCAACTGACAGCGTTGTTTTCCCCCAAAAGTGGGCGGAGCCGTTATTTTTGCCCGGAAGTGACGCATTTGTTACTCTCATCCTCTGAGAAGAAAGAACAGTAACAGAAGAGCCATGTGGCTTCAGCTTCAGGCTCGATCGCCATTCAAATTACAGCGTTGTTTCCCCCAAAAGTGGGCGGGGCCGTAAAGTCACGTAGATCTCACTCTCATCTATGAAAATTGATCGCCTACTGTTATATTTAACCATATATCGAGCCCGATCGTCGATTTCTAATGGCTTAATGCAATTGTTTGCCTGTCTGGCCATTGGAATCGGGCTCTTTGAAGATCCAAAAGTCTCCGGTTTTCTTACATTTCTGATCGGATTGGCAAAAACTTCACAATTTGTATTGACCGCCGTTCAACTGACAGCGTTGTTTTCCCCCAAAAGTGGGCGGAGCCGTTATTTTTGCCCAGAAGTGACGCATTTGTTAAATATCCATAAAGAAAAAGAAAATCTCTTTACAGTTCTGTTTCATATGGATGCTGAGAGATGTATCCATAGATCTCTTCATGTTGCTCTCAAAGTGCACCAGATTAATGCTTTCAACTTCAATATTTAAAAACAAATCTTCCCGGGGGAACATCCCCCCCGGACCCCCCGAGAGGAGGTGAGGAGCCCCCTAGAGGAGGTGAGGTCCGCCCCCCACTCATAAAAAATAGCACTTTACCCCTGCCTATATGCCGTGAGCTGATTATGGAGCCTTCATTGTAACAGTAATTCAGATGCAATTAGCCTAAAAGGCCTCAAATTGGAAGCACTGTCTGGGCCGTCTTTTTCACTCAATTCTGCAATAGGTAGATCTCGCCTTTAACCTAGGCCGAGGTCGGTGATCTTGGGCTTAAAAAGGTTGGTGACCACTGTTCTAGACCGACCATCTTTTGGGGCTTGAAAAGCACCGGGCTTCGGAGCTGAGAGGCGGCTCCGCTGCGGTGTGAACAGGAAAAACCGGTGGTTTTCAGGCTCTAGCTCCGAACCGGCCCTGGAACCGCATTGGTGTGAAAGGGGCATTCGATACTGAGAGTTGGGGCCAGGCTTGGAAATCCCCTAACATAGGTCTGCAGAGGTGAGAAAGTACACTTCTCAATTAAAGGGATATTTAGAGTCGTAGAAGGTGCTTTTTAGATGGCAGTTCGCATGCCAACAGACGCAGACACAGAAGTCGTATCTAAAACTAATCAGGAATGACATGCTGTATAAAGAATGTATAGTGCATTAACGTTTTACATTGCATTTCTTTACAATAATTATCTTTACTTGGGCACTACATTTTCTAAACCTTAAAACTCCAGGATTCATAATATGCACAAGATATTTTTAATTGATCACGGACAACGTTTTTAACCTTAAATATGCACAACACCATGAATGCCTTTTAGGAGAGATTGTCTAAAATTGTGCAGCATTATAATAATTTATGCAATTCATCATGTCTTGCACCTATATGTGATAATAGGTTTTACAACCTGCCTTTGATTGTGGCCATTCAGCTACTGTTTAAACCCTTTTACCATAAAACATAGCCAGCCTTGCAATTGCTAATTCATTTCTGTGAATGGTGCAATTTTACAACGCTCACCAAATACAATGTGCCACTTTCTGATGTGACTGGGAAATAATAATGAAACTGTCCTGTTGAAAATGCACAAAAATAGCATGCATGTTTTGGTATGGCATATGCACAGTTTGGTTAACAGCTGATAAGGAAAGTGCAGAGCTGGAAGAAAACAGCTTGATAGAGGCCATGTGCGCAGCTGAAACATTTCTCTTCACATCTTTGAAGGTGTGAAGGAAAAAACACATCCTCCTGGTATATGTGATGGGGTTGCTGTTGCCCTCTTCATCTCGGTGCTCTTCAGGGCTTTGATCTCTTCTGCAGAAGTTCAATATTGGCCTTAGCTGTGGGAAAGAGCTGTGGGGCTTAACAGGACAGAGCCCAAAGAGAGCCCAGTAGATAGCAGGTGCTGAAGCCATGACCTTCCCATCCCAGCATTCCTGCTTGTCAGACCCCCTAGGTCCGTGCATGCACTGTGTCCACCCACACCATCTGGAGCTGTTTGTCCTGCTGCACTGTGTTCAAACAGAAGAGTGTCTGAAACGCTTCAAGCACTCATCGACGACACCGAGCAGCTTTGATTAGGAATGATAAACGCTTAGAGAGCTATGTTGTCCGTCCATATGTTAATCCTCACCATCCAGCTGGAGAAATAATACCAGAGCCTCCGTCTTTAAGTTTAGATAAAGTTTATGTCCTCAGAACATCAACCAAGAGCAGTGGCGGTTCTAGACCAATTTGACTGGGGGAGCCACTGGGGGGTCAGTTATTTTCTGAGGGGGGCACAATGAATGCAGGACGAAAAAGAGAACTAGACAGTATGAAGTAATTGCGCATAAGAAAACAACGCAATACAGTTATTGGTATTTATTTCAGATAGATCTTATAGTTATTACTGTTAGCTTCAGCTTAAGTTATAGTGCAATGTTTGCACTAACACCATATTTATATAAAAATAAAGGCAATGAACAGTTACATCTCTACTTTACATAAGGGTGTCTGCACAATCTCACATTACAGCAACAAAATCCTGCGGTTTTTGGCAAACCGAGTACCAGAAAAAATGTTTTCATTGTTAGGGGGGCCACAGGGGGGTCAGAGGTCAGTGTTAGGGGGGCACTGCCCCCCCCTGCCCCCCCTAGAACCGCCCCTGACCAAGAGTAATCTCACAGGTTTTGGGGAATTTCAATCTTTGATGTTTTAAATTTGACAGATTGTGGGATGAGGATTTTAACATTGATATGAGCACATTTAAATGTTGTGCAGTTCATGCATCGTTGTTATTGTTAGTTTGCTACTTTGCTTTGTTGTACAACTTGTAAAGAATATTTAATTGCTGATAAGCTACGGCAATGGCTTCTCTCACTGTGTGATTCAAGTGCAGATTCCTGGAGACGAGGAACAATCTGTTCCTCATCCCCTCTACACCTCTAATCATAGGCAGCCCGTGAGCTGCATGTAGCCTACTCTATGTAGTGGGAAATCACCTTGTCACTGAGTCAAATACACATGGTAGCCTATAGGCCAGGGGGAGTAATATATATCCTGCAAAAAAATCATGTCAACATATTAAAATAAGAGTTTAACAGTACTTTTTCTGTGGTAAAAAGGCCTCTTTTTTTTTAACTGTGTAATGAACTCACACCATTTAAAACAACACGTTTTTATTGGAATAAATAGAGGTCACTGCAAAAAAAATTCACGCCAAGGTCACCTTAGGTACCATTTTAATAGCTGTTGTTGACCAATAGCAACTTGTTTTGTCAATGCTCAAAGTATTTCAGACCGTATTGTCCCGGTAGCAACCGAGCTAAGTTAATCAGAAAACAAAATTGCTAACTGACCATTTGCAAAGTAAGTTTTACTTGAATATATTTACTTTTCCACTGCAATAATGTAACATTGAGCTAAATTACAGGGAGGAGTAAACAGAACGGTAGAAAGAAAACAGATAGTTAGCCCGGGAGCTATTTTGACTAGCACTAGCCCTTCTGCGAGTTAGCGGTTCACATTAGCATTTCACAAAATTTCTAGAAACAAATATTGACACACAAATATTACACACGAAGATTGATTTCACAATACCCATACGATCTTCCCATTTTCGTGTGTACATGCACAGTATCAAATGAACAGCTTACGTTTACTAAAGAATAACCTTTTGTTTATGTTAACTCCAAAATGAGCAATCATCTTCATACATACTAAAGAATGGTGTGCAAATGTTTTGTGTGAAGTAGCCATCTCAGGCCTGTCAGGTCAACTGCATATGAACGCTATCACCTTCCCTTCCTTCTCTCCTGGTCGCCCTCAGCTCTCAAGGTTAGGATTTATGTAATCACAGACCACTGCAGACCGGCCAGTGCGGGAGACAGAAGCAGGGCCAGACGTACAGGTATTCTAAACTGGTTACATTAGACCAAACAGGCCATCTGTCTCCCTCTGTAATTGGACACTGTGGATTAGAAGGAGACGGCAGTTTTTCCCAGCCAAGTGGGCTAGTCACTGTTTATTTGGAATTAATTACCAAGGAGAGTGGAAACCTCACAGTTCCCAAAGAGTGAATCCAGACACTTGAGGCCAGGATGAGAGGAAGGACAGTGCCATACTAAAGCTATGGCAACAAACTTGAGACAGTTCAGAAAGGTGTTTGTTGCTGCTCACTCAGAATTGTATTATATTTGAATCTGGGATGATGATGCAGCCGATGTGGCACAGTCAGATAGATAGGGGAAAACCCTTTCTGTCTTTGAGGCAGCGAATGAATGGATTTCTTCAGCGGTGTAACTGGTATCCTGGTGTGATGCCATTAGCTGTTCTCATGCTGTGGGTGCTTTCCAAGATTTGAGTGAAAGGACAACATTATATATCTCTTAAAGCCTGTGAGAACAGAGCATCCACCCTGGCACTTTGCATTTGATCCTCACATGTGGAGCTTTTTCCTCTCAGAGGAATCACTGTGTACACCACTAGAAATGTTGCGCAGACGTGTTTTGACAAGCAGGGGAAAGAAAATGAATCCACTAACTCAAGGTCTCTTTAAAAGCTGCTCTTTTTATTGTATCTACTTTAAAAAAAAAAAAAAAAAAAGGGCTGGTGAAGGGCTGCATCACTGCATATTTTTTCACTATGCTAAAGTTCTGTTTGCATGCAGTGAAATAAATGTACAAGTGAGACAACGTAATAAATTAGCATATAATTTACATTTGAAAAAAAGAAATTAGTAACAGTGTACCAACATTAATACTGAATATAAAATATACGCGACTAATCACATGATGCTTTTCATTTCTCTTGCACGTTAGGTACAGGTATAAGCAATGTGACATTCAAACATCCAAGTTCACAGCAATGAGTACCAGTTTGAGTGATTTCAATTCAATTTTTTCTGGAGGCTCCGTATCCCGCAGCCAGTAGATGAGTGAAGTCCAAGCAATCTGAGTTTAACTGATTTCAAATGCTTCTCAGCGTCCACTGTCCTTTCCCAACGGCCTCATTCAAGGTTTGGTAACCGATCAAATCTGCTCGACATTGTCCTACTGAAGGTGGCTACAAAAAAGTAGCAGCAGCAAAATTAGAAATTAGTTGTTAACAGCTTCGATGAGATTCTTGTACACTCCTTAATCGTCTTTCATAGTTCCTACTGTACCTCCATAACAAGCGTGTGATAGAGATGTTCTCTTTCACAACCCCCTACACCAGCAGGAATGTCACCTGGGTAAGTCAGTTACAACTGGGCAAGTGTCCATTTGGTTGGTGGCGCAAATTACAATACACGGTTAACAATGACAATTCCCAGTGTGAGGTATAAACAGATACAAACAAAACAATAACATGACCAGCATTTACCATAAGAGATATTGACAAGGATATATACTTTCATATTGTTTGGAGCCAGCCTCACTTTTAAGCACACTGGAGGGTTGAATGGAAGCACCCACTTGATAGCACCAGAAGCCTGGGAAGGCCGCAACCCTCAGAGTAGAGCAGGAGGAAAATAAGAGGTAAACATAGTACTCAGTGGGAATAAAAATGAAAATAAAAAAAGGGAAAAGCACCGTTGAGTTGGCTGGTTTTTTCTTGTCGCTGCGGGACAATGATAATGAGAAAAAGGAGAACAAGGACTTGTGGTATGTGTACACCAAAAAACGTAGATCTATATTTTCTTGCTGAGAATTAGATGAGAAGATTGATGATCACTGTGTCTGTACGTTCAATATGAAACTGCTAGCAACTCAAAATAAGTAATGAGCATGTTTTAATTCTTCCAAATACAAAGTGTAAAATATATTAGGGTGCCAGATTATTTATTTGCTGGACCAAGCCTATCGATTTTGGGGTGGTGGCCCACGGGATATTGCAACCTCCATGTTCATTGCTTTGCCTTTTCCCCATTCAACACATTGGAAAAAGAGCGTCTCCAAAGCGGAACAAAACGTTCTACTGTTTAATAGGTAAACTATTAAATACTTTAATGTCATTATTGTCTGAAAACAAGCTAACTATAGTATGGCTAAAGATTCATATTCACAGTACAGACATAATAGCGACTGGTATCTTGGTTGTCTAATTCACTGCAAGAAAGAAAATGTTCTTTCTATTCCTTTAACTTTTATAAGCAATGAAACAATGACAGTCTTTGCTTCCTGCTGAAGTACAATAATATCGGACAACTTCTGATGTAATAGTCATCCACCTTAAAACAGTAAGAAATAGTGACTGCTCTGTGATTCCAATGAACAAGCTGCTTCATAGAATTTGCTCCTTCAAAATGAATCCTTCAATAGTGAACTGGAAGCTCCTCAATGGGATGTTTAGTAAAGGCCAGTTTGGTAATAGTCTTTCATGTGGCCCAGGCACCGTCTTACGATATCTTTACACTACTTTGGACTAATGATACTGAGTGAGCTTTCATTAAAGTGTTAGGAACTAAGGCACCCATCTGGGGAAAGAAAAAGTGATTTAAAAATCCTCTTATAACCATATAGTATTTCTGGTCCTGGATTAACATCATATATAATATACAAATCCTTACAGTATATAAGGGTTTAACGTATGTTACAGTATGCTATATTTTCATTCCAGCACAGAGACGTTGAATATGAATTCAATCACATTACATTCCCTTCCATGACAGTAGGCTACTATCCGACACAAACATGATCAGAGGACAATATCTCAGCTCTGCTTGGAATTGTACAATAAATATACAGTACACTGATGGGGGTTCTCTGTCGTATCTGAGCGGTAAATTGGCAAAGTATTTACAGGAAAAAGTGCACCGTAGCCAGAAGTCTGCCTGCCAACAGCACCATCACAGTCGTCCCAAAGACAGGAGTCCGACACTTTCAACTCCCACCCCCTTTCTTCTAACGTAGAGTCCTCCCCTCCGTCTGTCCATCTCCGAGGGTAACATCATCTGCAAGCGATGTGTCCAGCACTTTGGATTCATAAAACAACAAACACGAAAGAAGACTAACAATGATATCAATAATTATTATTATAATAAAAATAACCAGCGAATAATCTTCCAAGTTCCACTTCACAGAAGTGAAAATTAAAACCGTTTGTGTCAGCGTTGTGGGCTGAGCAGTGGTTTGGATGCCACCAAGATGGAGAGCAGGAGGACCAGGTGTGATAAGCGAGGAAATCCATCATTTTCGTCGATCTCTCTTCATCTCTTTTCCACTGGACCAGAGGTTTTTTCTTTTCAGTCTGCCCTATTTTCTTTTCCTGTCAGTGCCGTATCATGCTCCCTCCATCTTTGTTGCCTTTTTCCCCCGAGGGTCAGTGGCCCTGGCAGGTCTTGCAGCACATCTGTCTGAAGTACGCACGGCTGCAGAACTTGAACTTCAGGACCAGCGGGCAGTAGGCCACTTTGTTAACATCTTTGCACTCTGGAGAAAGAAATAAAAGAGCTGAGTTAAAAAGGGAAGAATGTATTTTTTACTCTCCTTTAAAAACGTGCTTCCAGCCCCAGTATTGTCATGTGTTACTATTAGATTAGAGATGCAGTATGCCATTTTATGGTGATATTTAAAAAGCAGAGAAGATCGATTGAGATTAACCGCTGTTCTGAAGGTATTTCACATACTTATGACAAATATTCTCTCTGTTCCAATAAAAGGGGATGTTTTTCAACCCGTTTCCCTAGTTGTGATTCTTTTTTTAAATTCAAACTCAATAGCTAGATACTAAACATTTTTAATATGCAATAAATGTAATATTTTATCATCCGGATAGCAAAGGTTCAACAGTGGTAACAAACTTCTGGGGGTTTGCAAATAATGTAGTTATTTTTCAGTAGACGCAATGCTTAGCACTGTGACTTACAGAATACATCAGGCACAGACTGGGGCTAACCTGCTACATGAGGGCTGATGGATCTCCCTCAGGCCTCCACTGAATAAAAGCTCTGCAACTATACTTGGACGCAGAGGCGGGAGCTGAGATCCTGGCCTCGTTCACTAACTGGGCTTCCTGCCATTTGTAGCATGCACACACTCCTTCACACACACACAAACTACTTGCTGGATGCCGGACAAGCAGTGCTCTAAATGCCTTATCACGATCAGAGTGTCTTCCCTTATTAGGCTTTGGCCCCTGCCTCTGCAGAGCCAAATGAAACGAGACATTGCCTCACTGCTGTCCGTAAAGGAACAATTAGCCTACAGCTAATCCCATTAGCCAGCCTGTAAACGCTGCTCACGTTTTCCATTCAGGCTAATCGAAAGGCCCTTCTCAATGCATCTGAATAGCCATCCATCATGTGTAAGTGTATATGGAGGGTTGAGCTGTTTCGCGTTGACCAGGAGCCAACCCCACTGGAAAGATTAATGTAGCTGGCAAAGTGGCGAGGAGTGTGTTATCCAAGTGTATTTAGGTCATAGTAGAACAGTGAAGATGAAGATCGGGACAGATTATAACCTTTTCATTTAGGGCTTTGAGTGAAAGCAATGCATGTGCAAAACAATATGTATTCACATTAAACATCATCTTTGCATTTGAAGGAACTGCAGAGTCAGGTGTGTGTGTGTGTGTGTGTGTGTGTGTGTGTGTGTGTGTGTGTGTGTGTGCCGTACGTTTCCTCATCTTACCGTCGCCATTGGCGATGGGGGTGGCGTCGCACTTGCTCTCGCACTGCTGCATAGTGGTGGGTCGGAGGGACTCTGCGCAGTCATTAGAAGGCTGCCCCGTGTACGACAGACACTGCACCGTCCTCATCTGCTGGCCCAGGCCGCACTGCGCCGAACACTGTAACAGGAAACCACATTGTCTATGCAGTTAAGCCAATGAAGATTCTTCCAGGAAAATAAGCACCATCTTTTCTCTGTGACCCTGAGTGCTGTAAGTCTACCTTATGCACGCAGACACACAGCTGATCCCTGCACACACACCACACACACACAACTTGATCCAATCAACCAATCATCATGGCATGCAGGAAGCGAGCAGTCACCTTCCCCTTTGTTTGACTCAGCTGGCTGCATGTCAGTGACTTTGTTCCCAGAGCTAATAGGTCAGAGTTGCTAGAGAGGTTTTTCCATGTTTTTGTGAGTGCAAGGACAGACAGAGAAACAGACAGAGTGAAAATGTACTCTTTGATTGATTGTTTCTCATGAGGAAGTTCACTTTTAAGACTACAAGCTGAGCTTCGAAAAGTGTGCACGTCTGAAGGAGACGAGGGGGATGATTCAGATTTAATTAAAAGGACACATCTTTTAAGTGCTACCAGCAAAAAGTGCCATAACTACAAATATCTGGAGTAGATTTATGGATGTTTATTGCCTAAGGATAATGAAATCCTCACAAAGCGCAAGTCAACCTCTATCTAAAAATCAGCATCATATCTATGTTGAGAGTTATAACTGGGATGAGTACAATCTTAGACGCAGATTGCACCAATCTGGCGGAAAGCAGTGCTGCTGCAACTGCTGATCCTGTTGTTGGATCATTCCTAGTACTGGAGTCTTATTAAGGATTTGTTTACAAGGAGATCTCCACAACAATGGAGTAATCACTGTTGATGCATCCTAATAAAAACAACCTTTAAGAAGCCTCCTCTGGCATATGGTCATTCTGGCTTGATTTTCTAGGTTTAGGAAAAATGACGATGGACTCACCTTGGCCACAGAACTAAGGGACAAAACATTTGTTAACACATGAAAAAGCTTCTCGTATTGTGCACCTGACTTCCATAAATGTGCTAGTTCTAATAAAAACTTAAATTGGTTCTATGGGTGGCCAATAAAACCCTTTTATAAAAGAAGAAAGACTGCAAAAACAAGATGCCAAAACACAAGCTTCTAATGAATCTTCATATTAACTCCACCTTGAAAGCACTGGGCAACAACACACCTGTTTGCCAGCACTATGTGTGTGCGCGTGTACAGTACGAGTGTGTGATATGAACCCAGCCATCAACAAAAGCTCACCCCCCCCACTGATGAGAGAACTACCGGGCTTTCTGTCACCTTCAATGATCCTCTCTGACTGCCTCAGATCAGGGAGCCTGCATGTCATCCCTTCCCAATTAGAGAGTCTTTATTAAGGACCCGCTGCCGGCCATGACAGATGGTGTACGTCAATGGTGCGACTTAAGTGGGATTTGAACCAGTGACCTTTTGGCCTTGGGAGACCAGAAGCTCGGTAGCTGGCAACAATCTTCCCTTTCTGACGCTTTGAGGGACCGGGGCAGAGAGGACCAAGCTTGTAATTAAAGCCAACAAAAAAAAAAGAGGAGGTGGAGGCCGAGGGACAGGGTTGCAAACACACACACACACACACACACATCTGCAGTGCATGAGAAAGTGCTGTGTCAGAGCAGACCCAAGCTGTTGCTCTCCGAGGTATTAACCCCTGCTCGGCTGTTTGATGGCCCACGCTGAGGTTATCAGTCAGCTTTGCTTTGTTTACGACTGTTATTGCTATTGATCGAATCCTAAAGATGTGTTTTTGAAGTCAGTGAACACACATGTGGCCATTAGGAGGAGAAGCCAAGGGAGAGCTGTAACCTAGACTGCCTGACTCTTAACCTCTGACCCCAAGGGGCTCAAACTATGACATTGTAAATGTCTATAACTATGTAAATGTATCCTGTAAATATAATGTATGATGTCCTTTATTGTTTTATGTTTCATGTGGAACCTATATGCTGCAGGTCTCCCTTGAAAAAGAGATCTATGATCTCAATGGGACCAATCTCGTTAAATAAAGGTTTGAAATTAAATTAAATCAGCTCCACCGACCATCCTCTGAACATCAGGGCCCACTGTTTAAAATTCCACTTTTACACAAAAATTCCCAACAAATCCCTACCAAAAGAACAAGCCATATTTTTGTGCGTTCATCCCTCTCTGACGCACGTGTTTTTGGCGTCCCCCTCACCTACATGAGTCAGCTGTGTTGTAAAGTGTTCAACAGCTTTGCGGAGCTCACTAAGTCATGTCACGGTGAACCCGAGAAAGCTACTCCTCGGTATTCCTCTAAATCTTGTTTCCTGGAAGTGATCGAGAGGCCTGGTCTGAGGCAGAGATAAACTTCAAACAGCCAGGAGGATATTACTGCCACTGATCACACACTGCAGGCCCGCTGGAGCACTTGGACCCAAACACACAAACAGAGCTCCTACGCAGGCACACACACGTCACAGGCCTGCTTAGTATGTCATCCAGGTGTAAATGATATTAACCATTCACCAACACATGGGATCCATCAGTGCATCTTTTGGCTTTTAGGCATTCGAGCTATCCTTTTAAAGGATTAACCAGCATACTGTTGTTTGGGAAGCTCACTTAGATCATGTTTAAAGTGCTAAAAAGCTTTTTTGCTTTCACTTGTTACTTGGCAATGTTGATTTCCCAATATAGGTGCTGTAGAAAATAGTGCTTTCTGTTTTCCACAGGAGCTATCGGTAGCTATCTCCACCACCAAAGAGTCTCACTATGCTTCCCCAGTAATGGAAATGGCAGACAGTGTGAAAATAGCTGTGGAAAACAAAATGAAGTGCATCCTAGGCAGTGTTGCCAACTATTTTACAATAAAAAAGTAGCTAGCACTACGTCCAAAAGCCTTTGCATATTGGCAACATCATTGCAAGTTCATTTGCATGAAGCTTAGTGGTTGCAATGTTTGCAGAGAAGAAGAGACTTCCTGCATGCATGGAAAGAGAAGAGGGAAAGTCCCTGTACTGGCAAACAAAACATGTGCTGCAGCATTGTAATAACAGAATAACACATTTCAATATATGTCAAATATGTTATTTTGTAGAATTATGTATTTTGTCACAAGTCACAAAATTCTCCCTAAATACTCTTAGTAAAACAGAAGGTGACCTGGGTGTTTTTGAGAGAGCGGCACCAACAATAAAACGCCTTGGAAATGCTAGAGTTACAAAAGACGTCTGTTAATATAAGTTAAAAATCATGGAAGTGCCATCTTACCTGTCCCCATTCACCAGGGATCCAGCGAGGAGGGGGACATCGTCCTAAACTGCAGCGGATTCGGACCGGAGGTTTGTTGTGGCTCGGGCAGTGTGCGGGGGGGAAGGTCTTGGTGAGGTCGCTGCTCTTACACAAGGCGATGCGGTGCTTAAAGCCGGGGCCACATTTAGGAGTACACTGAAGAGACAGGAGAAGGTGTAAGGAGCACATCTTTGACGGCACTCTGAGCTAAAGTTAGTTTCAGAGCATTATCTTACCTCCGACCAATCCAGAGTGACCCACTTTGGCGGGCAGGACTGGTTGTTGCAGGACTCTCGTTCGATAGGTCGGTGAGTCAGGCAGTGTGTGTCCTCAAGTGTCTCCTCCTCAGCAGGGCCGATCTTCCTGATGCACAAAACCGTCCTCGTCCTCATCCCGCCGTCACATGTCTTCCCACACTCCGACCAGTCCCCGATAAACCACCTGCAGGAGAGTACATTTGAGTTAAAAGAGAAAAAACAAAGCACACAGTGAGTACAGTAAGTTGTTCCTCTGAGTACCAGTGTGTTATCATTCCTGTGGTTACCTAATTAGAAAAGGGATTTTGATAATGTCAGTGTGAAATCACATTATGCTTCTGAACATTTGGGTGACTTTATCAAAGTTGGATTACTAAAAGGGCAGTGCAGCAACATTTCACAGGACATCCGACCTCAGTAACCTTTCCATAACGACTGAAACACAGTGCATCCATAGCTCGGACTACAGCTTGTTGTGTTTTAACAATATTTAGAGAATATTGACCTCTTTTGCTGAAAGGAATCAATACTTAGTTTTCCAGATAAATGTTCTTTACTTTCTTTATGTCAGGTTTTGAAAAAAAGTTTGTATGTTTTCACTATTTATCAATTGGTTGGTTGTAATGTGATCAACTGTACATTTGTTTGGGATAATACATCTCAAAGTGTAGTTTTCAAACCTTTATTATTTAAGTTTCAACCTTAGCAGGCTTATTCGACCAATCAAAAGGTAGATTTAGTGTAACTTGGCTCGGAAAACAGGTGTGAGTAACTCTACTTCCTTACCTATCGCACAAGCATTATCGATATTCTTATTTAACTCTTGGAAATAAAGATAATTATTGTATTTTATCTATAACAGCCACAACATTTTAGAGTTGCTTGGGGAAGTATTGTAGCAACACGACAAAACGAAGACCAACATCTGGACAAAATGTCTTAATTTGAAAATGTTATCACTCATTAAAAAATAATTGTTGCAGTTAAACTCTTGTGATCTGGCAGATAAGTGACCGCCCTGTTTGTGCCATGCCTCTGAGCTTTTGACCTCCAGAAAAATGAGACCCTCTGTCTACACACTTCAGAGCTGATATCATAAAACTGCCCTCCAAACACATCCAGCTTGTGAGATATTACATCATCTGAAGGAATGTATACAGAATTAACGACGTGTTCAAACATCTGTGTTAGCTTTCATTACGCGAGCCCATAAAACCCCGGCTTTTCTAAAACAATAGTGTTTACGTGGACTTATTCGGCCCGTCGTGAGGCTGCGGAGGGTGTTTGCCTCTCTAATAGACACAAATGTCATGCGTAACTCAACACACACACACACACACACACACACACACACACAGTTTAAGTCACACACTGCAATAGCCTTCAAGTACTAATCAAAATAAATGAGATAGCACGGAGTCTGCGTCTACTGAATACAGATGTGAAAATAAATAACCCGAGACTGAAGTCTAAATGTATGAAAACAAATGACCACTTATAAAGTACATTGACGATACTATGAGCTTTTTTGGCCTGAAAGACATACAGTTTCATACACAGAGAAACTGATCAACTGATCAACCCTGATGCATTTAATCCCCTTTTCTCCATATAGGATTGAAATTAGTCTGACTTTTCTAGCTTCAGTGTTGCAGACATTTGGCCCCCAAACACTAGTTCATATTGCACCTGTACACGTGTGTTACCCCCCCCCCCCCCCAGGGTCGGTAGTGAAGCCAAAACAATCAAACACAGGTGGTCATTTTCAAGGCTCTAATTTTTGGCACGAGGCAAACACTGAAAATAGTTAACATATGAAGCTATAAATCACGGTCTTTTTATTTTATTATTTTGTTCCAAACACACTTCAAAAAGTAGGCCTCATTGAAGGTGATATAATATCCTGAGTCAGTCTCGTTTTCATGGACGATTTTTCTTTTTGAAAGAATGAACTGCAGAGAAAGAGAAAAGCTGCTTTTCTCAGTATTTTTATATTAACAATGGATCAAATGTCTAAGTGTAATTAAGTGTGTAGCTCGTTGTGAGCAAACTACAGAGAATCATCACCTGACACAGATCATTTTGATATTCATGTATCATGCAAAAGTGCCAAACATTCTCTGGTTCCACCTTGTGATATGCAACAATAAACTGCTGTTTTATATGGCTGTAAATGGCTGGTTTTGAACCGTTGGACCTTAAGATGTAACCTTGGCCCTGCTGAACTTGTTATTCATATTTTCTACTAATTGCCCATATTTTTCACACAAAACTTGATAATGCCAATAATCAAGACTGTTGTTACGTACTCTGGAGGACACGGCTCAGTGTTGCAGTCTCTCTGGTTCTCTGGGGGTTTGCTGTCTGGGTCACAGTAGCTGTTCTGCACCACTGAGTTGTCATCCAGCCTTTTACACACCACCTCCTGCTTCTGGGAACCTAACAAGGAGGAAACACACTGATCAATAAGGCAGCACAGAGCTCAAAAACATCAGAAACATGGAGGCCGAGTGTCGTGTTGAGCGCTGTGTTTGAGCGGAGATGGTATCGCTTTCAGTCTGTAGTAAATCCAGACATGTAAATTCCTGATTCTTTGCAGGATATCTTGGCAAATCACATTTACAGAGCAGGGAGCTCTTTACTTTGGCTCCTAATGGAGAGAGTGAGGGCTACCGTATCGGTGTCACACCTCCCACTGTGTGTGTGTGTGTGTGTGTGTGTGTGTGTGTGTGTGTGTGTGTGTGTGTGTGTGTGTGTGTGTGTGTGTGTGTGTGTGTGTGTGTGTGTGTGTGTGTGTGTGTGTGTGTGTGTGTGTGTGTGTGTGTGCATGCACTGTGTGTGTTTGTGTGCATGTGTATGCCATACCAACTTGGAAAGGGTCTCTTTTGGCCCTCGTGGGACATATCCCGCAGCAGACTTGTCTGGCAGATGTAATGAGATATGGATGTGTGTGTGCGTGTGCGTGTGCGTGTGCGTGTGCGTGTGCGTGTGTGTGTGTGTGTGTATGTGTGTGTGTGTGTGTGTGTGAAGTATAGAACATCTACCCATCTGAGCTTGCAGTGAAATACAGTTTGGAGGAGCAGTGCACATGGGGTGAAAGGGTTTTGGTTGTAAGGCTGTCAGAAGGTGTTTTTCATAGAGTTTATTGCTGTGGTGATATATTCAACAATGCGTCATGATTAGCCAAGCTAGCTGTATCGAATGGGGGCCTGATTGAATAACCTTTTACAGAGCGAACAGAGACACAAATCAGATCGTTTGAATCAACAATGCAAAAGCATGTTTACAGGACTGGAAGGAACATGTGTGCGTTCTAAGGAAGAGATTTAAAACTTCTGCTTTTGAATTGGAAATCCTTCCTGTGAGAAAGCCACATGCTTATTCAGTCATGCTTTTACAAAATATTACAAACCTGTCCAGGCCACACTTGACAACTGGGAAGAAACACTATTTATTGTTACATGAAACCCATTGCTTTTGGGCTAAAGCGTTTGGTTTAGTCATTCTTGAGGCCGTGGTCAACATTTCACTGCGGTTTCAGATTTTGAATGTTTGACTTTGTAGGACAAGCGCTCTGGAAGAGTGGTTCGTATCTGTGTGCAGCGCTGGTAAACCAGAAGCTATGCAGAGCAGCTCATTCACATAAATTACACCATATTCATTTCTCTGGCTAAAATACGGAAAATATACATATTGAATTTATTAAGAGGGCTGAGTCTCTGGCTACAGAGTAATGATTTGGGAAAGCCATTGCAAATTATGATACTGGGTTTCCTCACACTGCTCTTCAGCATTTGTGTAATTATTGGTTAGGGAAGATTTACAGAAGGACACACACACACAAGATATGAAGTATTACATATTTGAGAAGGCTAGAAATGTTCACAAATAATTGAAACACCCACAGTCTGTTATGCTGTTTAATACCAAAATGCTATGAGTGCTATAAAAAGAAAAGCATCTGCCCGATGGAGCTCAGCAGAAGTAGTAGTACTTTATTACAAGTTTTATAAATCAAAACTTGAACTGCTTAAAATAATGATTAAAATGTTCATATTGGTTTAAAAATATAATAAAAAGCACGTAAGACAAGAAATATTGTTGAAATAGGAGTGTTTCTGTATTTGACACTTGACAGGAGTAAAGTAAGATTATCTGTGTGGAGCAATGAGAACATAGTAACATTTCTTAATTTAATACATTTAATAAACATAAATGCCATATTTACATAAACTTTTCCCCATTATGTCCGTTTGTTTGAGTTTTTGAGAGGCATTCTTTCAATTACATCTGATTTAATGGCATTTGATTGAGTGGCTTACGTGCCACCAAATCCTAATAATTGCTTAAAGGTGTGGATTAAAATGCACATTAAATTGCATTTACTTCGCATGTTTACTTTGTTAAAAATGACACAAAGTTATGATCGATATATGACTTAAAGATAACAATTATGCCTTAACAGTACATTTAAACCTTTGTGTGTCAATTTAAAGTGGATCTGATCGCTACAGTTTGAAAATGGAAAAGTCTAGCGCTATGTTTCTGTTATAATCTAAAGTCCAGAGAAGCAGAGGCTCGCAGTGCTGACTCACCTCCAGCGCAGGTAGCAGAGCATTCAGACCAGGGCAGGTGGTGCCAGGAGAAGCCCACCTCGTTGTCCCCACTCCCTGTGCGCTGGATGGGCACGTTGAACTTGTAGCGTATCCCCAGGTTCTGCTCCTGGAGGAGGACCTGCAGAGGAAGCAGCAAACACAAGGTGAGGACAGGAGAGACAAGTCGCATGAGAAGACATTTAGTAGAATTGACATTACACATTCATTTCAACCAATGTAAAACTGATTTATTTTGTATTTAAATGCAGTTTGAACAGTTGGGATCAGTGAGGTTTTGGTGGGTTTATATTAGTCCTCTGGATGCAGATGGAGCCTGAGGGGAGTCAGGCTTTGCAAGCCGCAGAGGAATGGCTAGCGGTCGAGTGGCTAGCTGCTCGTCTATTCCAGTATTGCTGTGTGGTCTGGTATTTTCAGCATTCATGTCAGGCAGAAACCACCGAGTATTACGACAAGAAATTGCTTAGTTGCCTCACATTAACGGAACCTATTTTAAAAAAGAACTTGACATAAACGAGCAAACACAACACACATGCTCTCCAAATCAAGTAACACAGTTCTTTTTCAATAATATCCACATATAACTAGATCCAAACCCCAAAACTGGTGGTTGATGGTCATCTAAGGTTGGAAGCCAGATGTTTCAGTGTACTCAGAACAGCAGCATACATACACAATGAAATGCACAGAAAAAGTTGAGTTATTTCATTAATCCAAGTTTCCATAGGTTTTTCTGATGTTCTGCATGCAGTGATAAACTGACAAAATATGAAATGATTCAACCTAGATCATCATTCAAGGGCTTTCATTTACATTATCACCTTCAGAAAAAATGTCTGAAGGTGTCTCTCTTAGTGATGACCCTACTGGTAGTTAAAACCTAAACCTAAATATGCTATATATTGGAGTTTTGTTGTGAGTTTCAGCCCATGGTTCTGTAAGGAACAGAACTTGACTTTATCGATTCACTCTCACTGCTTGCATAGCATAATACTTTAGAGAACAAGGCTCTAAAAACCACTCTACACTACTTGATCAGCAGCATATAGTAGACAGGCACAGTTTGAGAATATCTGGTGAACATAGTGGAGCATTCCAGCAGTCTGTATTTCTCGGAATATATGCGGAAAATGTGTAATTATTAAAAAAGAATGATAATGTTAATCTGTAACAGCTGGATGTGTTAACAAAAAAACGACCCAAAGGAATCCGTTCCAGTTTGAGTCCTTTGTTTCTACGTATAGGAATATTGAAAAGAAAACGGGATCACAGTAGGGGATAACATTTACAATACCATCTTTGTAACACTATTGCATTCAAATGTGATTTCCACGCATTCAATGTTTTTTTCAAAGTTCATTCTTTTCAATAAAATATAATTTATTACCATGACAAACAGGATTTCAGTGGTAGCACCCAGCGCCTCTAGAGACTCCGGTTCATCGGTCGGTCTCTTGTAGTGGAAGGCCGTCCCTGCGATGTCAAACTTCCTGGGCCAGTCGATGGTCCACGCTCCGTTGATGTAGTAATCATCCACTTCAGATTTCAGAGCTGAGTAATCACAGAAAACAAGTCATGTTTTCAGAAAGATTAAATCAAAAGCAGACAGGAACAGTAGCGGGGACAACAGGTGGAGACAATAATTCGCTGTCATGTCATTGCTGTCGTTCATCATCATCTTTTTCAGCCTCCCTGATGTCACTGACAACTTTCTGAACAGAAACACACACACACACACACACACACACACACACACACACACACACACACACACACACACACACACACACACACACACACACACACACACACACACACACACACTCGTGCCTGCACACACACTGTGTTTGCAGACTTTTCACGTGCACCGACATGTACATACGTCTAATTTAGAAAGAGAAAGAAAACACACTTCAGGTGAAAGCCAGGACGAATCTTATGAATACCACTTTGTCTGGTTGTCAAAACAAAAGCTGGTCTCCAAGCACAACAGATCTGAAATATCCACTTTCTGTGCGTTGAAATGGGGCCAAATTCAGGAGAAATGATCCAACTATTCACTTTTCTGTCTCTCTGGCTCGTGCTCTGCAGATTCCCCTCTCCCCCCCCCCCCCCTCGAACAATTGTTAACTCCTCTTTAAAATATCACAATGCTCTTAGAGATGAATCCATTTTCTACACATCTGGCACTTATTGTGAGCATTTTGTTATTTTGAACAGTGCAGTTTACACAAGTCTCCACAGGCATCCCAGTCTCTATATTTATATTCACTTAGTTTCTGCTTTTATTTAACAAAAAAAGAAAGGAAACTACTCTGACCTAAATAGCAAGGACTCAGACAATGCTGCAGAAGAACAATATTATCTTTATCTCTCGGGTCCCACATGAAATTCATAAGAAATTTACAGATTGCTTGGAATGGAAAATGTAGTCCAACACAATAGCCAAAATTGCACTCTTTAAACTTTGATATATAGACATCATATCCTCTATAATCCTTGTGGACCAGGCAGCTGTCACCACGGCCCTATAAATCTGATGCAGCTCTGCGGTTCAAAGTGTAACTTAAGCCCTCCATCAACACCATCCGCTATAAATTCAACACGCTGTCACATGTCTTTCTCTCGTTAATGAAAAGACACAGAGCAGGCTTAATTGAATCCGGTTGTTTGATTGTTTTGAGTCCGTCTCGGCCAGTGTTTGCAAATAGTTTTGTTTAGTCTGGAACAGAGCGGATAAGTCTGGTGCCAGGAGAGCCATCACATGTGTTAGGACTCAGAGTTTTTATAGACTCTGTTTTATGGCTTTACATTAGGCAACAGGAGATTTAACGATGGCATCTCTCTAATTTTCTCTTGACAAAGACGCGAGGAAATCCCTGGAGATGTGGTTGACACAGAACTGAACAGATAATATGAAACAGCTTGATGTCAAAATTGCCAATTCATCACACTGTACTGAACTTCTACTGAGACTTGTGGATTGATAGTGAAGTGAAAGAAGACTGGAGAGCAACACTAGTGCCTGTGTGAGACTCCACTTAAACAGAATGGTGCTTTGAGCTAAATGCATGTCATGTTTACCATGTTCACCAACAGGTTAGAGTACAGCTGTCGGTAGTTTTGCAGGTATTTGGTCATAAACTGAAGTGGATAATCACCCTGAGGGGAACATGAATGTCTGAACCAAATTTCGTGGCAATCCATCTCAAAGTTGTAAAGACATTTAACTTAAAACTACAAATATGGGAGTTAAGGTGAGGAAAGAAGAAAAGTCAGGGGTCATCAAAGTCAGTCTGCTTCAGAGATATCTGCACAAAAGCTGGATAGTGGATATTTGTTCCAAGCTAATGGCACTAAAGGACATAGCATCAAAGTAATTAGGGTTCATCCTCTGGGCAGATGTACCACATGTCATGGCAATCCATCAAACACTTTCCAGTCATACACTTAAAAAGACAAATGTTGCCCTTGTGGTGGCGCTAAAGGAAATGTCAGGGTAAGTTAGTGTGTTTGATCCTTTTAAGACCATGCACAGTATGTCTGTACAAAAATACATGTCAATCTATTTAGTAGATGATGAGATGTTTACCTGGATGGCTTACTGTTTTCCCAGCTAATGGTGCTACAGGACATGTCACTGATAAAGTAAGACATTAGGATTCATCCTCTGGGCACCATGAATATATGTACCAGGCAATCTATCTAATGGATTTTGAGTTATTTCACAAAGAAAACAATTAGAATGACAACCTGGCACAACAGGAACAATTAGTGCATCACCAAAGTCAGTAGGGTTTATCCTCTGGGTAAAATGAATGCTTGGAACAAATGTATTGCCAATCCATCCAGTAGTTGCTGAGATATGTAAGCCTGGACTAAAGGGGTGGGCAAACCGACATACATAGAGCTTATACAATTCAATATGAATCTGGTTATAAATGTGACTTGATCATATGGAGGCCTTCACTTACCAATGTAATTCTTCGACATGGCAACTTCTTTGATCTCGATGTGAACCGATCCTTTTGGGATCTGAACCACCTCCATGTAGCCTGGAAGAAAAGGACACGGAGAGTTGAGGTTGTGTTTCTCCCACTCAAAGGGAGTACATATAGAATAAATCCAAACCACCCAAAAAGGACAAATCAGGAGGACAAAACAGTCCCCTCCTTTTTTTTTAAACAGTCAAACACGGACACACAGTATTTTTAGATGGTTTACTAGCCATACCATAGAAGGAGAAATATGTTTTCTCTCTCTCCTGCTGTCTATAGACATCCTCAGGCTACAGCCAACAGCAAGTCCCTATCTGTCCTCCTGATTTCTTCATTCCATGATGTAATTAATGGGAAAAACAATCTGTCCCCATGACTCTAAAAAGCCAAAAGCATATGCTTTTCTCTGTGGGTGACAAAGACCACAAAAAAGGCACATTTCCTTGAGAGATTATCTTCCTGGCTTAAGGGATGTTATGCACAAAAGCTGCTTACCCATAAGGACGATGAGTTATTTTGTTTGTCACATGTGGTCATCAAAAGAAAATGTCTGGACCTCTTTTCACACTGAGTGAATCAAACAAGCCTGACAGCTCCAGTTCAAATTAAAAAGGAAACCTGATAATCAAAATGCCTGGAGTCAGATATGTTTACCTCCTCTGGGTAGAGACTCGTTGAAGAGTCCCTCTGTTGCCTCGCAGGTGCTGCCATCCCCTCCACACACACGGCATCGATCCTCTTTAGCATCAGAGCTCAGGATGTTGTCACAGCCCACGTGCTTTGAAGAAGTCAGAGAATGCAGTGTTTTATTTGAAGACTGAAAAATGGGACCTAGAACCTTTTTATCATGAATCCCCTAAGTTAGATTTCAGAGCACAGACTTCATGGTCTTTAAAGCAATACATTTCACAGGTCTACTCTATCATAATGGAACATTGAATAGCTTTGGGTTTTGGACTTTTGGTCAAACTAAATATGTATATTAGCATAGCTCTGAGAAAATGCGATGGTCTTTTCTCCCATTTCTTGACATTTTATGGACTAAAACAAGATACAGACAAAGGATCAACAGGTTTTTTGAAGAGCAAAAACGTCCATAAAATGGCAGTTATGAGTACATAGGGAGTGATTTGGACACAGTTCCAGTCTTTAAAATGTTTGTTCATGTATGACAATACACCTGGGAGGATTACATGTCCACTGCTTCTTCAGATCTCTCTGTTCTTTCAACTCTTTATGACTATCTGTCTGCTCTGTTATAATCTCTTTCTTTGTCTGTCTGTCCAACGCCCGTAAACAGCATCGCAGCTTTGAGTGTTTCTGATAGCTTTCCAAGCAGACAGTGTTCTAGAGATTTATCAAAGCAGAGGGTGCAAGCCTCTGAAATAAAACCAAATGCAGGGTTCAGGCTGGAAATAAACCTGCAATGCTCCTTTGATGGGGAATATTCCACCTCTTAGAAATTCTTTACCCATTAAAACACACACCATGTTGTGTTTTTATATTCAAATCAGACTAATGTTGTTGGCACAGACACTGCATGTTCATGCCAAACAGAAATCAAATTGTACGGTCACGTGGAAGTCAAAGCAAATACTTAAAGCGAGGAACCAAGAAGTTATTTCAGCTGCATCTCACAAAACACACAAAAACCCTCATCTCCACACAAAACTGCACAAAATGATTTATGCTCATGAAAACAAAGACAGCAGTAACTGCCAACTCCTACCAATAATAAAATGTTATTAAATCAGCCTTTTCAAATATATATGAAATCATTATTCAATCACAACAATGATTTTTGTGTTTTATTTATCTAAAAAAACAATTCTGGTCGAGGCTGCAGAGCCCTGATAAGAGTCAGAAAGAACAATGCCAGACATTTGATCACAATAAGCCACATCAGCAACTCAAAAGCTTTATTGTTCCTCACTGGAGAATGTTGCTTTGGCAGTCTTGTTTATCAGTAATCTAGTCAACTGTGCTTTCAAAGATATAAACTGGCATTTAGGCTGAGGGAACTCTTGCTTGGTCAGTAATTGCCCAGCTAACATGTTACTTTAGCTGTCATTTGACAAAATATCAGAGGTTAAAAGTTTAAAAGAAATCACAAAACCCCACTGAGGATAATGGCATCGTGTGGTTTGTAATTATATTATTTATGAGCAGGAGATGCATGATGTTTTGAATGTATCTGACTTGCATTTCACAAGCAAATCAATAATAATACTGAATTCTATTTGGCACAGTGCCAGTTACTGCATTAACATGTCACTTGTTTTGTTTTGATCAAACAGGATTGATCACAAATGTGTATCTGGAAATAGTTCATATGTAGAGTTAAATACGTTTTCAGATCTTTTGTTGATATCGAATTTGCATTACTATAACATCTGTCATTTTATTCTATTCTTAGTGAGCTAATATCAAAGAAATGTACAGAAAATTAAACAATTGAAGTTGAACAATTGTAAAGCTATAAAAAAAAATACTAAAGGTTTTTCTTTCAATATATTTCCATTACCAGAGCTTTCAACCACATCTTAAAGTCTTCAGTGTTCATCATGTGACCTGGTTATGGAGTTAATGTCGATTGGTAACAACTACCTCCAGCTAACCTCTATGTTCTGAAGAGGACTGTCACATGCGGTTGAAAGCGCCACAAAAATCTTTAGGTTTTTTAAGTTTGCTATCACTGATTTTAAACCATGATTTAAGTCATACCAAACATGATTGAGTTTATTAGCTTTCCTGCTAATGTTGTTAGTGTGGTGGTTAAAAAATAACGACGGTTTATTAGAATAACTTTTATTTTGACAGCTTTAGTTACAGTATAAGTTGTATGCATATACAAAATAAAGCGCAGGTTAACCTATGTTGTATTTTTTCTCAATAAAAGATATTAAAACAGTCATTTGCAAATCTTTAATCGAGTGGATTTAGTCTTTCAAATCAACATAAGGTCTGAGCATGCTCTGCTGCCTTACCTTACACTCTCCATTGATGCAGATGTCCAGAGAGTCAGCCTGACATCGGGTGCCGTCTATGACTGCAGGAGAGCGCTCTGTGTAGAAGTTGTAGCCCTCTGCTAGACAGTTCAGCGCACAGGGCTTAACACCACCTGGGTTACACAGAGTGCACACAGACAGAGCTCATGGTGAACTAGAGTTCAGCCTGCACACAGACAACATGACCTGAACGCCAATAGAGAAACTCAGAGATGAATGATAAACAACACATAGAGACTAGCAAACCCCGGGATCTCCTCTTGACTTGTTGACAATAATAATCATGAGGAGGAAAGTCAGCGGTGCTCGGATCTAAAACCACGGAAACCTGACGTCACTGTAACACCGACTCCAACAGAGAGAGCGCCGTCTGCCAACAACAATTACACTGACATCAACACGCAGGTTATCTGCTGTTTAAACATGACGGCTCGCAGCCCACGGAGCCCTTTAAATCAGGAGGTGATGGATTTGACAAAACAGACCCCCGAGATAAAAGAGATCAAACTTAAGCTTTCCCATCTCTGAAAGAAAACTAAAGCCGTGTTTACATGCTTCGACTTTTATCACTTTTTCTTGTGAAGTGGATATTTTCCATGATTTACAGACATCAAGGACAGAACTTAGGGGGAGAATGACACAAAGCATGTACTAATAAACGCCTGCCAGTGGATGAGATAGTACAATAGCATTTGCACCCCATTCTTGCTTAGACCAGAGTTTTTCTGTCAGGACGGCTTTCAGACATTTTACATTTCCAAGGTTGGAGAAGCAGCAGAACCTGGAGACGAGCAAAGATATTTGAACACAACACGGTGTGCAGCAATCTGAAGAATTCTCTACCCTTTCAAACAATCTTCACACTGTTGGTGTTAACTGTGTACACAACACAGACCGGCCTGCAGACTGTCATTTGTGACAGAAAAAAGGATGACAGTAAAATTGCACAGCTCAGCACGCAGCACGCAGAGCTGGTTGCATCAGATCAGCATCAGATCAGCATCTCCCTAGTTTATGGCTGAGCTATGATGCAATATGATGATTTAGTGTCTTGTAATGGAATCGTAATGTCTTCTTATATCAATGTCATACACAATTCCACCGTGTAAGTTGATGCATGTGCTTGCTCAGATTTAGCAGAAAATCTGAACAAATTAGTTTTTTATCGAGTTACGGTATTTTTTTTAAATAATATATTGTGGCATGGATTTTAATAAACAGCTGGAACAACCCGTCCCTGAACTCACCACCAGTGTAAGGCTTCCAGTTGTAATACTTCCCACGGAAAGGCATTTTGTCAAAATCAGCACACTGCTTCTCTCGGAAATCACGAGATCCTGCAAGGCAGGCCTGCAAATAAAAAGGATGTTTAGTAATTGTGATGCATACAAGTGTCAAGTATACTTAACTGACTGCTTACCATTTAAATCATTTCCATATAATGTACAAATCTAATAAAAGACTAATAAAATGTGCTTGAGATGAGTTAAGGAAAGACTGAGTTGAGATGGATAATATGCTTGTTGGATTGTTGAACATAGTCTTTTGTTTTTCTAACCTTTTCTTAATGTTCCATGCTTCACCAATCATGGATAGTCTTTGACAAATGGTTTTGTCGCTGGATACAGACTTGCTGTTTATAGTTTTTAATGTTTGTGAAATAAATGTCATTCTGGGGCTTGGAAGTTGTTTTCTTTAGTTGTTATTGACATCAACATTATTTTCCAATATAATTTAAGTATTAAAAACTGAGTGAAGCAGCACAGACTTTTTGAATCAATTTGCTATTTAAGTGCCAGGATGACAAAGCAAAGATTATGTAACTTTGAAAAAAAGAACAGAACTGATGTTCACTTTGATGGATTGCACAACTCAAACAAGTTAAAAGAGTCTGCCAATTGATTTTCATGTCATAAGAAAATTAATGGAAACCGATGGATAACTGGAACGAGTGGAAAATACCTCCCATAAATCTAGAAATCTGCTGCATGCATTCAAAAAAGTTCAGAAAAAAGTATGATTTGGAGTGAAGGAGTAAAAACTTGCAAGCACAGTGGTTTTAAGATTTTGAGTTGCAGTTGTGACCAATTGTGAATTATCTGCAAAATCTTTTTATTTATTCTGGGAAGTTTTTATTTGCATTGACAGCATTATTATTAACAACTGGACAAAGTCTGCAAAAGGATGTCACATTGTTTCCTGGAATCTCTAATTGAGAACAGTTTGTTTTACATATGGAAGGTTTTTGTTTTGTTTTCATGAGTGTTTGTTACTCCAGTTAGAGGAGGTAAAGAAGAAAAAGTATAAAGACACACTTTATTGGTGTGAAAAGGTCCTTAGAAACCCCAAAACACTCTCCCCCGGGACAAATAAAAGCTCTTGGGTCAAAGCTGTATTTCACATGCTGAAAGTGTTCGACGTCAGAGCCGGCCGTGGGGAAGGCCATTTTCATTACCACTCAAGTGTTTTGCCAATATGGCAGCTTTAAACTCGCACATCAAACATGCAGATGGAATCAGATGAGACAGAAGAATATTATTACAAGTGTGTGTTGAAATGACAACACGGCCGAATGAGATTTACATGTTCAAACACGTGTTTGAAGGAGGAAAAAAAGACTAAGACCACATCAGTAGGGCTGCAAGTTAGGATAAACCAGATGATTATGTTTTGATTAATCATTTTGTCCATAAAATACCAGAAAATAGTTACAAATATCCTGTGGAGCCAAAAGTTATTTCTTAAAGCATCAGTCCAAAAGACAGCAGCAAGTCTTCATTTATCATGTTTTATTCATTTAAGCTGGAACAAGATAATGTTCTTCTTAACAAATGGTTTAAATGACCAATGAGTTATCAACATAGTTGACGATTACGTTTTGGTTCATTGATCGACTTTGTATCTCCTCCAGTCTCTAGAGGTGAAGGGGAACACCACTGTTTTTAACAGATCAAAGTCAATTGACTAGTAATGACGTGTGCTACAAACCCTCTGTGGGAGCTTTTTCAAGTCGAGAACATTTTAATAACATAACTTTAGTATTCTTGTTTGTGCTGAGAGACAATTGTTTCTGTGAGCCATAACTCTGGGGATGTTATTCAGTCTACGACAGACATTTTGAAACATTTGATGTTTTAACAAGAAATTTGGCACAGATGTCCGTGATGGCCAAATTGTTGGGTTGCCCCTGTAATAAAATGACAACTATAACCAACATATCTGACTGTGTCCAAGACAAATTGGCTTTAATCTAATCAGAAAGATGATTCCTTTTTTAAATAGCTACTGCATGAAGCATTATGCCAATGTATAACAGCCTTATAATATAAAGTTACCTCCCACAGGAAATATGTAGTAGCAACAGGAAGTGAGAGAGGCCCCATTAACAAATGATATCTGACTGCTGATCAATGTAAAAACAGTTGTGGTATAAACATCAATTTATGCATGTAAGTGTGTGAGTGCTGCATTTGTCAATGTATCTACATCTGGTGCTCACGCTCAAACACATTTCCCTAGACAAGGTGTGGTCAGTGTGATGAAATAGTGGTTGGGGATGTTGTTTGTTTTCCAAAGAAAACACTCAGTGCTTGCTCTCAGCTGTTATTTTTAAGGCTTGCGGTTAAATGTCCACCAGGGCCCTAACTATTTCAATTTTCACCTTGTGAAAAAAAGCCCACCTGGAAATAGTTGAACAGAGATCTCCACTTGCAGCCATGTTAAATATTTGTTTAAAGCTTTGCTCCAGACCTCAAAAAAAAAAAAAGAAACTTGGTGAATTGCTTTTCATAAAATATGCTCTGAAACTGTCATCATGGTTGACTCAAGTGAAATGTCACAAACAATATGTGAACTATTAAGTGACAGATAACCCAAGAGTTGCTGGGGGAATATTGAATAACTGCCTGTGTGTTTTTATCATCGTCTGTCCTGCGTTCCAGGAAGAAAGCATGTCAGAAAGTGTAAAGGCGGTGTAGTGCTGCTAGCTAACATGCTCCTTATAAAGCCTTTCCTAAGATAACATGTTCCACAGGAGAAAAAACCTGGAGGCTCAGCAGTCATGCTGTGACAGGCCAAATCCATCCCGGGTCAGAATGCCTCAACTATCTCAGTCCCTTTACGAACCAGAGCAGGAAATCCATCAAGAGGACAGTTTAGCTTCCAAGTCACTTGTATACTTTGCTCCAAATACCAAGCAGACAGAGTAAAACAGGGAGGCAAAGAAATGAAGAAAACTTACGTCGGTGTTACAAGATCTGTAACGTTTCCTCTCCCCGAGACAATACTTCCCTCCTCCAGACGGGCTGAGAGACACAGGAGAATTCAGTGAGTTGGGAATTAAAAGGTGAGAGGACATGTTCAACGCATTGAGCGTCATAAATAAGCCACAAAGAAAACATCTTTGGTGGTGTAGTGAGTACATTTTGGTGAATGCAGTTCATGAAACAGGCCTCAGAAAGTCTCTGCCAGAAGACAAAGTGTGTTTGTATGTCTGCATTTGCTGCTTTGCCGAGTGTGTACGCCAGTGATTCATTCATGAAATCCAAGCTGCTCCGAGAGCTCTTAAATGTGACATGACATTTAGTTTTGGGAGAGAGACTGAATTCTGTTACCTCAGAGCGATCCACTAGATTTACTACATCTGCAAACGTCTGTTTTTCCTCTCTTATCATCTCTTCTTCTCACCTTCATTAGCCTCCCTTTCCTCTGAGACAATTTCCACTTCATTTGCAGAGTGAGCCAGGCTCTGTAATGAATGTGTCAGACGCTGCTCTGGCTGTGTTTTCTCTGCCTCCCTCCTCTTTGCACTGATGCCTGAGCGGCAGCGATCACCTTACACAGGTGTTCCACATTATGCCGGTGCCTTCTCCTCTTCCCCCTTTTTCCCTCCTTCCTCCTTTTTCCCCCTTCCCTCTAGTTCACCCTGGCTCTTTCTCGTGTCTTCCTAGACGTAACATCTAGCTCGGAAAACAAAAGAATGAACCGATGGGAGAAGGATAAACGTCTATTTCCAGACAAAGATGCGCTGGACAATGACTTGTCACGTGAGGACTAGGGGATGCTTTTAAACAACAGAAGTTTGTGAGCTGGGAGCTTAACTGACTGCACATGCTTCACCAGTACATCTTAAATAGCATAAGGACCAACCTCTGTGATAAGTTAGATTAGAAGATAGTGGTGCCCAGGACGACCTTGAATGAACCCTCCTCTGGTGACCTTATGTCTGTCTTGTTACGGCGAGACTGAGTAACTTTTAACAGAAGGAATAACATAATTGTCCTGCTTAACACATCCCTACTAAGGCTGGTGTGATCACTGGCCTATGGTGGCTAATGTTAGCATACTTAAACTTAGCATACTTAATACTGAAAATGGTTCATCTTGTAGCTGTTTAACATCATGTGTTTTCAGGCAGGTGGGCAGAGCTATTTTAGCCTAGCTTAAGCTTAAAACTGTGCACTTCAGTGGAGACTCCATGCTGTACTAAAATGTCCAACCAACATATTATAAATCGGCTCCAGCCTTTTATTTAATGCCTTTATATCTGCCTTTCTCTCGGTGGATCATCAATTTACACTTATTATTGACCACTAACTGACCTATTTCAACAGGAAACACACCACATTTATTTAATTATAAAAAATAAACGCCTCACTTCCTGTTTGACTTTAAAGTATTCCACCATTGTCCAGTATAAGTAAAGGCAAAACTGAAGTGGCATTTATTTACACAATGCTTTGTTACATCCTGTTGCAGTTGACAACAAAAAACTAGCAAAAATATTTTTTTAACAAAAACGCAATTATTTCTATGGAAAGTGGCATTTATCCCTTTGCTACTATTATGCCTCTCCTATCCCTTTCAAATATAAGATACACACACACACACACACACACGCACACACACACACACACACACACACACACACACACACACACACACACACACACACACACACACACACACACACACACACACACACACACACACACACACACACACACACACACACACACACACACACACACACACACACACACACACACACACACGTAGGCAGGACCTGGATGTGTGTGTTCAGCTTGCTGCGGCTTACTTTGCCTACTTACGCTGGGCTGTCACAGTGCCTCATGGAGGAGGAAACACCGCCCCCACAGGTCCTGCTGCACTCCCCCCACGAGGACCAGGGCCCCCAGCCTCCGTCCACACTCTGAGGCCAGGTACCGAACACCACACACTCCCCCTGGTAGCACCACTGCGAGCAGAAACGCAGAGGAAAGAGAGAAGGAAAGTTAAGTTATCATGCAGTCGAGTTGAATCTTATCCAAAATGTGAGACACATTTTAGACACGATTGTTTTAGAGTCACAATAACATTATTACATATGATTATGTATGTGCAATAGGGATATGTGCAATAGGGAAAGTGATGTACCTGTTTGTTTCTTTGCCATGTGATATGTGATCTCTGTTCTGTATCTATGACTGATTGACCTGAATGTTTTATGTGTATTATCTCGATGCCCAAGACAAATTTCTCCTAAGGGAGACAATAAAGCTCTATCTTATCTTATTACAACAAAGAATACTGCAGTGTCAGTTTTATAAAGTTTGACATCATGATAAATCAATGTGCATCTGTGTACAATGAACTGTAGACTAAACAGTTGTCCTTCAATAACACACGCTCTCCCTCTGCCTTGCTTTAGAAACACACACTAACTTGTGATTACAATATTACTCACCCTATAATTCATTTCCGTATTAGCCCTGTTATTTCTCCTCTCTTACCTGTCATTCTGTATGGGTTATTGCTGACCTGGTTTCCTCCTCGTTGAGGTTAATTGTTGGATATGTAATGTGACTCAACTCAAGTTAAATCCATTTTAACATTAAAGGAATAGTTCAACATCTGAGAAGTACTTATTAGCTCACTCCAAAATGGAAATGATTAAAAATGAGAACACAAATGTCATTTAACAAGCACTTGCTCAAATCAATACAATTGCTTTCCTGCTAGAGCCTTACTTAGCGGCTGGTGGTAGTATTCAAACGTGTGATGTCACTATGTCGCAGAAGTAAACAAAGGAGAACAATGGAGGCATTTAAGGCAGGGGGGAGGTGTGTGGGAGAGGAACACAGAGATGTTAGCCTTTGCAGACCATTTACATGCAAAAAACCGCTGCATAACACACTACAGGAAAGGGAAAACCCCCAAAAAGCATAATAGGGCCCCTTTAATTTGTTTATTTGTTTTGTCCAACAAAATGTGTGCTTAGAATCCTCTTGAACACATTATTACCTTAACAATTATTTGATTACAAGTTGTAATCAAATGTCTTTGTGTTCTTGTTTCCAGAGTACTGTGAGGAGCTTTCAGAGGCAGGTGAGGGATGTACAGCAGTATGTGTGCTGATCAGGAGTGTTTTAATCCTCGTGCTAAGCTGTTCACAGCTCCAGAGGGAAGAGAGGTTTAGAGACATCCCTTTGTCTTTCAACTGTGTCAGTGGGTTAATAACTCAGAGGCTGGGACAGATAAGGTAAGGGCTGCGTGTCCCTCTCTGACTCACTCATTCCCGTCCTGAGATGCTCTTTAAACAAGATTATCAGTGGGAGAGGAGAGAGGAGAGATGTGTTGAGGGAAACTGCCTGACAGAAACACAGAGGGGGAGCGGAGATGAAGTCTAGCAAACTGTTTATCTGTGAGTCCATTTAAACATACAGAAAACTCCTCTCAGTTGGTCAGTTTCTGCCCCTCTCCCGCCTCCCTCTGCCCTCTCCCCCAGCCTCTCTCCCTGCTCCTGGTGGAAGGGCCTCTCTCCATTACACGCTGGGTGAGAAATGGCTGACATTCATATTCCTTTGAAGCTCTCCCCGGGCAGGGGCAGACACGGTCTGCCACTAGCTCTTCTAAAGCTGCTCCAAAAGCTGATTCAAAGCCCCCCCGGCTCAACCTGGGGCCCCCTGTGTTGTCCAGGACCCTGTCCGTGGGCCCCGGCCCTCAAAGGCTCCACTGAGCTAATGGTAATCGCGGGTGACAGCTCGTGACACTCTGCTATTCTTCCCTTTTAGACCTCGGACCATCCGGTGACAATGGCTGCCGTAATCCGTGTTAAAACTGTCTCCCCTAACCTGGCTGGCATCAAGAGCGGGCTGATGACCTAAAGCTTGGCCTGCTAGCATGTGTGTTTTTGTGAGTGTTAGCGCCATCCCAGAGAGGAATAGATCAAAGTTGAGGCAGTGAGGTACCACTATCAGAGGCTCATTTCTGCACACAGAGGTTATTGATGTGCTCATTACAGATCAAAAAGTATAAAATAAAAAAGGTATGCATATGATTTTCACACTTAATTAAACGTTCTTTCTGAAAAACCCTCTGTTTTTGCCTCAACCAAAATATATTATAGGTTAATGGAATTAGTTTGTGGTGCTGACTGCATTGAATAAATACATCACAGCAACATGTATATTTTCTGAGTGCTATCATTCATTCACAAAAAACTAAAATCCCAATGACGATGCCGCTGGGTTAATTGTCAAGTATAAGAAAATGTATTTCAAAATTCCTCTTTTCTCCTCCCGTAAAACAAAAACACATTTTGATGACCCGTCTTGACCTGGGTGACGGGGGTGGAAATGTAATCATTTAAATGATTGATGATGCAAAGCTAACCAAGTTCATCATATCAAAGCGAACTTGACTGTTAACGTCTGGGTTGCAGTAGCTGGGAGAGATATCATAGGTCAGAGGTGAGTGTGTGGCTGTCAGTTTGGAAAAACATCTCTTACTCATCCTCCTCCTGATCTAGCAGTGTGTTTGAAGAATATCTTAAACCGCCCACGAAACCACTAGGATTAAGTGAGAAAATGTGTTTTTCCAAAATGTGTTATTCTCTGGTAATTTGGAAGAATATTCGATGACTTACCCCTTTATCAATGCTTCCAGTCTGGCACAGGGTCCCCTCCGCAGCAGGGATACTGTTGGTTACACAGCGGTTGCTTTTGCTAAGGCACCAGAGCTCTCTACACACTTCCTAGGAAAGAAGGCAAAAGCAAGTTGGTCAGAATAAATCAATTCAGTAGACCGGGGGGTGGATCGCTGATTAAGGGAATGATTCGTCAGTAGCCTTTGGTGGTTTCTTCTCCACTCTGACGGAGAAGTAGGAACAAAACTATCTATAAATCTACTTGATTCAAGATCAAATCAGATGAGTTGATGAGAGGCATCTAACTTTAAGAGCTCATATGCTTTGGATCATCGTACATATTGAGCAATACGCCGAGGGTCATTGGGTGCTCTTAATGTTCTCTTATGAGAAATGAAGAGTCAGCTGGATCAACACCATGACTAACGTTTGCACGTTCACCTCAAGACCACACGGGACCGTGACATCAGTTCAAGAAATCCCATTTCTGCTGCTTAGGGGAAATCAAGAATGAGCAATAGGCCTCCCAAGTCTTAGATAAAGAAGACTTGTAGGTCTAACAAATATCTTTAGTATTACTGAGTGGTCTGAGTAAACATCCCCGTCTTCTCCTCCTTAAGTCTAGAGCATAAGGAGAATCCATTTAAATTAAAAGGAAGGGAGTGTGTGTGTGAGAAAGAGAGATAGTGGGTAGACAGCACAAAGTTGCCCCCAAATAAATAAAACCATAAAGAGAACACATGTTACAAGGACTGCTCTGCACAACCTTGCATTAGATTTCCCATTAAACCGAGCTGGGACGCCCCCGTGTCTCGTCTTCAAAGGCTTTTACAGGACAATTGTGTACTGCAGAAGAGCAGGCTCATGAAAAAGAGTTATGATCCAGCGCATAGATCGTGACCCCCGGGGTCAGTAAATATGCCACGGCCCCGACGCTCCCTGAGCCTATCCAGATTAAACAAAGCGGCAAACTGCCACTCTCTGGTTGCAGCGGCTCTCCTCTACCAGCTGGTTTCAATAAGCCGCCGCTGCTCCATTCACTATCTCCACCAGCTGAAGGGTTAGCGTCCCGGGCTTTAACGAACGTGGATGTGCGCCTAATGGATTTACGCAACGTGAGAACAAGCCGGCGATAAAAAAAAGGGCAAGGGCACTCGGTGAGGGCCTTGCTAATAAAGCCATCAAATGTTGTTTGTTTTTCATACCTTCCAGTGTCACGCAGCTGACCTGCCTGTGTTGGTATCTCGGGGCACTAACTGAAGTAGGAAATGGTCATTGGAACCAAATTAACGCAATCAATCACCATAACTTCCTCTCTTGACTTATGTGTTTCTTTTCCCACCTCTGACACAGGCTCACACTGTGGTTTTATGTCTGTGAGATCCCCCGCGGTTCTTTAAAAGTTTTGAATTTAGTTCAACCGCCGCAAAGATGTCGTTGGCCATATTCAGTGAAATATTGCTGTTGTTTTACTCGACATGAGTGGTTTACAATCTCTTTTGGCAATGGCCCCTAAATACAAAGCAATATACATTTTTGTTTGATTTGTGAGCAACTCAATTATGATCAATTATCATAGAGGTTCGATGCATTTTAAAATTAGACAGAAAAAAAAGAGTCTACATCCAGACTGTTCTTAGTTTAGCATGCTTACATTTACCAATTAGCACTAAAAAGCCTAACATCTTATTGTTTGAGTAAACAGCCACATGGTCATGGTCAAACTCAAAAGTATAACAAGCCGACCGAAACCATTTTAAATATCCATGTTTTCACAAAAAACTCTCAAGTCTTTGCATTCGTATTCTAATTCCCAAGTCCTAACCTCGGAGTTTCAAGTCCTGAACAAGTCTTAACGCGCTTTTCTTGATATTTTGTTGTATGCAAATGAAGTTATGCATGGTATCATTCTTTGTACCGCTCAGTGAAGTAACTTGTCATGTGTGCTCTGAGTTCACATCCTGTCCTGAAGATAAATGAAAGAGGTGCAGATTTGTGGCAGGCATTTCAGAGTTTGGACATACAAAAATAACAAATCACTTTGTTATCAAACAGTCTAAGCCCAACATGTTTTACTAGTGAAATACTAAAACTACAATATGACATTATTTATCGTAATATTAAAGATAAACTTTGATATACTCTGACTAAACCTCCCCTGGTTTCCCATCACTGTTTTCTTTCGCATTACAAAACGATAACGAAATACAACATATTTCCATCCAAATGTGGAGGAGTTCAGCAGGTTAGAGCTGAGCTTTAGAAACCAGACTCTTCCACTCATTAGACTTTTTATCCATTTCTGTGGTCACGTCTGTCCTGAGAGCAGTCGCAGAGGGCATCTCTTTCACAGATGCTGTATGAAATAGATCTGATTGTCAGATGAAAAACTCCAATCTAGTCTGTGGAATCGTGCTGGAATCCAATCCGCTCATAAATGTTCGTCTTTCATGCTGATCTAAAACCACAATTATGAGCTTAGAAACCAAAATAACAGGGCTTGATTTGGGGCCTGTTATAATCTGCTGTCTTTCAATGAAATGAAATAACCTCATGATCTCAGCTAATCTACGTTCTCTTTTTCCAATATTTACGTAACGCAAAACAATATCACATTATTGTTCATTAAATCTTCGAGGATTCTTTTGACTGCTTATTTTACCGTGTGGCTGTTTCTCATCTTTCATTGCCTGTGTCATTTATGAAGTGCGGTTTTCTCATGACTCTGGCATGGGGGGTGAATCATTATCCTCACAGACTTAAAGATGAGAGAAGTGTTGACTTCAATCCTTCATCTCTCTGTCCGGGGCGTTTATAGATTAATAAGAAGAATAGGGCAACGTGTGGAAAGACACTTCTAAACCAGCTCTTGTCGTCAGACAATAATAAAACTATTATCTTCCCCTAATGTTTACCCTCCATTAACCTCAAGGAGGAAATATTAACTTGAAGAAAACTGTTATCATCTCAGTGAGGACTGAACATGCTGTGATTGCACATAGACACCTCTTATTCAACATGTGAGAAATAACAGAAATTAAAATGGAGCTTGTTGTTTCAGATGCTTTTGTTTTGCATTTGGTTTTAATTGATATATGACTTCTTTACAAAAAAATGTGCAGCGCTTTTATCCATTTCATAAGTGTCTTTAATAGACATTTAGAAAGCTATTGGAGGGAAAAATGGCAATAAAACCTAATTTGGTCACATTACATCATTTTGCTTTTGTTTTTTAAGCAATGGAGCTCACAATGGGATACCAGATGTGTTTTTTATCTCAAAGGTGCATGATAAAAAAAAACAAGAACGTTTTAAAAACACATATTTTGGCCATTTTGCTCAAACCTTTGAGAAGACTCCTAACTTCAGTTCATCAGTTTCCCACACAGGTAAAAATAACTCCTTTGCAACATCATATACATATCAGATTAATACATTCATTTATGTCCAATTTACTTTCCAAGTTCAATGTGTGTTGGAGATGCTAAAGTAACATTGTTAACTTATAAAAACTAGAACTAAATGAGCAGTTCAAACATAAAACAGGGATCCTTTGGGTGAGTAAGAGGAGGACAAGAAGACAGATGCTGGTTTCTTACCCCATACTTGCACTGGCGTGAGGAGGTTCCGTACTGGAAGCGACACTGCTCGTCTGCATCGTACACCTGCCCAGGGGCCACTGTTGGGTACAGGAAGTCTCGTTTCAGAGGTTCATTGTCCAGACACGTCCCCCGACCTGAGCTGTCAAAAAAACAAACCTACAATAGGATTGTTTCTTACACAAAGAAACCTTTCTACACTTGGCTGATGGCAGAGCTAGAAAAGCCAAGATTGAATGATTAAAGCCCCCCCTCCTCCTTGTTTCTTTAAGACCTTGGCTGGTGTTGCTCGACTCATTTTATTTTACCACCAAATTACAATTGTAGGTAGCCTGACTCAAATCTCAAATGACATGTAGTTGATGTTGATATCACACATCAACACCTCCTTATCAAACGGAGTGTTAAAGCACATGCAGAGACATTTTACCACAGCCAAAGAGGACCGAGCTTAAAGAGCAGCCTTCTCTGATTATATGGCTCTGTGCTCCACTATTCATATATTGAATCCACAGCAGAGTCAATAGAATCACAGAGCAGGGAGAGGAAGAGAACAATCTGGAGTGAGCTATGGGTCATATGTCCGGGGCTAGGAGTATGTTTAGTCTGTTTGTCCGATAGAAATGTGTGCGCTCACACAAAAACTTGCAGGGAAAAAAACACTTGGCTGATTTGTATTTTAGTCATTTACAAATAAATACACACAGTTGTTTCTTTGCATTGTGTGTCTGTTAATCCTGGGATGAGACGCTGAGCTGTGTGTATGCTTTTATCGCCCTATCTTTGAGGTCAGACAATCAAATGTAGTATTAATCTGTTGACCTTTAGCCCACTTGTATAACATTCAAATCATACCAAAGGCAAGTGCCAATAAACAAATAGAGATATGCTTGCTTCTGCCTGAGTCATTGAATACACTCTAGGCTAAATGCTACTACAATATTTACTATAACACTGTGTTCTTTCCAAATGTGGCAGCTGCAAAATGCAGAGGAATGCCTCCCATCCAGCAAAAGGAAAAGTGGGCCTAGTGACAACAATAACGTAGAGCTAGGCGTTATGATTGACTGCAGCTTGGACCCACAATGCAGCAGTGAAGAAGACAGAAACTTAAACATTGAACGGCTGGTCCACACAAAACTGCAAAATCACATATTTGACCACATACCTACAGTGATATATGGCCGAGCTGATAGATTTGAAAGTATATACTACTAAGTACATTCCCCAAAAAATTCTAGCTCAGCTGATTTTTTTAAGTAATAGCTGTTTTTCAATAATTTCCGAACAAATAGACCCTACAAAAATGGTTGGTTTTGTGCAACTGATTCTGAAATAAATATTTTTTTTATTACACTGAGCACCACGAACAAACATTCAATACATCAGCTGTCCTGGGAAGAAGGTCTTCATTTTAGGGGTTTTATCTTAAAAACTATCAAATTAAATCAATCTGCTTGGCTGAACATACCATTTAAAAATGGCTAGACTGAGCCTTTAATGTAATTTCCAGAGCTAATTAAGAGGACAAATGTTTCCTTCTCTGCTTTACCTCAGGATTTTGTTCCACCAGCTGTTTTTTTAAGAGATCTTCTACATATTTTTTTATCCCAGTGTAATAAATATAAAATAGTAATTTAGTAGAATTAATGATTCCTTTTTGACCCTCTTTGTCCTCCAGTATAGAATAATCCCATTTCTTGGCTCTTGTTCCCCGGAAGACCCTCTCATCATGGAGAAAGAGACACAAGTGGGTCTCTGAGGCCCCCGACTCCCTGTGCACTAAGAGCAAGCCTCTCTATTTATTGGTTTGGAAAGGGACAAAATAGTCAAAGATTAAACATAGAAGCTATTATTTGGTCGTAATGGCTTCCTGTCCGGTGGATTCAGCCAAATTCATTATGCTGAGCGGAAATATCCTCTAATAAGCGCGAACATCAGCAATCCCCGAACTCTGACACCGGTCGTTTATGTAGAAATTAGCCATGCTGAGTGTGTCCACCCATCAGCATGATTAAATCAGACTAACCTAACAATTATCACAAGGCACAAGCCACATAAATCTAATATGAAACTTAATAGATCATATGTGGTCTCTGAGAGTTTAATAAACCCAAACAGCCTGTCTTTTAACATTTATAACAAACTGGCGTAAAGACTTAGGAGGATAAACTTTGACTGAACTGTGAGTGTATTCATAAACCACTGCTAAAAGGCCCAAACAAAGCAGCGCATATTGCTTTAGCAAGACGGTGAATCTAGGCCAGCACGACAGCCAAAGTTGTTTACTTGGCTAGGAGAAGCGTGTGTTATATCCAAAATTCGGATCGAGGGAGAGAAAGAGAGGATAATTGGAGTTTACAGACAGAACGATAGCAAGCAAAAGGCAATAAAACACTAAATTAATACAAAAAACTCAAGAAACAGTCTGATACTTATAGGGCTATAAATATAAGCTAAGCAGAGGTTTATTCTGCTGAGAAAACAAGAAATAAAAAACAACTTTGTCTTTTTGTTAGCTCTGGTCATCCTCATATATACTGGAGCCAGCGCTGGACAGAAACCCGGCGCAGCAGCAGCAGAGAAGCGCCTCTTTGTGTCCCGGCTGGAAACTGGCACATGTTACTGTCATCTCTGTCACAAGTGTTGTTCATGAACCCTCCTCTAACAGCTTTCATCCGGAAACATCATTTGACAACCACAACAGCTATTATCGGCGTCTTGGAAGGCCTCGCTGACTAAACATCAATACACACACACACAAACAGACACACACAGACACACACACACACACACACACACACACACACACACACACACACACACACACACACACACACACACACACACACACACACACACACACACACACACACACACACACCACACACACACACACACACACACACACACACACACACACACCGCAGACTTGCAGCGCATCCAACCAATCCTTCACTACAAGGTTGTTTACAAGGCTGTTGTGGAAAAATGGAAAAGGGAGGATCTTTTTGTTTATGAAGCAGCTACGGATATCTAAAATCCTCCCTGGAAAGCTTAAATAAATAGGCTCGTTGGTGCAATAAAAAATGCAATTTCAATCACAGATGCATGCACTTACAGTATACCAAGCTGTGAGACTCTGATTCAAGCCTGTTACATTGAAGTGTTCCTTTTAAAGACTTCCAAATAAATACAAATAAAATCCCTGTTTAAATCTGACCTCTGCAGTCAGTATAACTAACTCACTTCTTTAAGAGCTGTTATATCAGCTTGAAATGATTGTTTTGTCCGCTTGAAGGCACCAAACTGTAAACACATTCACATTTGATCACCAATTGATTGGCTCTGTCTAATGTCAAGGTAAATAGTGAGAGGACTTTGAAAAGAGGAGGCTTCCTTGACCTAATTCTGGCACGCTTAAAGGATAAAGAAGAATGGCAGCATGTTTCTCCTCTGCTGGAATAATCCTGACCACTTTCTGATTGTTATTCCTACACAATGAAGCTGTTGGCAGTGGACCAGCCTGTCCAGAGCTCCGTTTGGGAGAAACACCACTCTTCAATCCACAGCGAAAAACAGTCCCCAAGTCAAATGTATTAGAGACTGTGTCTGTGAGACCAGGGTGAGTGAGAATGCGTATCTTCTGGTTCTGCTGCAACCATTTTCACGAGTCCTACAAAGTTATAAGAGTGCTCAGATTCAGGGAAATTAGAGCAGCTCATTTAGAAACCTCCTCGAAAAGCAGCTTTAACTCAATAAACCAGTGGCCAGCAGGGATCAGTTAATACACTCCTGTCATGTCCAAAGATATCTGTTCACTGCCAGACTCTGAAGGCCATATCCAGATGTTTTGTCTGGCCTTCTATGAAAACATCTGCTTTTTTGTTTTTACCATACCAGGCTGGTATAACTCAGCCAGCAAATCTATTATTCAGCCAAACATCTCCGATTTGGTTTATTTGTGCACTTAAGCTTCTTTTTTTCTTTGACCTATCCACAAAACAGCGGAGTAGTGGTTGGAGGCAGCTGGTCTCCGCATCACCACCGAGCACCACATGAGCCCCAACATCACCCGCCTTGTGGTGTGAGGATGCAAGGGGTGGAAGGCACCCGGTTATCACACACAGCCACAAGGAGGTCTGGCAGGAGGCTTGGTGATGAAATGAATGTGAAAAAGTGGGGAAGGCCCTGCTTACAGGACATCCTAGCGGGTCACCGCAAGCCGGCGGCAGCGGGTTGCGGAGAGGCGGCTGCAAGCGAGCTGGAAAACAGGCATGCTCCTTTTTCTGATCACACACACACACACACACACACACACACACACACACACACACACACACACACACACACACACACACACACACACACACACACACACACACATACACACACACACACACACACACACACACACACACACACACACACACACAGGGAGCAACCATCATCCACTTACTCGAGAAAGCTGGTGATGTAGTCTTTGCTGCAGGCGGACCAGGAGAAAGGGTTGGTGTTGGCTGTTATATGAGCGGCCATTAGCTTGGCTGTCTCGTGGCCTTTGGTACCGCAGGAATTCCCGATCCCGTCGTGGTTCATCCCAAAACTAAGACGCAGAAAATAAAAAGTGGAATTAGGTTCAGCTGGGTTTGCTGATCATCAGTAACCACGGGTCTAAAAGTGACCCTGTGTTTGGCGGTGAACAGATGGCATGAGGGTGGACAGTTCAGGGTGCTGTTTCTGCATGATGTCTCCCTTAGTGGCCCTGGCTATAAAGATGGAGCTCTGTGGCTCTGAAACAGCTGTGCGGAGGGGAGCCAGAAGTCAAGGGTCAAACCCTGTCTGGAGCTCGGCAGGAATGAAAATGTCTAATCACTACTTTGATGCCTGCATGTCAATCACCGTCTGCAGGTCTGAGCAGGCCGGGAGGGAGAGTCTCTGCTGAGCTTTAGATCAATCGCTGCACCAGAGAAAGACCCAGCTCCCGACCTTGTGGTCTGTTATAAAAGCTGCTCAATAATTTATTTTGCACTGAAAATAAATCCTTTCAAAAATGTATATAAAAAGAAAATACCTTATCTGTCTGGATATCTTTTGAGGGAAAATCTCTCCTTAGCAGGATGTCAAAGCTTACTTTTCCTTACAGTCCGGGAGCACAAATCAGGTCTAATGTATATAACAACCCCGACCACATTGCACAGCCTGAACCTGTTTTTCTAAGGCTGGCGTTTATGACATTTTACCCTACTCTGGAAATAAATCAGCCCCGCTGCAGTGTGTTTTTTTATACATCCTCTAGAAGCAGAGACTATTTTTACAACTGCCCCACAACAGAAGCAGACATGAGACATAATAAAGGAAATCGCCATCTTGCTAAAGTCTCTCGAGAGGGATACGTAGACTAATACATCATCATTATTTTGCTTTATATTCAGGAAGAAAGAGCCAGAGGTATGTGGACACTGACATTTGCATGAGGAAATATGTGGAGATACAGTTCAAGACGTCTGCAGGGGGAAGAAAAGGCTACATGCAGGTCTGGCAAACTCAAGTACTAAATAATGTTTGCTTAAGAGCAATTATTAGAGTGCACACAATCGTGATAAAAGGTTTCAAGATGATCTGAACAAATTCCTTATGCAGCAACCAAGTGCAACACTCTCTAAAAATGTGCAGTTTCACTTCATGTCTGTATCACAGGATCTTTAAGAATGACTCTTTTCATCCTGCATGAGACTCAGCACTGCCGTTTGCATCAGCGTGTAATATCAGATTTTATACCTGGATCTTAAAAGTATTAAAACTCACTTGTGGCCGATCTCATGCGCAATTGTGAAAGCAGAACCAAGGCCGATGTCTTCATTGATGCTGCAACTCCTCTCGGGCTCGCACATTCCAGCCACTGAGGCCAAGCCTGGACACACACACACACACACACACACACACACACACACACATACACACACACACACACACACACACACACACACACACACACACACACACACACACACACACACACACACACACACACACACACACACACGACAAACACACACACACACACACACACACACACACACGACAAACACAAGGTCAAGACAAAGCATTCTTAGGAGTCACGGTCATAAAAATGGGATTCCACACGTACGATCTCCTGTGCACCAGTGGGAGTTTAGCATCACTGGCTAGACCTTCTTTTTTTTGTATTCCTTGCAAACTACAGCAACTGCTGGAAAATGTCTAGACAAGGGTTAGATTTATACATTCATGTAACAAGGGATCGGCTAAAGCGAGCCAAGGAAGGGAATATAAGGACCCCTTCACCAACACCGTGCCCCACCAGAAACCTGTCAGAAAATATAGATGTTTTCCTCATTTCTAAACCGGAGTTGGAGAACGAGAGAGAGGGGAAACAGAAAGGGAGAGGAGGAGAGGGTGTTTAGAGTTGAAACTGCTCCACAATCCAGGTGTCTCAAGTCCTTTTTTCCTAAAGCCTGACAGGTCAGATAGGGAGACAGGAGGCCATTCTTCACAGATTACATCTACAGGTGACTGGAGAGTGGATCATATGACAGCGCAAAGCAGTTGTGTGTGTTTTTGTGGGGGATGCAGATATTGTGAGGGAAGGACTGACCATTTTAATTAAGTGGTTTTCAAATGTTTTTGAGCTGAAGTTGAAGTTAAGAGGAGGCACTATAACAATTCTTTACATAAGTTAGAAAACTTGCTTATTGGCAGTTTTAGTGTTCTTTGCTTAGGACTCAAGATATTCTAAAACGTGCCTCATTTTCCGATACAGTGGAGGTTAATGGGATTTCTATTTTGATGCTCAAATCTCATAAAACACAGCAATACAACATTTACAAACAACTTTTCTTTCTGAATAGTGTCTCTGATAAACTGGATAATCCCTACACTTTACTAGTCACGTTTTTCTATCCACTATTACAGTATCTAGACTCTATCTATTTATTAATAAAAATGCATAAAACCAAGTGGATGGAAAAGCATTTACTGTCAGCATTTACTTAGCACTCCTCCCTGTTTAGGGTGAGACCGATATCTCTTATCCTAGACAAATTCACCTAAAACTGAAATGCTCAATCCAACAAGGGCTAAGTGACCGTTTAAATTCATACGAAGCTCTGAATTTAGTTTTCCATGCACAGACAGTGTGTTGCAACTTGCAGTCTAAGTGTGATACTGATAGATGGGACACACCTGCATTCGCACTTGAGAGTAACCTGCGTAAATCATGTTTTGGTGGTCAGCGCTGCTTCAGATTTTCCGGTATAGTTTGCACGAAATCCCTGCCTCCCTGCTAAAAGTGGCATGGCTTTTGTATCCTCTTTACTAAGAGGCTAAACAAGAATAGACTCGCAAATCAGGAGGCCACTGAAACCATTACTGCAGGGAAAGAGGGAGCCTGAAGGTGAAGAAAGGAGGCGAGGGAGGGAAGGAAGGAGGGTGGCTACTCTACGATTAGTTTAAGAATGTTTGTGTGAGAGAGAGAGTAAAGTGTGTGTGTGTGTGAGTGTGTGTGTGTGTGTGTGTGTGTGTGTGTGTGTGTGTGTGTGTGTGTGTGGTGTGTGTGTGTGTGTGTGTGTGTGTGTGTGTGTGTGTGTGTGTGTGTGTGTGTGTGTGTGTGTGTGTGTGTGTGTGTGTGTGTGTCGAGGGTGAGCCAAACACACACACCCTGCATTGTAAGTTGTTTTCTTAACACCGGGGTGGACTCTGCATTATCTCTAGGCCCGTGATTACACGGCGACCCTAAAGGCCAGCGATCTGACCTGGGAGCATGATCCCAAAGAGGAGAGGGAGGACAGGAGGGGAGGTGGGGAGGAGGAGGGGTCAGGGGAGGGGGGGTTGAGACAACGAGGAAGCCAAGCAGATGCCAGTGCAATTAAAGCGACCGGGGAATGTGACGAATGCGGTCAATCTGTCAAACCACCCCTGAAGTCACAATATTACCTCCAAGATATACTGTGGTGCCTGCGGGGCCTTAACAAAGATAAGATGGTGAGAGAAGTTGGGTGAAGGGGTTGGAGAGGAGAGAGAGGTGGAGGAGGGAGGGGGGGGGGAGTCTCTGCCACTGCTTGCTGTCCTTTTTCCCACCCCCAATACCATCACAACCAGCATATCGCATTTTATCTCCCTCCTGCATACTCTAACACTCCCCATAATTGTCCTTTTCCCCTTCCATTTTCCTTTCAACTCCTCCTCTACTTCTCCATCTCCTCCTTCTGTCACTACTCTCCTCTTTATCCCTCCTCCCCCACCTCGAGTCTCCCTCCTCGGTTTCCCAACACATACCTTCTCCTTTCTCCCACAACCCCCAGTGGAGGAGCTATAATAACACAAGTGAAAACATCCTTCTCATTATGTCTCACAGGAGCCGTCTGGTGTTCTTCTAAAGGAGACTGCGAAGGTTGCTAAATAAGGTTTGTCTGAGGACACGTTGAAGGCTGAATGTGAAAACCTCTCTGGGGGGAAAGGAGAAGATTGAAGTCCTAATCCAGAGAATCATAGAGTCAACATCGGCTAAGATTACCAATTTGGCAAGAAAACCCATGTTAATATACATTAATGTTACTCTGCCTTAGTCCACTCACCTAGGGTACCGCAGGGTTTGTTCTTGTACGTGCAGATGTCATACCTAAAGGCGGGTGAAAAAAAGAAAAAGAACACAAACAATTAAATTAACTCTACACTTTTTTTCAACATATACAGTATTTTCTTCCACTGGCTCTTTGCCATCCCATTCTTTCCATGTGTAATCAGTCTGGCGAGATATAATCTCAACCTTTAGCATAACAATAGCATATAATAAAGTTGTGACAGGTTCAGTTGGAGAAAACACCTGGTTCACTGCTCCATCTATAGCATTTAGCCTTCAGGGAAATGCCACTTAGCTAATACACAGTGCTCAGACGTGAATGAGAACAAAGTGAAAGGCTTTGCTCATGCTGTGTCCCCACTGTTAACCCCTGTAACTCACATACAGGTAATCCAATAGAGGCCAGAACACTCTGAGCCACATCATACATTTCAAATGAAATATCCAATCATTCCTAAAGCTTTTAATCTATTAAAACCAAGGGCACAGAACATGTAATTTCATTCTCCTTCCCCTCACTCCCCGTAAACTCCTCTTTCTCTCCCCCTTCTCCCCATCTCTCTCTCTTCCCCCCTCCCCAGTGGAGCAGCACCAAACCAAAGAAGTACAATCTTGACCTGGTTTAGGACATCTATTTGTTTTGATTTATTTCCCTAATTTCCCTCTGTGTTTTGTTTTGAAAGCGACAGGCCACATTCCAAACAAGGCAGCCTCAAAATGCTGTCTGATGCAGAAACTGACAAAAGCAACATTGCTATGAAGGTCACTTTAAAGACGAAAACGGTGAAATATCTCAATGAAAGGGGTTTTGTGTGTCCTGCTGGTGCACCTCTGCAGGAGAGCTACATTGATCAGAGATCACAAGGAGGTAGTAGTAGTGGAATTTTCTGACACATAGTTGCAGGGACAATGTTTGATTCCTGTGAGCCTGGTTATAACAACAGATAATGAAAGTCTAAATCCCTATCATAATAATATTATCCCATTATCCGACCAACACTTCAAAAACAAAATATATTGAGTTTACAATGACATCAAACAGAAGCCTTACAAAAGAGAAGCTTGAGCAGGTGGAATATGTACTTTAAAAATATCAACAAATAGGCTAATCATAATAATATAAAAGTATAAATTAAATAAACGTTGTGAGTACTGCAAGCATCTACCATCTTAAAAATAATACTGGACCTTTTTTAGGTGCATTCCACCTTTGTACGGAATGTGGGACTGCTCCTCCAGACATGGTGGTTAATGAGGGCTTCCTGTTGTCTACCATCAGCTATTTATAATATTTATAATGTTAGCATCTCTGAGCTCAGCTGTTGCCTCCTCCCCACAGCTTTTTATTTCATTATCTCTATCCTTATTTTTGCTCTCTTTTACCAGTATTTCATCATACAGAAATAACCCTGCAATGCACGTATGAAGCACATAGTCGCATTTCCTTAAAACAGTGTTGGTGTTAGCTTAAGCAATATTAGCTTACAAACTGACAACATGCCACCTATATAGAATAAGCTAAACTAAATGTCCCCCCTTATTTTAAGCTGCTGTTTTGAGGTTTTATATATTCAAACACATGTAGCCTACTATGCGTTCACTAAAACATAATAAATGATAACATAAACCGAGTCTTGGGAATATAGCTCGGTTTATGTTATCGACAAACTGCGATCGCAACTACTAGCATCGCAGTTTGCGAATGCGATGCTAGTAGCAACTAAATGCTAATGTAAGCATGCTAATTATACAGCTGTAATGTTTACAAAGTTCGCCATACTAGTTTAGCATGTTAGCTAACATTTGTTAATTAGCGCTAAACACAGAGCATGGCTGAGACTAAATGTAGTCGTGTCTCTCTTTCATCGGTTGTCCAGCAGTAGCAGGGGGGCTGTTTGAGGCAAACCAACTCTGATCAAACGTTACCTTTTCAGCACCAAACGACAGAAAAAGTTATCCACAGTGCAACACTTAGCAAGCTTGTTGTTTGAGACCAAAACAGAGATCAAATAAAAGTATTATTGAATTTACATTGTTCAGGTTTCCAGAAACATACCTCTTCTGTGATGATAATGTTGCCTTCTAGATATTAAAGTAGTAATTTACTAGCTTGTAATGTGGGTATACAAACTTTAAAGGGCTTGTTTCATAATTTGTTCTGCTATCACATGCCCAAAATTGCATCATGCAATTTAACTAGCAGAATATGTGATTGATATGTCTAATTCTGCAGGTACTGCTGCGGGTTTTCTTTATTTCATCATGGGTGGCGCAGTTTGGGATGTTTATTATGTAGTTTACCCTTGTTAAACATAAATGGATAAGTTTGTAGGTTTATGAGTTACAGGCCGGTTTAATGAGATGTTTGGTATCTTGAAAGAGTGATACACATGTATCACCTCTCAAAGAGATAAACATCGTGAATCTACTACACAGCCTTTGGTGTATAAGTGCTAAGTGAAGCTAAAAAACACCATTAAAAATGGAGCAAAAGGAGCTGGAGAACCTCAACTGACAGACAAACAAGCAAAAGCACACTAATGATAGAACGGCTGTTTTATACAAAGCCAAGAGAGTCAATAACCTTGGCATAAGCCCATGTCAATCACAAAATGCCATCTTTAGACAAACCTGTGTATGTGGGGGGTAGATATATTTGAGTTGCTAGGTAATGTGGCCAAACAGTTCAAGCCTATTCCAGGTAATGACAGAGTTGTTGCTGTTTTATGGCAACACCCACAACGTAAATTGTTATTCTGTAACAGCTCATAGTTTTCAGGACTTTATTCTATAGCTTTAACACTTACAGGTAACATTTTTGCACAAGAACTGCACATTGGGAGGGTTTAGTACTGAAACTGCTGGCCACCTCTCTTATTAAACACAAACATAATCTGGCTGGTGGCTCCACAACTTTAAAAGCACAGAAAATAACCTGCAACCTATTTGCTCAAATGAGGAACTAAGTGCTACTTACTCTGAAAGTAACAACTCTTTAAAGTACACAAATCCGTGCTGGATCATTATTGGCGTGTGCGCTTAATTTGAGTCCGTACCTGTAGATGTGAGCCTACACTTACCGGGTGATTAGGACGGCGTTGTCATGGTGGGCCATCCCGTTTTCAGGAATGCTGTTGCCGTCGCTGTGATGGGACAGGATGGACTTTTGCCACTTACAGAAACTGTCCAGAGACTTGTCAGCATGGTGGTTAATCTCCAGGTTAGGCTGCAAAAGAAAACACAACACACATGCAGTATATTGCAACATGATTCTGTAGCACAAAAGAAAAACAAACTATAGACCACAATTTGTTTCCGCATTTCATATTTAAGTATCTTATTGTAACGTAAGGTAACGTATTTGTATGTGTAGTAACAATTTGTATTGTGTCATATCATTTTGTTGTGTTCTTCATCAAATTGCATTATGTGGTTTTGTATCCTGCTACTTCATATCATGCCATCTTGGCTTATATAATGCTGTAATGTCTTGCGTCCTGTCTGATCATATTGTGTAGGATAAACACTTTAAACAGGAGACACAAAAAGACTATCAAGGGAAGAAGATGTAGAGAAAGTTGTGGTAATGTAATGGGTCAACTGTCGTAAACTGCTGCTTTGCCAGCTAGCTGTGCTAATTGTAGCTGATTGATTACAAAACAAGACTGAAATACTCAATTTCACCTTAAAATCATTGTTTTGCAATTGGGTTTTTTATATAAAGTAGAATATCCTTCTTATGGCCAAACGTGCAGCTCCACTTTACATTAAAACTTGTTTTTGGGACATGATGCTACGTACAAAGCCGCTATGACCCCATTGGAAAAAAAACAGATGCCAGGAAGGCACTCCCATCACACATACAAGCACATGTACATTGCATGTAAGAATCCTAAATCGAGACTCCCTGAGGGAATATGTCTGAGCACATCTTTCATCTGAAGTGGTGGCCATATGGTGAATGGTTTCCCCTTCAAACACATAAAATACTGCAGCTCACTCACGCTAAGCATATCAGTTGTACACTCACTACAGGTGAAGGTACAGACGATATAAAAAAAGCCTCATGGTAATATTAACTGCGATAATACTGCATGGATGATTCAAGGTAAGTGGAATTAATGAGAAAAACAATAAAGGCATGAGACTGGCGTTGAGTTTTTTCTTACCTGATCTTCAGTCAGAACAATCAAGCGGGTCACAATAATGTTCACAACATTTCCTAGACTGGCATCACGGTAAAGTTTGGCAACCTGACCTCCAGAAAAGAAGAAAAGACACAAAGTCAGACAATTGTGTCCATATGACACAACATCTAACTTTATCAACCACCAGGCACCGTATCACATTACTATAGACATCTAGAGTGGTGGAGGAAGTATTCAGATCCTTTTCTTCAGTAAAAGTTTGAAAAGTATAAAAATACTCAACTACAGGTAAAGGCCCCTAACTCAAAACCTTTCATAGGAAAAATGTTGTTACAGAAAAATGTACTAACACTATCAAAAGTAAAAGTTCTTAATGTGCAGTAAAATGTTTTCTGCCAGTGTTTTATTATATATGATGTGTTTGGATAGATATTAATTCTGCAATATGTGTTATTATATGTTGTTGCATGTTTTTGTTGCATTGTACAGGCTGTCCAATTTTAACTCCTAAGAAAGGAAGAATATAAAAAAATGTAATCTGAAAAGCAACTAAAGCTGTCAAATAAAAGTGGAGAGATTATTCTGCTCAAATGTGTTCTTAAGTAAAGTCCATATCCAGTTTCACTCAACATTCCACCACTGGTAAATCTGTACTGGTAACAATGGAGGAAATGTTTGATCAACAACAAAATGACCAAAAAGTAGGATCAAACTTACAATATTCATTACGGACAAGATGTAGTGCTCAATGTCTTTGCGTCCGTGGTAACCGACCATCATTTTATCGGCAACCACAAGCGTCTCCACGAAGCGCTCTGAGCTGACGGAGCGCCTCTGTCGGTGGCTGCTGTTCGACTGCTCGCTGTCGTTTTGGGGTGCGGGGGACGAGTGGACAGGGGAGGGTGTGCTGAACTGGCAAGGTGCACTGCTTTTACTGAGGTCTGGGGATAACATGTCGACAAAGACAGGTTTTAGTGCATTATGAACATCAAAAAGTTATAATGCATTATCTGAGCGAGAGCTGTTTTGTGTACGCTGGATGCACATAGGGAATCTACCCCTTTGAACCTAGCAGCTAAAGCCTTTGCTTTATGACCCAGATGCTCTGGAAAAAAGCTATAAGATAGTACATGTTAGGGCATGCTAGCTTCCTGTCGATGACAGCCTTTGCTGTTTCTTATAAGACCGTGGCCCAGATACCTATATCCACCTGGTTCTTCTTCCAATTCATCATATCTCAGCAGATACAGAATGTTCTGGAGTTGTTTGAATCTGAACATGATTATTAGTTCTTTAAATAGGATTTTTGCTTCTCTCGAAGTCAGGGCCAAGGACACTTTAAATTAAGCACTGAAGGGTCTTTTTATGAATACTGGAATGAGACTTTCTCCTACAGGTTGAAAGGTGTCCAGGCCAGGAGCAACTTTAGCACACAAGAGGCCTGGTCATGTCTACCAGAACCTGGGCCTAGCACCAAACCAGCACTTCCTCTAACCTGCTATGTATAGTTATTCCTTTACGTCAGTTCCACCCACACACAGCCCAAACCCAGATGGAGGTTCACCAACCTGAAATGCCACAGCTGAACTCCTGGCTATGCTCTTGTGGTGAGGGAATGGCAGACATTTTATAAATAACATGTTGCTGTGCTTCTTCCAGGTTCCATTCACCGGAGGTGGCGGAGGATATGTTCTTTAATGGCTCTATCAAATACTGTTCCTCCTCTGTTGTTATAACACCATGCTTGTTTGGGGGAAAGAACAGTGAAGGAAGCAGGTTACAAACACGAGCAAAACACTGTTGAAAGAAAAATGCAGGTAAAATCTATTTACATTTTTTATATTTTTACCTTTTTGAATGCTTTCATTCTATTATACATGCATTCCTATTTTAAAACAGGGGAAACAGTTTACACCGTGTTCTCTGACAAAACGCAATGAACATTTTAGAGGCGATACAATTGGAATTGCAAGTCATTAGAAAGGCGCCATTAGAATCAGGTCACCCTTTTTTGAGAAAATCAAAATTAGTTATTTGGAATTTTAGCTTGAGTGAAAACTTCACACTCTTCCAGGTTTATACAAAAATTGTCAAATTTGTGTATATAATGTGATTCCATACAATTCCCTTTTTGTCTGAACACATAGTCCACAGATTTGAAATGTATTCTGTGGCTCTAAAGGACAATTTCTCACATTTGAAAACATTTAGGGTGAAATATTGGCATAAATTGAATAAAATAATTGTAAATATGTTGTCATTAGTGTATTAAAACCTGAGTAGCAATTGTGTTAACTTAAAGTGAGCCTTTCATATCTACATAGTCATCTTCCATGAAGTTGCCATTTTGCACCGCCATGTTTCTACAATAGGCCAGAACGGACAAACTGATTCTGGCTCTAACAAAGGCATTTCATGTTTTTAGGTTACCTGAAAGTCATAGTACTTCCCCAACTCTCTTTAGAGGGAAGGGTGAGCAGAAAGATATTCATTTGTTACAAGCTGAAACCTCACTTCTAGGTGCCTCTAAATCATATACACTGGACCTTTAATAGCTTTTGAGTAAATAGCATATTCCCATATGTGTTCTCCTCCTCTTCATGGGGTCACGTTTAAGCACATACAACACATAAGTAACAAGACTGCAGTTACATTTAAGAACCCCTAACAATTAATTACATTAAGACCAACATTGGAAAAAAGGTTTATCACCGCGTTTAGAGCATTAACAGGGAGACGTCCTTCAAAGTGGGTTTGTAGAAACACCAACTTGGCTTTGTAAAACTTACAATGAGAGCAATTAACCACACATCACATCAGCACACAGAAACACATTCGATTTAGGGTTTTAACAGTGTGTGATGTCAAGATCTCTAACTATCCAGGCAGCTGATTACATTAGAGTGCAGACACAGTTTTGTCCATTTTTGGTGCCTTTAGAGAAAACACTAATTCAATTTATGATACGCTGTGTAGATCTTGCCAACACATTTGGCTAAATGTATTCTGCACATGATTACATTTGCCAAAAAGAAGCCGGGCCAATTTTTCCTTTATTAGAGTTATTCTGAACCAAGGGGGGATAACAGCTTTTAAAACGCTTCCAATTTCATGATTAGTTAAGAGCAGCTGTCAGTCACACAGTGAGGACTAAAAGCTCAGACAGGATAATTATATGTTGTTAGAGCTGCTCAGTTTTGTTGTTGACCAGAGCACATGGAGTCATATCAGGACACATTTTTGAACAGATCGCTAAAAGGGTCAGCTTAAGAAACGTGATCTCCCAACTGCTGGCTTTTAAAATATGAGGATAAAAGGTGGTATTTAAAGAACGAATACAAAAGAAAAGCCCTGATGCTTATCACTAACAGATCACTAGGACGTTTTTCCTCCATGAGCATCACCTCGCTCCAAGCTGCCTGCAGACTCAGTGTGCCAAGTGGAAGCCAGCCAAGTTTCTGTTAAGCAAACTACAATTGGTCTAATCCTTTGGCACTGCGTCTGAAAGATTGGCTGACATGAGAGCAGCAGAGGCTAGGTATATATTATCTGACATTAGTGACAGGGGTTTGTTTGAGGTGAGTGGTGTGAACTCTGTCACTTGGGATAATAAAATAAAGTTTGTACTCACCAAGCCCTTGCAGTTGCTGAGAGCCACTCTGGTCGTGCTGTGCTGATTTTGCAAGAATCCCACATAGTGACAGTTATCTACCATGTTATGACGCCACTCCATCCCTCCTTTGCCCCAATACTCCACTGTGAAATGTTTTGACACCAGTTGGGGGTTGAGTGTCAGGTTTAAGTGAAAGTGCTTTCCGTAGGCGGACAGTCTGTAGAAGAGCTGGGACTCTGGGGGGTCCGGGTCCAACGCAGGCATCTGTCCCATTATGGGGTCCACCGCCCCCCGTCTCCGTCTCCCCGGCCGGTGGTGCTTCACAGTGTAGCTCAGGAACTCTCCGCCCTCATCCACCCGCACCGGGACAGTCAACTGGTAGTGCTGCAGGTAGGACAGGAACTCCTCTTTTTACAGGAGAGAGAACAGAAAAAGCCATGTGATAATCTGAATCAGGATCGGGTTTATTGCCAGGTACGTTTAGACATAGGAATTTGCTTTGGTGTATGATGGTTCACAGTATGAAAAACACATGGTGTGCATTTGATGGAATGCATAATGTTTGTGGAGTGGGTTAGTGTCAGTGTCAGTGTTAATGAGTCCGGTAGAAGAAGAGAAGAATGAACATATAATAGCAGATTTATCACCCTCCTCTCCATCTGTCTACATCATACCTTGAGAGTTGTGTGACAGTCTGTTGATGCTTTGAAATTCAGAAGCAGCCATCACCACCAGGCTCAGTGTCCAAGTCAGCGTCTTCCACAACATTTCCATAATTCAGGGGCAGATGTGACATGGGGTGGAGGGTAGAGGGTAGAGGGTGCTACAAACGAGTTAAAAAGACCTGATGGGTCCGATGCCACACCATAACAAGTCCATGGTTTGTCTCCTTCACTTGAATGTTCTTGTCGTGCTCATCCAGGTCTCAGATTTCTCCTGAAGGCGAGCACTTCCACATCTCTCTGGCCTCAGGATTCATGTCAGCAGCTTGTAGAACACACAGTAATCCATCAGACACAGTCACTCTCAGGTGTAACTCCAAACAGGAAGCTCTATATTGGAAACTTGTCTTGACCGATCCATCTGCATTCCTGAGAAGGAAATCAATCAGAGGTTAAAACACCATTATCTCCTGGAATCGATTAATCAGGTTGTTGTTTCTCCTACAGCCGTCATGATGAGTCGATTAATCAATTCATCTCCGGACAGAAAATGAGTCAACAATGTTTCTAATAATTGATTTATCGTTTCAGTGTTTTACAGGGAAAAACACTTGCTTTCCATTTCCACAAATGTAAAGATATGCTGCTTGTTCCTTTTTTTAAATTGAACATCCTTAGATTTTGCACTATTTGCCACTCGGGTCAAGCTTTTCACCATCATTTCTATACTTTTTAAAAACCTAATTGATTCATCTGAAGATAAGATGAAATGTTGTACAAATGTTACAAAATGTCAATTCAGATTTGCCAGATTTTCCCAAATCTTTGTCCAAAAATCTGTTACATTTCAAAATATGTTGAATTTAAATTGAGAGCAAGTAGCATTTACATCACATATATGAATCTGGAAGAAGCTTTTTTTCAAGGAATTTAACTTGAATATGACTAATTGATTAATGAACTAATAATTGCCTCAAGAAAAATCTTATAATTAAAGTTTACAGTTTATTTAAGTTGGTTTCATGACTCACCACGACTAACTTGACCATTTGAAGAACACATTGCCATAAACACCACTTATTTCAGCACCATGATCTGTGCCTTGTCCCTGCATATTCATCTGGATGTATAGGTTAATGACTAATAGCCTTAAAACGAGTACACAGTGTATATAAAGTGTTCTAGCCGCATTAAAACCGATGCACACATCTTAAAACATTGTCAACGGTGCCGACTAGTCGACATGACATGATATCATTTGTGCAGATTGTGCTTTTACTCACTGACGTGCTTCACGGCAACATGTGCAAATTAGACTACTATAAACAAACGTCAGCGGGTTAAGGTGGGAGAAGTGACTCCAGACCTATTCTCCAGACACGGATGACAAGCCTCTGGAGATCCGGGGTTTCTGTGTGGACCTCTCCAGGCTGCAGCCCTCCAGACAGACAGCGCTACTTTCTTGGCCACCCTGACCCAGACAGTTGGCAGCGGGCCCGCATACATACGCCGGGACCTCAAACACAACCCTCCAGAAGCGTCTGCAAATCAAAATAAACCACCTGACATCGCTTTGAAACGTCTTGGTGTTGTTGCAAAAGGCTTCAAAAAGCTACTTATTGCAGATGTGGACCTGAAACGCTGCAATACTTACATGTAGATCCAGTGCGTAAATGTTTCCTGAAGTGCAAATTGTACACGCAAAAAATTCAGTGAACTCGCAGTGCCAAGTTAAGCAGTGCAGCTGTCTAAATGCTGCTTTGTAAACACAGTCTGCTTCCCTGAGAGGATTTAAATGCTCACACGAATCTGCTCCGACAAAACTAACCGGGCAGTTACTCAACAGACAGGGGAGTGTTAACAAATAGTTACCATGCTCATCTTCATTGTCAGCTCCGGTCCAACTGTGCAGGCAGAGCTCAGGACAAAAGGCTTCTGCAGCTCTGAAGTTCCGCTCACAAACCTCTGCTGATCTCCTCTTTTCATCTCCCTGTGGGCTCTACCATCCTCTAAAACTCTAGTGTGAGTTTCCCCTTCACACCGTATCTCAGGACAGACACTGTCCACAAAAAAGAGAGCAGTTATATCAAAGTCTTGGATTTCCTCCAGCAGAAGGGTCTATTTGCAGCCTATCGTCTTTATAATCTAGACTTTGTGTACTTGGTGGTGGCTCAGAGTGGCTTAAAAAGTGAGATGAGGTTGCAGAGGGTGTCCTGCCACCTCAGAGACCGCCACAGCACACTGGATTTAAGAAAAGTGCATGCAAACACCAGCAAAAAGTTGCCTTGGAGCTGCTCCTCCTTACTACATTGCAAGAGACCGGCTCCCAGTCCGGACTGCAGCTTCAAATTTGCAGCTTTTTCAGGAGGGGTGACGTCACTGCAGATGTGCCTCTTCCATCAGCTGTGCGCATGTCCTGCCCTGAAATAACACGAACTCACATGAAACCTCTGCTCTGTGAAGAATATACACCTAATAAAGAAAGTGGAGGGGTAAAACCTTTTTTTTTACAGTAGTAAAAGTAGAAATACCAAATATATAAGTAATGGCAGTTTATTATAACATTAATATAAAAAATGTTGATTAAAGTCATGCATTTCAAGCATTACTTTTGCAAAAGTACATAAGCAGCAAAGTTGAAAGTCCAGTTTTACATTTACTCAATAATGTACTGTTTGTACTGCATTGTACTTTGTTGGCATTTCCATTTCCTGCTACTTTATACATCTAAGTAATGTACATTTTTACATTTTACAACAGTCATTTTCTACTCAAACATTGATGCATCAGTATGAAAACATTTGTATATCCATACTGTATATATTAAGACATCAACCACATGCATTTTTTATTCGAAAAACTGTGTACTTTTAGGGTTTTGATTGCAGGACTTTACATAGTATTTTAAAATTAGCATTTTTTTGGAACAATTTAACAATCTTAGAATTCTGTCAGTACTAAATAATTATAATATTGTAGGAGAGTTCCTTTTAACCACATTTTATATTATAATGCATTAGATTTAATATATTGTTATATATATATTTAAGGTGTGGTTTCTAAAACATTAACCTGAAAAGTAAATATAAATGTAGTGGTGTAAAAAGTAGTATATTCGATTCCGATATGTAGTGGAATACAAGTATTAAGAGGGAAGTACAACATTAAACATGAGTTAATCCATTTACTGCAGGTACTCCATGTATTATTATTATTATAAATCTGTACGGAAGATGGTGATATCATGCAATAGATGATCACCCAGCAACCATTAATATCAACAAGGAACAATGTCAAAAACAGAAGTTACATAATCTGACAATAGTTTGGCAACAACCTTGAATTTAACTAATGAAAAAGGCTAGAAAATACAACAAGCTTGTGTAATTGTATTAGTTTAACCTGGTAGAATCCTGAAATAAATCAAAGACATAAATATTTCCAGGCTCTATAGAACAAATAAGTATCAGGATTGTCATTTTGATGTAAATTGTAAATCTGCTGAAGGTATATTCAGGGTCTTCAGTGCAGTGCAGGCTAATGGCAGCCCGAGTGTTTTGGTAATTAAACCCACTTCTATCTTTAGGCTGTAGGAAATTGAAAATAATCCCTGAGTTTAGTTACAGCTGCTCATTATGTAGGAGCCTGTATCATTACAGTCAGGTTGTCATTACCAGCTCTCCTACACTGGCAGGGAAGGGGTTTGCTAGTTTGTGGGGGGAGGCGCCACCGTGTGGTATAGCAGGGATTTAAAATGCATAAAGATTGATGAATGTTTTTTAATTATTGTTTTACAAGAATGACATTCATCAGATTATGTTTAACTTTAAGTCATGTGTGCTGTCGGGAAATAGATTTATGATTAAAGATAATAAAAAAACTTTACACACACCTTAGTTCAGTTGTGAAAGAAGAACTCCTCCGTAAAAATAGCAAAACCACCCGATTACTGTTAACGAGACAAAGTTGTCCATTAATAGAATAATAGTAATTTTAGCAACCTGAAGTATAATAGTCTAGGTAGCCAAGATATATTAAAATGAATGAATTAAAATTAAATCAAAAGAAAAAGGCTAGAAAACAAGGTTCAACATTATTTTTAAGGACATTTCATTCTCGATAGTGTAGAATAATTTCCTTTTGCCTTATCATAAAAGAAATTAAAATGATTTATTGCTTTGGATTTTCCACTAGTCATTGCTTTCTGACCCTTGGAATTTCATACAGTAGGGAGGTTCATAATTTTATGAATCCTTATCGGATTATAAAAGTATAAAATAGTTATATCAGATCACATCCAATATGGAGTTTTATTAAAAAACTACTTTTAATTATATTTAAATCCTCAAAGTGCCATTTAAGTTAACATTTAAAAAAATATGAATTAAACATGCCGTGTGTGTTTGTTCCCTAAAATAACAGCATGTGTAAAAAGAGAAGGACTTATTACTCAAACACAGGCTTGCATGTGTGTTTGAGATGTTTGCCTAACAATAAAGCACTGATAAAGTCTACAGCACATTGGTCACCTGATTTCCTGAGTTATAAAAGCTCCCACTGCCTCTGCTCTCAACCTGTCGTCAGGAGCCTCTTTTGCCGGATTCACCATCCTCCAACTACCTGGTAAGATTGACCTCCTAACAACTGCTCGATTAGGGGGAAAAAGATAGCTTATAGTTTGATGTTGAAAGGAGGTACAATCTAAAGAAAGTTAAAATAGCAAAATTGCCCGATTACTCTTAACAAACCATTAAAAGCTCAACATTTTTATTAAAATATACCTGAAGTATAAAACTTCTCTCAGAACTGTTACATGATGTGTATTGTTTTATCTTTAATATTTTTGTATGCATGCTTCTTGGTTAATATTAAGCTGTCTTTAGCTCTTATCTTGCTGTAACAAATGCTAATTTCCCCTCTGTGGGACGAATAAAGGTATTCTGATTCTGAAAAGTCTAGGTAGCCATAATATGTATTACATTTATTTTTACTTACACCTGCTTGACTAGGAAAAAAGCTAACTTATGTGGATATTGTTTGATGTTAAACATAGGTTCGATCTCTGCTGGGGAAGAAACAGATGCACAAAAGATGTCCTATAGCTTCTTAGAGTTATAGGAGTTAAATTATTTTCTTTCAACAGAGACTTTATCCTGATCATGGCTGTCACAAACCAACCAGGCCGATACGCACCTTCTGACTTCCAGACAGGATTGTGTGATTTCTGCGATGACTGTGGAACTTGTGAGCACTTACCCTTCCTATCTGGGAAATATGACACTCAGTTAAGACTATACATTTGAGTGCAGGATTATATTTGTTCTTGACACATTTCTCCTCCCTCTGCCTCAGGTTGCTATGGTCTGTTCTGCTACATGTGCCTCGGCTGCTCCATCGCCAGTGACATGGACGAGTGCTGCCTGTGTGGTCTGCATATGAGCATTCGCAGCGTGTACAGGACCAAGTACAACATCAATGTGAGTTTCAGAGGATATAAAGACTGACAGTCTGACAGTCTGACTCCATTTGGACCATTTTGTAAAACAGCAACATTACTATGAGGTGTCACCGAGTATGATAGTGTTACCTTTATTTGTGGTTATACTGTAGCACTTGTACAGGTTTACTACATAAGAAAAACGTTGAGTTTTTAATACTTTTTAAGGCCTTCTGATTAAAGATGTAACAATTTAAAAGCCGTCCCGTGTCAGACACTGGTAGAGAAAGAAAAATAGGACAATGTCCAAATACAGCATAACAAGTAAAAGCAATTGAATACAAATCCTACTTAAGAGTATTGTAAGCATGATGAACTTAAAGTATCAAATACAAGACAAATATTCAGAAGAAATAAGCATTTTGCTGTTTTAGCTGTTCAAACTGGAGCTAGGTTTACCTACTTTATTTCTAGTTAGCCAATTTACTCCAGTTTTTCACAACATACGGTGCGAGCCCCTTAAATCGAAGGGTGTGGAGATGATTAATAGGAGAGGGAATAACGAATAACGAAGCTCTGTAATCGTTTTTTGGGCTTTTCGCCCAATCTCTGCCTTTACGTGTTGATTATTGTATTGTTTTGGGCCTTGCTATTTCAGTGTAAATAAATAATTTGGTGGAAACACAATAAGGAAACCAACCTTATTTTTTACGAGCCACAACTGTTAATCTTTAACTTGACAGTAAAAAAATTAACCGGAGTGATCTATGACATGATGTACTTCTCCTTTCTTCTTCGTCGTATTGAGACTAATTCATTTGAATAGTTAGTCGCAACGCCAAGAGGAACAGTTGTACAAACGGGGAAAAAAGGGAAAGGGAGAAAAGAGAAGTTGAAAATAAATAATAATTTTGTTCCGTATAGCAGAATTGAGTTTTTAGTCATACAAACGGCTCCATTTATTAGATGAATTTGAATGTGAGCATGTCGCGGAAGCATTTAGCTCAAAGCATCATTGTGTAGAAGACCGTTTTGTTTGCCTACCCCAGTAAACATTTGACCACACATTATGTTCATACAGTATCATGCTCCTTTAAAGGGGCTCTGACGCCACGATTGAGAACCATCCTGTAAAACCCATTAAGAAATAGCCAGAAAAATTGTTACATTTTGAAATTGTATGAAGGACATCCTTTAAATCACTCCCATCTTAATTATTTCATACGTATTTATATATTTTATTTATATATTATATTTGCATATTTGCTGCCTTGCACAGACCTTCTCATGCTCACACCGATTTAATTCAAATGTCCATGGTTATGCATCTATGCACACTTGAATCTAAAAAAAACTAGGGGATAGAATAGAGCCAATCCATTAAAACAGTAAAATAATCACTCATACTTGTGTTTCCAGGGGTCATTGTGTACAGACTTCATAGCACACACATTCTGTGGCCTCTGTGCCACGTGCCAACTGAAGAGGGACATTGACCGCAGGAAGGAGCAAGGCATTTTCTAAATTGGTAAGCATTACACAAAAAAACACCCCACTCACTGTGTCATGTTATCTTTACGTTTATGGAACTGTCAAAATTATGAAAAATAACAATCTTCCCTTTGCCTTCTAGATACCGTCGCCAGGCACGTTGTAAATGTGCTGGTTTTCTTTGCTTATTGCGGAACCTGAAGATACCGCCCTTTCCTTCTCTGATAAAGAGGTTAATTAGGTTGTATTCAGTGTAATGTGTGTCGGTAACAGTGTAGTACATTTGCTATCCTTCTGAATTTGAAGGAAAATGCGTAATCTCTTCCAGTTAGTTAAATATTAGTCAGCGGGGGGGGGGGGACACACACCCAAATGGAAACGGTCATAAATGACTGCTACCATCATAAAGAAAGGGATGTGTATTGTCCGACGCAGTTGACAGGATGTGAATTGTTTTGGAAGATGTCTTTAAATAAAATCCTCTTTTTCAAATGATTTTGAGTTACACTCTTTGTATATTTCACTTCCATTGAGAAAACCTGGAGTTAGTTTAAAAAATAAATAAAATAAAGCCAGGTCAGAATATTTTATTTTGAAATCTAGTTTTAAAAAAGATGGCATGATTGAGCTTTAATTATCATTAAGTTAGCTACTGACAATTCACTTTTTTTTTTTAACTACAGCTACATTTGACAGGTGAGGCCACTGAGCACCCAGTGTGTAGATTTAACATTTAACAACTTGTTAAATCATAATAAAAGTACAGGCTCTTTTTCACAGCAGACATTTTTTCGTGAGCAAACACACACATATAGGCTGTGAGACTCATGAACTCATCCTCCAAATAGTTTTTTATAGCAATAGCAAAATGGGACTATATAACAATGTGTTGTAAGATTTATTATCATATCCTGAACATAAAAAACAGCTGTGAAACATTTTGTTGTGCCAGTTTGATGACTTTATATACAAATATATATCTTGCTTTGTGAAATGGAAACGGTTCATTAGGGAGTGGCTACACATGGGTGTTTTCAGGGAACTTATTTATAAAGAAAGAACATAATAACTGGTAGCCAAAAGAGGACTTTGCCGATGAAAGCTACTGAAAAACTCATTTGAGACCATGCGGTATGGATTCTGACTTAAATGGCAAAATAGTTTAATGAATCGTTAGTAAAGCAGAAATTAAACTTGAATGACACGACGATGACGCTAAACAATTGCTTTACTCTTTGAATTTAATTTTCTTTCTGGACCGAGAAGTTTTTACATGAAGCCAATACATCAAGAATAACATATGTTGCTGTGTTGTTATGTCAAGTAAAAACAGGAGCAAGTGTTGGAGCACAAAAGCGTGAACAGACCAGATGTCCCCAGAGTCATTTGTCTAATTCTATGTCCACTATCTGGTCGATCACATCCACATTTCTAACATGCCATGTCAATATTATGAAGTCACACCTAAAGGTAACAATATACAACTCCTCTGAAGACATCAATGCCAGACACAGATCTGAGAAATATTTAACTATTTTCCTTTTTGGCAAAAGTAATAAAACAGTGTTGTCTGAATATGTAGTGATGGTGATACCAGGGATTCTCCTTGGATGCTTCCATTACTGGGATGATGTTTGATTTTTTGGGAGGGTTGGGGGTGTTTACTGGGTCATCTGGGATTCCAGGGCCTGAGCAGCCCACTCTGGAGCAGCAGCGCGGATCTTTTCTAGGAGGTTGTTGACTTGGAAGCACAGAGACTGGATCTGTTTGTCCCAGGTAGGGAGGGCTTCCCGGGCTGTTAGACATAACATGAAAGGTAGAAAGGGCATCAAATACATTTGCATTTTATGACCTGTGATCCATACATTTTCATATTCAAATTCTATGTGGTATTCTATCAAAGCACTTCCTCCTTCAAAAGCAAGGTATGTGCTGTTTTCATTCCTGTATGAAGAGGGTGCCCCCTACTGGACGCAAATAGATTAGTGAATTAGTTTGATAATTTTAACGTTATTTTTGTTAGATTGTTACGTTTATTCTTTAAGTTAACTGGGGCCTTATCATTATTAGCCTTTGGTTTATTATTGCACCAAAGTGTTTCAACATTTATCAATAAGGTCAGGGCACTTCCATCAGAAGTGAATATAACACCAAGATAAGAGTTCCTATCACAAGAAAAAAAATTGTCAGAGCCCCTCAGGTACCTTAAAGGTAGGGAAGGTAATTTTGGAGAAACCAGCTCGAGTGTGCTAGAATTTGAAAATACACAGCCGGAACAAATCTGCCACTTCCTTACAGAGCCCCTCCTCCAACGCACACGAACGCGCACATGACCAATGAGGGCTCGAGATAAGTTTGTGCACAGATGGAAGGCTGACAGGCAGGTAGGCCATCCAGTTACTTTAGCCGGGCCGGGTCAGATGATTGGTCGTGCTTGTTACAGTACTACGGCTTCCACAGATGAACATTTTTGTATGGATTTTTTGTCAAAGCACTTCAGATATTCATTGCTATCGGATGTTAAGAGCATTCCATGGAATATAACAAAAAGTGTATCTCGAGCCGGTTTCTCAAACTTACCTACCCCACCTTAATCTATGTTTTGCTTTCATTGTCCAAATGCTATATTTACAGCAGTAGGTATTTTCAAGGTATTGAAGGTGATCAATGAATTGTTTTACCCTGTCTCCAAAATGGATGTGTCATTTATTTTCATATCTTTCTGATGTGTGTGCCTACAAATAGTAGAAAAACCAAAACCTGAGATAGGAGAGCCTTGTTTCACTCTAACTATATATGTAACTACTGTGGAGCCCAGCATACTTCTGTAAGTGTGGTTGGGACTCTTGACAGTTTGGTTAAACTAAATAATGAAATCTAATGATTCCATAATTGAGTTGTGCGTTTGCAATGGAATACATTTTTGTATTGATCATAACTGTAATGTTAAATTGAAAAAGATAAATACTGAACTTTGATCCAAAAGCTGGCAAATTCTGTCCTTTATCAAATGTAAAAAACAATTGACTTTCAACTCACTCTCAAAGTGTACAATGCTATCTATCTGGTCGATGAAGCCATTCATGCGTCCTTCAGTGATCATCTGGGAAGCAATTTTCTCAGCCTAATGACAAACAAAGGAAGAAAAGCATCTCAACATACATAATGGCAAATGAACAGCTACACACATTTAATACATACATAACATTTTTTTTTCTTTAAATCGTACAAATGTCCCTGCATAGCTGAATAGAAAAAATAATTGGATTGCTATAATTCATCACTTTTGATGAAGTGGACTGGAAAGATGTATTGCTTTGAGCCTTTTTTTCTTTCTTGTGCTTGAATGCATCCCACACACATATATAGATGCTGATTATGTTAAATGCAACTGAAACAGATTATCATTAACAATTCTGTGCTCCATGCAAAGAGTCAGATTGAGAACAGAATTAAGTATTACGGCCCGTCCACACTACAGCTTCAAAAAAAGCTTGGAGCTGGGCGTGTCTGAAGCTCGACCAACAACCAATCACATGAATCTCCCGCCCCTGACACACAAGCAGCGGTTTGATTGGCTAGAGCTTGTACTGGCATATGATTTGATTGGCTGACGCTTCCACCGAAAGCTTCAGAAGCTTCAAAAGTTGAACATTGCTGAACTTTTGCAGCCTGAAACGCCAGGAAAGCTCCGCTCTGCTTCCCACAATGCAGTTCGGCGAAAAGTGACGTCACCCCATTCAAAGTGAATGGGCAGACGCGTTGGAAACCGTTTTTGAAGCTGTCGAAGCTGAAGTGTGGACGGGCTGTTAATGGTCCATTTACATAAAGTAAACTTGTTTATGTGTAATTCTGCACTCACTTACTATACCTACTATAAAAGACAAAATATAAATTTAAGAAATGTCTAACCTTTGCTGGGGGGATTTCCAACAATGCTCCTAGTTCTTCAAACGTGATGTTGTTGTAGAGTTTGCTCGCAGACAGGAGGTTGTGTTCAATCACTGCTCTGTCAAGGATGCTGGAACCTGCAAGTGAGACAACACACAACATAAAGTACATTCACAGACCAGGGTCAGGTTCCCTCATTCCTTGTATGAGACACATTCAGCATGTACAAGCCAAAAATAAAACAGCTTTGAAGCATTGCCCAATCACGCCCAGCAATGCACCCAAGAGTGGCTACACATGTTGCTGTATAGTGGGTGCTGCACTTGGAGTTAACCATTGCAGTTTGTTTAGGCTGTTTGGTGAAGTTTGTCAAGATCTCTGCAAAACCACATGGGGTTCTTTTTGAATGAGCCTAAACATTCATACTCATTCTGCCTCTAAATTATACTTTACATTTGTTAAAGTACTGTAGCTTTAATAAACAGGCAAGGCTCACATGGCCTAGGCAGCAAATATATCAGCTATAACCAGTTGTAGAAGAGAGGGTTGGATTATTAACATTTTCCCAATTCACTGACCCAACTTGTCTTATAACAAATCTTCTCCACTCACCATCTGCTGTGGTGGCTTTCTGGTGAGGCATCAGCATGGCAGCAAACTCCTGCAGCTGGTTTCCTCTGATAATACGGTCCAGGTACATCTTCTCCAGAATACCGTAGGCAGCCAGCTGTTGACAGCGCTCATCTTTAAAAAGAGTGGCCAACATTCGGGAACGCTGCTGGCCTGAAAACAAAAACATGACAACGTTTTTGGCATCGTACAAGAAGTTTGTCATTAAGATTGTCTATGAAAATGTAAACCTAAGCACAATAATGATGGTAGTACCTGCAGAGGCCAGTATGGTGCAGTTTAGCGCATGTTTAAGTGCCTCCAGACGTTCAGTCTCATGGACAATTGACTTATACGACAGCTCGTTGTATCTTTGTGCAGCTTCAATGAACTTCCTCCTGAAGTCTAGCACTCTGGCATAGCACACCTACAAATGTAAACAGCATTCAAAAGTGATCCAAGGCACTCCATAAATAGTTTACTGCAAAGTCCCTAAAAGGTTTTATTAAGAACTATTTATTCAATTGCAAAAGTTACAGTTAAGCATAGACAAGCTGTGTACCTTATAGTGTATCTGTAGCTGTTCATTAGAGGACTCGTTCTGAAGCAATGAGGCTCTGTTGATGTAGGCCTCTGCCTGCACTGGATCATCGTCCTCCAAGTAGAGACGGGCAATTTTCAGGTACGTATCCAACTTATAGTCAACATTGTATTGCCTAAGGAAGGAAATCAAAAGGTATGGTAAGACCTGGGAATATTACAAACATTGTCAGAAAAATGTATCTGCTATTAGCTTACTTACTTCTGTCCTGTTTCCAAGGGAATACCAACTAAAACCTGGGCAGCATTTCTCCAGTCTCCCTCCTTTTCATAAATGGTTGCTAAGTGCTGTCTGATTGAGGCTACCTGAGGACATAAAGAAGAACATTATGCATTTGATTAAGAATACTGATGTTTATTGGCATAATATATAAGAGTGTGTGAGGGTATTTACTTGTTCCTCAAAAGAGATGACCCTTGGCTGAATCTTTTCCAAGGTGAAGTGATACACTGCTTTAGCTGTGGCGTCGGGCAGGTTGGGCAAATGTGTGCAGAAATCGGTGAGTAGTTGTCTCGAGATGACAAGACTGACATTTTCATTGACCACTGTAAAAGAAATGTAGAAATACTGAGGTAAGATGTCCTCCTGTTCACATACAAATAAGTTTGTGGTAAAAATCTGATGCGTTAAAGAAAATGGGTACAGCATACTTGCTTCAACAAAGGCCTTCAAGGATTCCAGTTGCTCAGCATCTGTAAACTGAATGGCCTTCTCTAGAATTTGTCGATATCTAGAAAAAGATTTACAGGTTAGAAACTACACCCCTGGGTTTTGGAGGTCCATGAAACTCATACATGGAAAATCACAAGGCTAGGATGTAATAATGGAGATTAACATAAAACAAAAATAAGCAGTTTTTATTCCACTCTACAGCATTTAATTCCAAATTAATTTCTGTTCTTCTTTATCTTATTCTATTTTACATGTAGGCTACAGTGTATAGACTCCTGCATTTACTGGGTGACTTGCAACATCCTCTGCAACATAAAGCTTAGTGTTAATTATTTGACATACGTAGTTTACTTCTTTGGCTTTTTGTGTTATATACAATCATTATATTGCATTGTTGGAGGACCTGGGACTTAAGATTGTCATTGCTATAACTACACTGTTGCTACTGTGCATATGACAATAAAGCCTTTGAATCTAGAAAGCTATGTTGTGCTCAGCACAAGTTAACTGTGTAGCTAGTAAACAGTGCTAGTGCTAATATGTTTAAATGTAACATTAATGTAACATTAACTTTAGCAGTAAACTGGCCACTTTAATATCGCCCAACCGTGGTGTTACAATTTAAAGGATAATCTGTAAAATAAAGTGTTTGACAGGGAGTTATAAACAACCAACGTTTACCGGGCTAGCTAAATGTATGGCTAATGTAGCTAGGAGGCTAACGCAAGCTTAGCTATCACATCTATCTCATTGCTAGCTAACATTTAATGTAGCACTTACTTTCTCAAATTTTAAATAGCATGTATAAGGAAGTCTTAAATATAGTGTTACATACTTGGCAGCAAGATCTTTGTGAGATCCAGTTGAATTAATCAGCTGTGCAAGCTCCTGCCTCACGTCGGTCGCCATTGTCGCCTCCAGAAGTGTCAACAACACCGGCTTCCTCTGTGAAGAGCGGGGCGAGTCTTCCGGTGTGAGGGTCGGTCGACTCGGTCCTCCAGCAGACAGACAACCGCCAACAGAGGCTGCTGGCTGCTCTGGTTCAGAGAGGTACCTGTCACAAACCTCTCTGCAGAGGTCGGAGTACGTTCATTTAAAACGTACTTTGTTGCCAGAGGTGGGAGAAGTACTACTAGTAGTAGTAGTAGTAGTAGTAGTAGTAGTAGTAGTAGTAGTAGTAGTAGTAGTATTAAAAGTCCTGCAATAAAAATATACTGAACGTACCAACAGTTAAAATACTCATTATGCAAATTGACCCATTTCAGAAAATGTGTTTATAATTATTAATGCATTAATGTGTTTATCAAAGCTGGTAAAGGTGCAGCAAGTTTTAATTACTTTGTATGCTTCAGGGCAGTTTGTGAATGATACTCCAGGTGTAACCAAAGTAAAAGTGTTGAATATAATTCAAATCACTAATCAAAATTTGAATAGTAACTACACTTTTTTCTGTGCCATTTGTTCTATATATATATATATATATATATATATATATATATATATATATAAATAAGTATGATTTTTAAAAAACAGGCTACCTTAGTTTAATAAAAGAGCCATACATTAACCTTTTTGTTTTGTTTACATTATTGGTATATGTATGGACATTTATTTATTTATCTATCTTTTTGACTTGCAAAGTTTAAGTTATAAAGCCTCTGAATGTTATTATGGTACGTCTGCATACAGGGAAATATCAATGTTAAATTAACAAAAAATAATAAATAAACTGTGTAAAAAAAAACTAACAACATAATATTGTTGGTAGTGTTGCTGCACCTTTAAGAATTACGTAACAGTGACGTAGTAGGCGGAGGGCGTGGTCCACTTGTGAAATGTCAGGGTGGAATGGCGCTCGGCGCGGTATTTTGAACAATCGCATTTTCCTTTCCTCGTTTTATCTGGAAACGTTGCTCAGTGTAAACATATCGGGTAAGGTGCCTATGTGTTGATCGTTTCTAGAGTTTGCGACACTACATCCAGCAGAAAGCCGCAAACTTTAAGGGTGTGTTCAATGTTGAGATATATTGTTGTGCTAGCTAGCTTGGGTTAGCAAGCTCAGCAAGTTTGCTAATACTGGGCTGGCTCTATTAGGCTGATGATGAAGATGATAGCGATGCTTACACACAAATAAAGGGCACAGGGGCCAGGATATTCCCTGAAACTGGTCCCTTACAGTGTTGTGTGTGCGGACACAAAGTTTGGTTTGTATCAACAAACAATATATTGACTATAGTGCACATATGCTAAATTAGTGCGTCTACAAATGGAAAGTAAAAGCTAACTTAACTGAACAGTGAGAAGCGTATTTTGAGTAGTTATGTCGTGGTAAAGCAACTAATGCACAACAACTGGTCTCCCTGTGCATGCTGTCAAAAACATTACAAGAGTACAAAGAGTTATTACCTTTTGCTTTGAGCGTTTTACATTTTACTTAGCTGAAAACCTCGCATTGTATCTGTTGTTTTTCTTATTTAGAAACGGATCTTGTATGTATTGACCTGGTGACAAATAGGACTAAAATGGTTAATTTATAACTGGCTAAACAGGTTAAGTTTATTCATAGCACCTTAAAAGCACAGGCCACACATGCCTACAGTTACATATATTGTTGCAATTTCATTACGTGAATTGTCTGACCTAAAATGATTTAATTCAGATGGACGTCTTAAGTGACAGGATGAATGATTGAATGCTAGCATTGTTTACGTTGTCAGAGTCTGCCAGAATAGTTTACTTGCTAGTAGACCACAGTTACTAGCAGATATTATGATCGGATTTCATGTGTGCTAGCTGTTCTTTTGGATGTTTTAGCTTCAAGTAAAACATATTAAACAAATTCCTTCATCCTAAATACCTATGTATTAGCCGGAGAGCTAACAGAGTTGATGACGAGGTAAAAATGGCGGATCTTTCGAAATCCAACCCCGGCCTGAAATAGTAACGCAGCCAGCAAACAGCTTGTCGCTTTTTTCTCACTCTTTCCCCCAACTGGGAAACACTTCTGTGGGTGTTTTACTCAAACGAGTGCAGATCAGCACTGTTTTCTTTTGGTGACTTTCCTCCGGGAGACGCGGAAACAATGAGGGCATTTAGCAGTGAGTGTGTGGGGAGGGTAGGGTTCATATGTGCGGTGTTTCGGTGGATTAATGTTGAGTAGAGAGCAGCAGGACAAAGATGATCGCTGCGGCCTAATGCTAACCCAGCATCAGCTGTCAGGCTGTGTCAAACATGAGAGGAACTCAGACGTGACTCGTGTACACCTCTCCATTCATTAACACTCACGTGATTACTGAAATATACCTGCATTAAAGTACGACATTGGGTATTTGTCTAACTGTGAAGAAGGCTAACTCGCTAGCTTTAACTGTTTGTTTATTTTTCTTGCAACTCCTGTTGCAAACAGACTGCATCATTATCCATTAATGTATGTATCTTGCAACTTAATCTTGCACTATTTCATTTCAGTTTCTTCTTGCACTATTTGTTTTATTGTTACAAAAAAGTTTGATATATATATTTATGTTGCATTGTTGGACTGGGATTTAAGATTGTAATTACCATAACTACCATGTAGCTACTGTGCATATGCCAACACATCCTTTATATCTTTGAATCTATATGATTTATTAATTATGTTGACAAATGCAATATAAATGAATAATATGTATTTTAAAATCAGAACTCTTGTTTATTGCAAATAAATGAATTAACCTTTTGCAAAGTAATACAAATATTGTCTGTCATCCCTCCAAAGTGCCTTTTTCTAAAAAAGTAATACTTCCCCTAAATCAGATTAAAATAATTGCATTAAAAAGATGAAAAATGTTTAAACCTCCAAAATATGAATTTCTTTGACACATTTGACACAAGGAAAAAGAGTTGCATTGTTTGTCTTATTGTATTATTCTTTCTGGATTAACAGAGAGCTGAGACTTTGCAAGCATGGATGTGGTGTCACCAGAGCTCAACAGCCTCCTTCCTGATGAGATCATGGATACTGAGGCCATAGAGGACATCCCTCACTCCCAACCCGGCGGCGGCACCACGGTCCAGTCAGCCAGCGATGACGCACCGCTCCCAATGGAAACGGATACACCCATGGCTTCAGAAAATATGAGCCTGTGTTCAATTGCAACTTCAACCGGACACACTCAGGCTCTCACCACGTCCACCACCTCAAACTCCACATTCATCATCAGCTCCGGAAGTCCGCTCCCCATGTCAATTTCCAGTTCATCGCCATCCCTTCTTACCTTCAAACCAGCAATGGCTACTTCCATAGCCACAACCAAAACCACAGATAGTTTGACTGGGACTACTTTCTCTACAAGTGGATTACAGAAGCTCACAGCTCCGTTTACTATCTCTGCTGCAAGCCATCAGATCATTCTCAACAAGGTGGCATCAGAAGCAGCAAAGTCTGCGGGTGGTCCACCCCAGATCATCAAGCAGGAGGGACAAAAGCTTTTGGTCACAGCAATAGGAAAGTCAGGGCAACCTATAGTTTTGCAGTTACCCCACACAGGCAGCAAGCCTGGCCTTTCACAGACTTCAGGAGACCTGAAATCCCAAGCTCCACAGTTTAAAGTGGTGACTATTGGTGGCAGGACGGAGCTGAAGCCAATACTGGGGAGTCCTGGAAACCAGCTGACCACATTACAGGCCCAGCAGCTGAAGACCATGCAGGTAACATTGTGTTATAGTGCCATATTTAAACATTAGAATGTTTGTTATTTCACCAATGAATTGCCCAGACATAATGTGCTCCATATCAGTGTCTAATTAAATATAATTACCATCAGATTTGACCAAAAAGACATAAGAAACTGTTAAAAAAACTGTTATTTAACCTTAATTAACATTGTAACAAATAAATGACTGGCTTTGTTAGACTGCAGTGCTTTGAATCCATTGGCCTGTCCAAGTAGATGTTAAAGTGGGATTTGAAAGTCAAAGCTGGCTAAATAAAATAAAGAAACAACTGTTGTTGCGCCTGCCCTGTTTACTCCAAACAGAGTTTGGTAATTGGAGAACAGATGAGAGGAGAGGACGAACCATTATAATACGATGACAACTTATTGGGGACCCTGGACAGATATATTTCTTTGCTTGACTTACCTGCTTCTTTGTCTAATGCTGGCACAAAGAGACCTGTCAGTCAGTTTGGTATCAAAAACAACCTTTCTGTTGACATTTTTTTTATTGTGGCATGACTTGCAGATTTAAAGAGAGAACAAAATATTGAATTTGATGAGTTTGATGCATACATGCTCAAAGCTCTACACATGGTAAAGAATAGCAGTACAATCACTTTTTACAATTACTAAAATAAGGCAATGATTCTGATTTGTTATAAACCTGAGCATGAACCTTTGAGTTTAAAGAAGTGGATGTATTAAACCTTTCAGAGAGAAACAGCATTATGAGTTATTACTATAGATATCTCTCCAATTGCACATGTATGTTTTGTGATGGCACAAGTTCACACCTGTGTTTGCTAGTATCATAGGAATAAAGGATGGGGTATTTGAGGAATATGCATTTGATTAGATATAATACAACTTTATTCCCCATCAGGCAGTTGGGTTGTTTTACTGTTTAACCACCAGTTATGGCTGCCAACAATGATAAGTTAGGTTTCTAACTTACCATTGATGTATCAAGTATGCACTTGAAGTCAGGAATTGTTTAGATAAAAATAAAAAGCGCTATTGTTCATTTTTGAATGGGAATATAATGCAAATGATTCTGACTGAATATTTCCACAGATTGCTAAGAAAACACCAGTGTCCTCGGCTGCACCAATCAAGTTTATCATCACAAAAACTGTTAACAGCAAAGGTCTAAGTCCTCAGACATCAGTTACTCCTGTTATCGCAGGTACGTTTATTTTTATTATCGTTGTGTGTGTTGTAAACATATTATCAGTGATACACCTTTTAAGTTGGGCTGTAATGAAGCCATGTTTTCTCAAATCTTGTGCTTTTTGATTAAAGGACGGGTCTTGACGCAGAGTTCCCTAGGGATGCCCTCAAGGACTATTACTCTCTCTGAGCCCCACAACACTACAACACTACAGAGCATAACTGGCAAAAAGATTGCCATTTCACCCCTTAAATCTCCCAGCAAGGTACATTCTACAGATTCATCCTTATCTATTTGAATGAAGGATTTTTCCCACTCTTTTTTTCCTGTTATTTTGTAAAGGTTTTCCAGTTCGGTTAAGTTGTGACACACTGCAGATGCCTGGAAATACAATCAATTCAGAGGTCATGTGGTCAAGCTTAAAGGACAGTTCACCCCTAAAGTCAATAATGTATATTTGTTGTCTTGTCATTAAGTTAACTACAGTTGTGGTGCTCAAAGTGCCAAAACAATACATGTGAACACTCAATGGCAATGTGTCTTTCAAGGAATGATGTCCTAATTATCATGATACTCTACTGTAAACTGTTTCATATAGGGACTTAGAAAATTAAAGAAAAATGACCAAGGTAATAGTTCCTACATGAAACTGCTTATAATCACAACAAAGTCTGTGGATTAGCTTAAATAACCATGGAGCTCGTAAGATTTTCAAATGTATTGATTTGGGGCTTTGAGCACCTCGAGGCGAGTGGCCTCTTGCTCCATTACATTCAAAAGAAAATGCAGTCATCTGTGCAGCTGATACCTCCAACCCTGGAGAACATACACCAGGGTTGCGTTCCAATAGTCCATTTAGCTTAGGAACCTTCCTAACGGAGTGAAATGACCCGGAAGTCCCTCACTGGCAGCCATGATAAGTGCCGTTCCAATTCTCCAAATGAAAGGAAAGGAGGTTTCAAACTTCCTTTATAACCTCCTTTAGCTTAGGAACCACTGGACCTCCCTAACCGAAAGGAGAGGAGAAAATGCTGCCCCACAATGCATTGCAGCCGCAGCATTTGCCGTCACTCAACAGTCGGCCGTTCACGGAAACAAACGATTATGACCGAGAAATTATATCGTGAAAGTTACGGTGCTTATTAAGCATTTTAAAACGTATGTGATAAGTTGCCAAAGTGCTTTGGTCTGAACGTTCATCAGTATTATAATCAAAAAGAGAAATATGAACGTTAGTTTTTACTGAAATGATCAAATAAAGTCAACATTTCACAGTCTTTACTGAGCTGTGTGGGTTGTTCAACTTTTAAAAGATGTTTGAATGGTGATATACACAGTGATAGATGTTAAGGACTAACGTTTATAATAAATACATTTGTATTGATTTTAAGATATTTTCATACAATCATACGTATTGGGATCATTTGTATTAATGTGGACCGGAGGGAGAGGGTGACGAGCAGAAGTTTCACTTTCCTTTTTTATTTCAATTCCAACTTTGGTCATGAAGAATATGTTTCTCTGTTGTCCCGGTTCATAAAGCATAAAACAACAGCATCAGAGCACGGTGCAGAGTCTCTAGATTAGTTTACAGTAGTCCCTCGTTCTTATTAAACATCCATGTTGTAGTCCGCTGTATAGAAACCTGTAGTTTCCATAGTTTCCCCACAGCAGCAGCAGACGCACATTCATGACGTCCGCTGGCGCATCATAAACACGTCGGATAGTGAAAGTGCATTCGGATTCTCTAAAGTACCGCAGTCTCTTCTCCTAAGTCCTTTTGAATTCTCCTATCCACTATCCCTTAACCCCGTGACGTTTCACTCAGAGGTCAAGGAATAGGAGATAGGGTTAGAATTTAGGAGCTGATTTTTGGATTATCGGAACGCAACCCGGATCTGTCCCTTTTTAAGAGGGCTGTAACATTTTCCTTGGAGCAGAGAAAGCACAGGCGTCGTCAAGAATCTTAACGATGTTCTCTTTAAGACATCCTGTCATCAGCCAGTATGCACACACTCACATGGAAAACAGCAATCATTCATGTTATTGTATACACCTGTGTTTGCCAAGTCAAAATATCCACTCTGACAAAGGTCTCTTACTCTTAAGGCTACATTCGAGTGGTGTTTTCATTCAGTTTCTGCAAAAATATGCAGAATTTATTTTGAATTGAATTGTTTGAGACCTATATTAGCAGTAACTTCCAGCTTCATGCATTACAACAACACAAAATAAAGTAGGTGTTTTATATTGATATGTATATCAAGTGGTTTATCAGGATAGTATTTGGACTGATTGTGCTGTGCCCTCTTTGTTTGTCCCTGCCAGGTGACTGTGGTTTCTGTGGCTTCTCCCACCTCCAACGCCTCTCACAAGTCAGTGACGCTGCCCGTCAATGTAGCACTTGGACAGCAGATCCTCACAGTCCAACAGTCCACACCGGGGTCTCCAATCAAAGTGACCACAAGCCAAACCACACAGGTAAGATCCGAGCTCTTCACTGTCTATTGTCGTTTCAAGTATTGGCTCGCCTGCCCTGATATTGAAACAGGTGACAAGGAGAGACGTGTTTGACAACTTCTGCAGCATTGCTCACGGCACAGTCATCTCTCTTTTAGCAAAGACAACACAGTGTGTCAGGTTAACCTCAGAATGTGATGAGTGTCGCATTACAAATGTGTGTCAATGGGACAGTAGACGCACATTAAAACACCTTGTTCGATGATGTGCTGGAAGTAGAACTGCAAATATCTTTGTATCATCAATTAATCAGTCAATTATTTTCTTTAAAACAAAACTCATGATTTGGTCTAGAAAAGGTCAGAAATAACTGAAGGGAACGTTTAAAAAAATCTGTTTACCATCACAAAACAGCAGCAAATCCTCACAACTTAGATGCTGGATCCTAAGTATATTTGACATGTTTAAATTATGTATGATTGTGTTAACTGCTTCTGTTAAACAACTTATTAACAACTTGCCCCAACAGCAGTAAACCTGTAACTTGATTATAAGCAGGGCCAGTGGCGTTTTTATGTGTACAAAAGTGGTGGGGCACAAAAAACGTAGATGTCTATAAGCTTCTGCAGTGAGGTTCATGGCTGGTGAGGCACTGGCACTGACTCTTCAGGTTTACAAATATTATATTTTGACCTAAATCAAAATATAATATCATTTTCAAAAGCTTTTTTAGTCTGATGCTTCAATTAATTTTAAACAGACAGTTCAACAAAAGGATACCCAAAAAATGTAATTGTATCATTTAAATATTGAATTGTTCTCTCTTAGTAAGATCCCATTTTCAATCAAATTGCAGTCTTACCTTGACTTGAAGATGAAGTCCATTTGCCTATCCCTCTGGACAAAAATCTCTATTACTTTTTTGTAAAAGTCCTCCTTATCTTCTTGTAGTTTCAAAAGTCAATCAATAGATTTATTATTCGAAAATTATAAAAGTAGGGTAGACATGTGGATATTATCCGGCTGAACAAAACGTGCATTTATCTAACAGGTTTGTTTCCCACAGATCTTATTTTGAGCTATTTTCTAAAATCCTATGGAGAAATCTCATTGCTTTTTTGTCGAGGGAAGCCATGCGCAGCTTACTTCCGGGTTTTAGAACGCCTCACTGCAGCTCTCTCGTCTGCTCTTCACACACCACACTTTTCGCGGCACACGTACTTACAGCCAATCAGCTCTGAATGATGTGAGATGACGTATGGTGGGGATGGCAGCACTATGCCCCTATGGTCATTATTTTTTTGCCACACACATTAAATAGGAAAATACTCTGAGCATGCGCAGTGTAGTTTTTACAGTCACCGTTCACTTAGACAGTAAGAGGGAGGGGCAGGATCGGGTTTTGTCCCACATGGCTCTAAACAGCTCAATAGGCACACACTGTAGACACTAATTAGAAGAACACAGACTAAAACAGCAATGTACCGACGAATCAGATGATCAACCATGATCTTAAAATATATTTTATATATTTTTTAATTTATTTTTTGCATTTTGTTGTAATCATTATTTGTAATACTTTCTGCTGACACTAGGTGGGGCTGTGCCCCACCTGCCCCTAATGACCAGTCGCCACTGAGCAGGGCATTTACATTGTGGTTTAGTATTAAATAGTGTGGTGTTCTACCCTATGGCTAATACATGTAATACTACTGCTTGCAAAGTAAAGCAGCATAAAGAAATATGAAGGTGAAAAAATATGCTGATTAATTGTTGTTGAAGATTTCCTGCTTGAGCCTTCCACCACAGCTGTGTGTTGTCCACCTGTTGCTTTGTTTGCCTTTCAATGGACTGTGATACAAAGTGCAATGTGTTGGGGTAAAAAAGGTTTTATTACTTTCACTTCTGGCAAAGATGGCTAATGATTTAAGGATGTGCCTTTTGTTTCTATTTACAGAGCAGTTCGTGTTCTGGGCAATATAACTTCTCCAAAGTTTCATTCTATTCTAACTCAAATGTGTTAAGGACAAAGTCCACTTCCTTCTTTCATTACAAATGTCTGCGTTTGCTTTCAATAGTTTGACAGAATTTGGTATGAAGGACCCAGGTTCTTTCTGACTTACTGGTTCTCTAAGCCTTTTAATTAAGTGAAAATATTCTTACATTTAACTTGACTCACAATATTGTTGATTTACCTTTCTGTCATTTATACCTAAATCTCTGACTCTTGTTGTTTCTGAATATTTGCAGGGTCTTAAACCAGGGCAAACTGTGACCGTGGGCGGAGTCGGCGGCTCCCAGTTCAAGACCATCATCCCACTGGCCACCCAGCCGAATGTGCAGCAGATCCAGGTTCCAGGTAGCAGGTTCCACTACGTCCGCCTGGTCACAGCCACCACAGCGAGCAGCTCGGGACAGCCCAGCGGTCCCAGCACCAGCTCTCTACAGACCGGTAACTTTTACACTCTTTCACACATGACACAGACATTTAAGCAGATGGTGGAAATGCAACACTTCTAAACATAAACAAAACAATTGTAACCCTTTTCAAAGCCACAGAAGAAGATGGGGAAAGTCTGGATTTATGTGACGTCTCAAGTTTCAAGGCTTTATTGTCATTAGCACATTAGCTACAGTGTTAGATATGGCAATGAAAAACGTAGGTCACAAGCTCCTCCAACGTCTGTTTTTATATTCACAAACTGGAGTTAATCAAGAACTTGCCAGAGAATTTTCATGAAAGCATTGGCGTTCATTTTAAACTCTTCCCGTATGTCATCAGCTGAATCTTGTGCTTAGTTTGATCGCTTTACGAAAACAAGTCTTTCATAAGACGGTCACAATTTTACTTCTTTATTAACAACTCAGCCGTACATGCGTTTTACCGGAAATGTTACGAGTTTGTGAGGTGGGAAACTCTTGCGATACAGATTTTCCACAATATTGATCCTTGTTTTCATTCACACACGACCCCATGCAAGAACTGTTCTGGACATTTCAGGGATGGACTGCATGTGTAGGGTTTATTCTGGTAACAAACGTAGATGACACTGTTGAAGCTCTAATGTTTCAACTCATGTTTCTTAATGTCCCACAGCTAAACCTATGATGGTCAGCACAGGAGCCGTCAGGATGTCGGTCCCAATCGTCCCGGCACAGTCTATCAAACAGGTAGCGCTGCGATTCTGTAAATGCCTTAATCTTTATTCAAGCAGTGTTTTCTTGTATAATGTCTCGTGCGATGCATTCATGGTTTGTTTTCCTTATAGATGGCACCTAAGTCCCTAACATCAGCAGCCGTAGTAACCACCACTCAGACCCAGCAACGCCTCATCATGCCTGCAACTCCTCTACCCCAGATCCAGCCCAACTTCACCAACCTCCCCCCAGGTACCGTTCTGGCCCCAGCTCCAGGAGGAGGGAACATGGGATATGCAGTCGTCCCAGCACAATACGTCACACAGGTCAGTGGTGTTTTGGGTGTGAGGTTTTTCTTTTTGACTGACTTATCTTTGATGTGCATCTTCTGAGTATTTTCTTTGTGATCTTCCTCTCCTGTAGCTCCAGCAGAGCCCATTTGTGACCCTCGCCAGCAGCTCTGCTTTCACCACGAACACCGGTATCCAGACTCAGGCCAGATTGCCCCTCAATGGGTAAGGGTTAGATGTTTGACAGCACAACTACATGATGGTTTTTAAACCTGTTTTTTTTTTTTTTTTAATTGTGAAAACTTATTATTAGGACACGATGCATAAAATATCTTGCCTACTAAATATATTTTGTTTAGTTTGTATTAGCCAAAAAGCTAACTTGATTATTTTAATGTGGCCTCTATAATCTCTATTGTGACAGAAGACTTGTTTTTAAAATTGTTTATTATTAAAGGATCTATTTTTCCTGTTGTATTAAACAAAGTGTCATTGACTAAAAATATGGGGCAATATAGCGTACTGTGGACTTTTGTTGCATACCATTCCCCTCTTTACCCCTTTATCTACAAATAAAATAAATATGTATATACTATTAGAAAATAAAATCGTATCTTGTTTTTCTTTCTAAGAATTATCGGTTTAATGTGCTTTAATATAAAGGTCATCTAAGTCATGTTATTCACTGGCTTACAGATTGTCAGCAGCAGAAACGACCTCAAGACCGAGGAAACCATGCAACTGCACCAAGTCACAGTGTCTCAAACTGTAAGTATCACTGGGATTTAGACCTGTTTTTAATGTTGAGACTTTGTAACTGTTTGTAATTGTGCAAATCATCGGTAAATAATAAACTACTGGCAAACATGTCAGTCCCCTCCTGTTTTGTTCATCCAGAGCGTTGCTTTTCTCCCCCTAGATACTGTGACTGCTTTGCAAATGGAGAGTTCTGCAGTAATTGTAACTGCAATAACTGCTTCAATAATCTGGAACATGAAACGGAACGTCTCAAAGCTATAAAAGTAAAGCAGATATTTTTGAGATTTGTTTTTGGGCTGAGCTGCTTTTATGTCATACAGATGAATTAAGGTTTAATGTGTTTTCGCAGACGTGTCTGGACCGGAACCCAGAAGCCTTCAAACCTAAAATAGGTAAAGGCAAGGAGGGAGAGTCGGACCGCCAACACAGCAAAGGCTGCAACTGCAAACGCTCGGGCTGCCTGAAGAACTACTGCGAGTGCTACGAGGTGGGCTTTCCCTCACTCTGTTCTTTTCAGGACCTGTTTTTATAATTCTGATTCTAGAAATCCTTATAAACTCTTTCAAGGTTTGTATATTGCTTGCATTTTTAATCAAATGCATGAAACTGCTTCAAATTGTAATCATCACAAAACATATTGTTTAAAGCACAGAAGGCCCTTTTCACAGCTGCTATTTTGACTTTTGCAGTGTAATCACAGGTGTAATTAATAACATTAATGATGGCCCTATTCCATTTAGGTTGGCCCTGGTATTGTTCATGCTGACTCACAAGAATGGCTGTGACACTAATTAGACAGAGACCGTAATCAAATGTATTAATGACAACTGTGTTCATCCCGCTTGGACTCATAATTGCTGCGATTTCAATGTAATGCAGTAAAATAATTGATATATTGTAAATATTTAATTTACATACAGATGTAAAAGTGCTTGAATATGACTTAAGAAAATAGATGATTCATCATAATTGTTTAACCCAGTTTGTCACCACCTGACTTGATTTGTATTCTTTCCTTTGTCTTACATCAAAGGCGAAAATCATGTGTTCGTCCATTTGTAAGTGCGTCGGCTGCAAGAACTTCGAGGAGAGCCCGGAGAGGAAGACGCTGATGCACCTGGCTGACGCCGCAGATATGAGGGTTCAGCAGCAAACTGCTGCCAAGACCAAGCTGTCGTCACAGATCTCAGACCTGCTCATGCGGACCACTCCTGTCATGTCAAGTGGAAGCGGGAGGTACTGTAAACACTTTTTCTCTACAACATTAATAATGTACAGGGGCACTTTGGTAGTAATAATTTGCATTGATGCATTTCATTATTGTACACACAAAGCTTCTACTGTCTGCTGACATATTTTGGGGAAAAAATGTATTTATGAATTAAGGGATTCATTGAAAGATGAATGAGTCTTTTGCTTTTTTTGATTAAATCAAGTTTCTTTAATGACTAGTCCACCAGTGACTGCCTAACTTTAAGAGGTCAAGTTTGTTTTGACTGCAGCAAAAAAATTATTTAGGAAAAGCTAAACATATGAATATTATTAAACATATCATTTAATAAACATGGTGGATTAAACAATTATTGAATTGTATCTTTATTGGAAATTTTTTGGATCACACAAGTTGGAAACAATCTTACGCAGCAACCATTGCAAGCTAATTCTCTAAATAGTATAATACTAATAATAAAAGGGTCTGCAAATGTGCAGAATACCGAATTCAAACAATAGGCATTGAAAGGGGAAACAACTTCAAGCGTTTTAAGAATTAAAATGCCCTTTCAAACACCAAGAGAAGGGTAATTTATTTTCTAACCAAGACCCTGTCCTTCTTTTCTCTTAGGCTGCCATTTACGTTTGTAACAAAGGAGGTTCTTGAAGCAACGTGCGAGTGTCTGCTGGAACAGGCCAAAAAGGCGGAACAGACTCATCAGCCTCAGGTGGAAGCAGAGCGGATGATCCTGGAGGAGTTCGGACACTGCCTCATGAGGATCATCAGCTCGGCGGGGAAAGCCAAAGCAGACTGTGCTTCTATCAATTGCTAGGCCAAGCTTTTTGGCTCTCCCCCACCCTCTAACATGCACACAGCTGCGGGGCCGAGAGAAACAGATGACTCTACTCTCTCGGACCCCTGGGGTTTCTCTCCTGCAAGGAACAGGTCGTCTCCCTCCTCTGAAGGCAGAACAATGGCCTGAAAGTAGATCCCCCCCGCCCTTAGCAGGCAGAGGCCAGCTGGAATAATAAACATTGAGCAGATGTTTGCAAACCGAAGGAGAAATGGACAGAGCACGTCGCCTCTGATGGATATTAAAAACCGTTCTCACACTTGTTCACCTGTTATGGACAGAAAGGACTGAGCAAGGTAGTCCACATGGACTGGAGTGTTTCTCTACTTAATTTTCCCTACAGGGCTCTATAAAATGTGTTTGTGTCCTCCAAACTTTTGTTCTTCCATTTTATTCTATTTTCTATTATTCTTTCCCCCCTTTATGAGTTTTTTTCCAAAATGAAATGCCTTTTTAATGTAATCATTTGTGCTTACAGTAGATAAAAAGAACATGTATCTTTTGATATTTATTTTGACAAGTATTTGTAATCATTGTGAGCGCTAATATTGTGTGACTTTTAGTGCTGCAAATTGTTAATTATTAACCAAGGCTAGGCTAAATTGTGTCAGTGAAATGAGTAGAGGCAGTCCTGGGTTTGATCCATAAAGGCAATCGTAAATTGAATACACATATGGATGAATGCATTATGAACACACAGCACTGTGCTCATGATAGTTGGAACATGGCTAGATTGGCGAAGGTTCACGTTTCTCTTTGTGCGGTTTTCTGTTTGATCAGTCCCATGCTTACTGAACATTAAAAACACCATACATGGGGAAAAACAATTGAGACCTATAAGACTTGTTCAATTATGTTTCTCACTAGAAGAGAGTGGAGAAAGGGGGTCTGAAGTTTTTTTTTATGTCAAAGTGGCAGAAATTAGAACACCTCCATCAAGACATCTCATGGTAGGAGCACAGGAGTATAACATTAAATTAATGGCTGAAGTAATGCAACTAACAAGGTGATCCAGATCTGTCACACACACATAGCTGATGATTGGTTTTGTGTTACAATTACCACAGATAAAAAAAAGAAAGAACCAGAGACCCATATCTGCCTCTTGCATTTGTATTAATACATTATACCACAACCCTTTAATTGCATCGTAGACCATTGCTTATTTGTTTCCATAACTCCTATATATTTTTTGTTATACTGTTAGTGATTTGAAACCATAAAATCTGTTTTAGGTTATATTATTTTTGGCAAAACTGGGTTGTTACGACAATTCTAGTTCAGTTCACATTGTGAAAACAAAGGGCAATTCAAAGATTGAAATTGGGAATCTAATTCATCAAAAAAAATCGATATGAAGTAATATTCAACCTGGGAGACTTCAATTTTAAATATATAATTCTGGGGAAAAGGTGCATGGATGTGCCTTTCCCGTCTGCCTTGCAAATCAAAGAAAGAGTATTTCGTCACAAAATAAAAATGTACTACATCCACCCTTTTCACCTGTACACCCCCCCCCCCCCCCCCCCCCCCCCCCTTTGATATCAACCAATAGGTGGCAGGAATGCACACATAATCGAAGTTACGAGTGAACCAGAAGAAGAATATTTCAAGATGAAGAAGTGAGGTGAAGGAGTCTTGCCACGGCTGGTGCAAATTAAATGTCATTGTTATATTCCAGTGTTAAAACGCTCGTTTTGTGCGTATTTAATTAATGTAGTAAGTAATTAATAAGTTAGCTAAAATAGTATCTCGCGTGGGGTCCATGTTCGGTAATTAGGTAAGTCAATTATAAATTAAACCAGTCAATACTAGAGTATTTCATATTTGTTTACACCACAATTAGCTTACTGTATAGTAAACTGTAATTTTCCCATTGGGGATCATTCAAGTTTGTCTTTTTCTTGAAACTCAACTCTGACAACAAATGTTCAAGAAGACAGTTTGTGAGACCCCCCCACCAAACTCTTATAAAAAATAGTCGTTTGGTACAAAATTGCTAATTGACCAAGTTTAATCTGCTAACTCAATCCTTTACTGAAATAAACGCAACAACTCTCCAATTTGGCACACACAATGTTATCCTAATGCTTGTTTGGCATTATGATCTGTGGGTTTTATTCAACATGGTCTACGTTTTTTTTTCACCGAAGGTTTTTAGTTTAAAACTTAACAGCTGAAAATCTTGTGTTGACAGAAAAAGGCGTACCAGGAAAATGGAGAGACAGCAAGCGCATTTCGTGGCATCTGCAGGCAGTGGCAAGTCCTTCCGGCATATGCCACAGAGGCCGCTACTCTGTGGTAGCTGTGGCAAGTCCTTCCGGCATATGCCACAGATGCCACAACTTGCCGAGGCATCTGCCGCTGCTCAACGGGAGTTGCCACAAGATGCCAGAGTAAGAGAACGTTTACGGTAGCTGCCACTCGCCTTCCGTGGCAAATGCTGCTATTTAAACCCGTATTTATCGTGTAAAATGTCGCTGTTTAGGCATGACTTTATCGAACTGATCTGTACACAGGACTGATGTGCGATCTCTATTTTTCAAAAAGATTATACATTATCATTTCTATTCAATTTTACTTGGAGCATGGTTTGCTAAAATATACAAACGTGCTATATTTATGATGAAATATTGGCGAGTGAGGGTTGCAACGCCCTTGGCAATTGTCGCTTCTTGAGGGGAGTTCCCACTGCTTGCTACGATAAACCAGGTGTATGACTAGTAAAGACAAATAACTAACAAATAAATATCTGTATTGACACAGCAACGTGTACACTGGTGTTATTAAACTTGGCTACAGACGTAGGGCAGCTGTAACTGATTGCAGTTGCCACTGCTAGTGAGATGCTAAGGTTTACTTTATAAATTAGGCAAAGGACTTATATTTGCCCCATGCCTTCAGCAGCAGTAGGCCATTCACTTTGATTTAATCCAGTTATGAAATGTCATCATTTCGACAATAAAGAAATGCTACATAAACGTTATCTTGCACGTTTTATCGAACCATCTCCGTTTCTAACTTTCAATATATTTAAAAAGAGATCTCTCTCTCATCTGCGTGCGGGGGCGGGGCCTCACAGACATGCTGCTGCGCTGTGCACACAGTTCTGCCGGTAATGAATATTAGGATACATTTTGTGAGGAAACTTTTCCACCAATAATTCCAATAAGTATTCCAAAATGTATTCACTTCAGGTTTACGAAAGTAACTGTATTCGGATTAGTTGTTTTTCAAATGTAACTCGAGCTGAATACAGTTGGCTACTTGGTTTTTGTATTCTGATTACGTAACGCCGTTACATGTATTCCGTTACAACCAAGCGGCAAACTGTGGGGTAGAGCCGGGAAGCCAATACGGAAGTGCCACACACTGCAGTTCATATATTGGCCGATAGGCGATGGCTGCAGAAAGGAGCAATTTCCATAGACCCCCATGTTAAAATGCCCGATTTTACAGCAGAAAAAAACATGTTTCTACCCCTGGCTCCATACATTGTATTAGCGATATAGTTAGATTCCACCTTCATGATTATGGATCTGTGAGTGAATTGTTTTCTAACGCGACCCTTTTATTTATATTAAGTCTTAAAGTTTGTGCATAGATTAGGGCGTGGTCACATTGAGTGACGGCTCTGTCAAGTGCCTGCCGCTGTTAGCTTCTTGTCTCTCTGCTAGCTGCTCCGTGAAGCTACAGGGACTCTGCCTGCTCAGCTCATCCAGGAAACACAACTTGTAGCCGGCCGTGGTTGTTTGTTCTTCATGCTTATATATCGGACTATTGTGACTCGCTCTGCGGTTAAAACAGACGGTGCATGAATGCGGTAAGTAAAATTCGAGTGCTTTATTTATGTGTTAATGATTTTAATCAGCTACGTAATGAATGGTAAGGCTTGGGTTAGCATGTAAGCTAGTGGTAGCTACATCGGTGCTAACGATTGTAATCGTAGCCTCCAAGTTAAAATCATAGACTGTATATATAAAGGTTAAAACTAAATAGACAAGTGTTAAGTGGGATAATACTGTTGAACAAACGGCTTCTGTTTGAGGTTGATCAAATAAGGTTACATCCTTGTAACTTAGAGATATGTTATTATGTAGGTAGAACTGTATGCATCTAAGGTTAATTTAAATTGGCTATGCTCAGTATGTAGACAAGCTAATGTCGAAGTAGTGTATGTGAAATCAACCTCACAATAAGATGTGTGTATATTACAATTATTAATGTCATATTTCAAGATGATTACTTAGATATTACAATATGGTTGGTTGAGCTGGAGTTCATTATCGAGCTTACACGTTAACGTCAGTCATCTGAAGAACGAACCCAAACCTTGAAGTTTTTATTAATTGCATTACCAAATGGGTATCAAATAAACAGTAAGCATTGGTAACACAATTTCCAAAGTTACAGTAAAATAAAAAGGACCCTGACTCGGACAATACACAATCCAACATGTTCAACAGAAGAGAATCAGTTATATTGTTTGTACACATGGTACTTTACATATATATCTGTTTGTTTAAAGTGTCCAGGTGATGCAGACAGGCTGGACCAGAGAGTGAGAGACAGAACTGGACTCCTCACAGCAGTGAACTTCAGCACAGGTACAAAGACTCTTTTTTCATACTGTACAAAGAATCAAGAAAGATATTGGTTTAAATGAATGAAGTATTGACTTGAATACACTGATATACATTCCATTAAACAATACTAAATACTAGATCACCTACACATCAGTGAAGTTGAGGGGTTTTTCCATGCAAAAAGTTGCATTTAGATATTTAGCAATATGACTTTGTCAGCTTTCTAATTTAATGTATTGAAGGCAAAGATATTTAACACATAGTGAGAACTGCTACTATTTATCTCTCAATATTGTCTGTAAAAAACGTGGTAAAAGTTATTCTTTCAGTGAGACAACAGAGCAAGCTTCTACAGTTGCACTACGTTTTGATAACAGTTCAATATTATTTTGATAATAACATATATTTCAATGTTGATGAACTTCATACTGTTCATTCATAATCTGATTGTCTTTGTAGCTCATTGTTGAAATAAAAAAAAAACATTACAATTACAAAATAATTATATCTACAGCCCCTAAACACACAAACACACTGCTTTCATAAATAACACACTTGTTCTGCAATAATATGTTTTATGTTTCCTGTCATTTTTGTTAGGAAAGGACATGCCTGAAAGACAGGACATGTTCTCCTTCTCTGAGGGTCAACAAGAACATCCAAGAGGAACATTAAAAGCTGATGTTATGAGATTTTAAGACCAGTACAGGACATTCACTAAGAAACTACTTTTATTGTAAAAACAGTCAGCTGATCGAATGCAGCTATTTCCACATCTACACTCCATCAGCTGATTATTTCTATTTGCCTCACTTTATGAGCTTCACAACATGTACCTTGTTTTGCAACATCACAAATAAATGGGGCCAATCTTCAGTCAGATGTGAATGTGTAATCTAACATTTTCAGTAAGAATAATGGACAAAAGGAGTGCAAATAAAAATACAATTTATTGAAATGTGAACCAAAAGCACATATGGACAGAAGGTATAAACCTATTAAATGTATAAGTAAACACATTTAGTCAAATAAAGTGACCGACTAGGCCTGTGCAGTTGGTATCAGCTTTGCCCAGCATGGGCTCCTTCATCAGCCCTGGTCCTCCTCGCTGAGGAAAGACCCTCAGTCCTCTCCAAACCAACAGACAGGACGTCCATCACACGGAGGTTTCTCCCTGAAGTCTCTGCTGCTCTCTGGACACCATGCTGTCTCAATCCGTCCACACTGAATATGAGAGGGGGAAAATGAAAATAATAAATGCTTTAGACAATAAGAAACATAAAGTTGACTGTTGAGTTGCTCAGTTTTTTTAGATTGTCAATACTATTACTGTATAACTAATATCTCAGGTTAAGAGGCACATTCAAATAAAGATTGGTCTTTAAATACATTTTATCTTTTGAATTGTTTGTCTAAAGTCAAGGATCTAGAACTGGTACTTAGTTTTAATGATATAGTCTGGTTATTATGCTGTTTGGAGGAGGCCTCACAGTTAAGAGCACTAACTAGCTACCATCACATGTACCTTAGCTTGACTTAAATGTATTAAACGTATAGTTAAGTGATATCAAAATATAAATAACTAATGTCATGCAAACATATTAATATTTGCTTGATTCCAGTGTTGAATTTAGCACAATTGCATACAAACGTTAAGGGGTTTTAAGATTCTGAAGTATTATGCTAAAAACTCAATAACTTAGATTATTATTTATAGTTTCATGTCCGCTTACCTTAGAAACGTAAAATGCGACGGCAGCGTGCAGATGGGGAGCATGTTAGCTTAGCTTGGTAGCTTCAGCTAGCTCTGGAGCTTCCAGCTCGGTGGCAGCAGGTCCCGCCTCGGCTCCGCCTCTTTGCCCTTATTTGGAGCAGGCTGGAGAAGGCGGGAGTTGAACTCTGACGTCACTGTCGAGCCGTTAGTGGCCGACTCCGCCTACTAAGGGCTTCACGGCAACTGCAGAATCCTATGGGTGACGTCACGGACCCTACGTCCATTTATATATACAGTCTATGGTTACAACCCAACCCTGTGTACAGATCATCAGTCATGTGTACCAGTGGCGTAGCCAGGAATTATTGTGTGGGTGGGCCTGGAGAAATGTAGGTGGGCCAGGGGGAGACATATTAAGCGTGGGGTCTGAGCTGAAACTTCATTAATGATTTTTTAATGCACTAATAGAACATAAGCATAAATTAGTGAATGATTATTTCAATCACTACCCATTTGACCCATTCATGTGTCTGGGGAGGATTATAAATTAGATATAAAATGAGGGTGTTGGCATTCATTCTCTAAAGACCTTGCTAAGTCTGTGTAAAACTAACTTTACCTTACTGTATCACCATTGTTCTTTCAGGGTCGGCCTGTTCAAGTGGCAGCAAGTTCAGTGATTTATTGACACACCTACATTTACCAAAAGCACTTTAGTGGTTCGTCTTTGTTTCTCATTCCCAAATAAATACAAATTGTGAAGCAAATGTGTTGTTTATTGTTATTTGTGGGGGATCTGTGGGGATCTGAAGTTTACCATACATTTGTTCATTTATCATCAGATATACAAAATACATTTATTGTTGTGCTTGTTACTAATCATAACGTAAAATATCTCAATGAGTATACAAATAAATAAAAAAACACCTATGAAATATGTTAATCTAACTACATTTACATATGTTCCATTTTATTTGGCATACTTTGGTAAAATGTGTTGACAGTAACATTAGCATAGTTAGCATGCCAGTTAGCAGTGCTATTCATAATATGAATAGCACTGCTATCATGTTAACATGATAGCAGGGACCCATTCAAACTACAATTAGCATGTTAGCATGTTAGCATGCGTCTCTCTATGGTAGCATCATTAGCATGCTAGCAGGGGTAGTACTGTAGAACATACTATTTTGGACGATGTTGAACACAAAGGTTCTATAATTACTTGTAAATATAAAACCTCTGGTAAAACTATGGCATGTTTAGCATGCTAGCCATGGTAGCGGCGAAGACGTCCCCCGGAAGTTGTTGTTCTTCTTCGTGGCAGCGGTGTTGCTGAGTGCCACGTTGATGGAGACCAGTGGGGACGTGGAAATCTGTCTTGAGTCCGTAGTCGGGACCCGGTAGCCTCTTCTGTTATTACACCCTCTAATCCCGTAGTGGAGCCGAACGAGGAACCTGTACAGTCGCAGGAGTATTTGTCAACTATTGTATGTGTGTTCATGTAAGAGGGAGCAAAGGAAGGAAGGTAAGCCGCCTTAGTGAAGTAATAAGGTCTGTTAGTGTATAACTGTCTTCCCACTGTTATGTATTGCAGACAGCTAGCAGGCGAGATAATGTTGCCTTTAGGACATGCTGTACCATGTTCATGTGAAGCATGATAAAAAGTGACATTATTCTGCAGCCAATTCAGTTTTTCATTTTGACTCTAATTTCTTCTTACAGTTTATTCCTTGGTTACTGCCTTTGCTGTGTAGCTTTTAAATGGTCCATCAGCTGTTAGCTTGCTGCTAGCTTGTATTGTACTTTGTTTTTCTATTGTTAACCTTTGAATGAAGAAAGTACGCCGACAAGCTCCCAAGTTTCTTCAGAGCTAGATAAAGCATTTGCAATATAATTTCTGCAAAATAGCTTAAAAATGAGCATGTCTTCATTGGTGTCAGTCAAAGTAGGCCTTTGAGTATAATTCAGTAACTACTGTATTTATTACAGTAGCGAGGCTGAATGCTGGCAATGCACTTCATACAAGTAGGAATAAAAAAAACTGTATTGCTAAATAAACCTGTCACATGCAGGTGTTCCCTTTCCTAGCTTTAAACGACGGGTTCACATTGTTATCTTAACAAAATACTTACACCCAGTTGAAATGTATTATGTACACCAAGCTAATGTAACTTTTCTTCAACAGCCCCTTATAACATCTCTTTATTAAACTGCACAGTCCTTTAGGAGGATGTGTTTCTATTATTCTGCACACCACATTTATATCAATAATGGTAAATTCAATAACAGAATCATCTGTCTTTATAAACTAATGCAATTCAACAGCTCCACCACTTCAAAAATGAAAGACTTCTAAATTAGTGAACTTGTATTGCAATATTCCTCTCTATGTTACTATACTACCACCATGGCCCAGTATAGAAAAATGGGCAAGGGAAAAAAGAGAACATTTCATAATAAAGACGTGATAAGAAGTGATCTTTGGACAGCCAGTATGGACACCATGAACACAGCGAACCGTAACTGTGAATATACATATTGGAATGCAAGTGTGTATTTAAGACAGACATTAAACACATGTGTGAACCTATCCTTAAATGCATAAAATAATGTTTAATAAAAAGCATGCTCTGTTATTTGTTTTGATAACAGCAGAAGCCTAATGGAGGGAAAAGTAAATCAAACTGGAATAATCACTACATGTTCCTTCAAAATGTAAACTTTTTTCCCAGGATGAAACTTAAGGAGATTAACCGCACAGCCATCCAGAGCTGGAGTCCTGCACAGCACCACCCCATCTACCTTGCAACAGGTATGAGCATGCAGCAATGGTGTATTTTTTGACGGGACATTTCATAATTTTGGTCTTCCAGCCATACAAACAGCCATAAGTCGCAGAGCATGCACCTCCATTGCCATTCATTTAGGTTGCAATCACGTTCCATCCATCTTCTCCCGCTTATCCGTGGTCGGGTTCAGGTTCAGGTTATTTATTTGTACCCGTAGGTAGATTCTGTTTGCAGAGAAAAAGACAAGGGTTCCATCCTGACACTAAAAACAAACACAAACAACAGACACATCTCTAATAAAGGACTAGTAAAAGTACAAGTATACCCTGCTCAACCAAATCTCAAAATATTTAAAAAACATTTTAAGAAGGAAAACACTAGTACAAACATGGACATTCAAAATTCACAATTAAATAAATAAATACAAATAGGCATCTGTGTGACGCTCCTATGATGTGTTAATTTGTGCAATAGCTGCTGGGATAAAACTGTTTTTATACCGCTTCGCTCTACTCCTTGGGACAAGTAACCTCCGGCCCGAAGGAAGAAGCTTGAATTCTGAGTGCAGAGGGTGGGAGTCATCGTCTAATATGGAGCTGGATAACCGCTGTAACTGCCTGAGGTACAGGGTCTCCAGGTTTAGCTGTGGCTGACCAATCAGTCTGCTGGACCACTTTATGATCTGACTCAGAGAGTTTTTGCTCTTTAAAGTCAGGTTACCAAACCATGACATTAGTGAAAAAGACAGAATTGACTCGATAAAAGCACGATAAAACATAATCATCATGGTTTTGTCAATGTTAAAATAGGACAATTTCCTAAGACAGTACAAACGCTGGTGCCCCCTTTTGCACACAGCTTCACAGTTTGGATCAGATCTCAATTTTGAGTCAATAATTGTCCCGAGATATTTGTATGATTGCACAAATTCTACTTTCTGATTCTGGATTGTTAAGACTGCATGTATGTGGGGATGTCTTCTAAAATCAATGATCATGTCCTTGGTTTTGCTTATGTTCAGTTGTAAATAGGACTCCTCACACCACCTGACAAAGTCGTCAATGACAGGGCCGTGGCTGGTCTCATTGTCCTGGAGCCTACTAACAATTACAGAGTCATCTGCATACTTTAAAATAGTCCTATTTTCCCACCTACTTTGACACATATTAGTGTAAAGTATAAATAATAGTGGTGAAAGGACACATCCTTGTGGGGAGCCAGTGGAGGAGCTGACTTGATCAGATAAGGTCCCATTCACCCTCACTCTTTGTGTCCTATTGGTTAAAAAATCAAGAATCCAGCCCATAAGATTATTGCTTATTTCAAATTGTTCTAAAAGTCTGCCAATTAGAATATGAGGTTGAATTGTGTTAAAAGCAGAGGAAAAATCAACAAATAAAAGTCTGGCATGAGATCCAAGTCAGATAAGGTGACCGTGGCATCCTCCACTCCTCTGTGTGGCCTGTAAGCAAACTGCATGGGATTTCCAATGTCTTCATTAGAATCGTTAAGAGTTTTGGGGCCTCTGGATTTGGGAACAGGGACTACCACAGCATCCTTCCAAACCTTTGGCACATGCTGTGTCTGTAAAGACATATTAAAAATGTAGTGGAACACAGGGCTAATTTCTTTTGCGCAAAGTTTAAGTAAACGACCGCAGATGTTGTCAGGTCCATGACTCTTATTTATTTTTACTAAACGAAAGGCCTTTTCCACTTCCCTCTGATCTATGTTAAAATGCTTATTGTCTTCAAGTTTGAGCTTCAGTTCAGATATATTTACTGAAATCAAATGTGTCAAATCGAGAAAAAAAGTGATTTAGGGCATTTGCAAACTCAACATCTGAATTAAAGCCATCCAGAGTCACATGGCAGCTATTCTTTGTTTCCCGGAGGCCTGTTATGGTTTTCATGCTACTCCAGACTGAGCCAAGGTTGTTTGCAGCCATTTTGTTTTGTAGTTCAGATTTAAAATTCTGTTTAGCTTTCAGAATTTCTATTTTAAGTTCCCTATTACCCTCATGCAGATCAAAGGCACTTCCCTGTTTAAAAGCTTGTTTATTTTTCTGAATGCTGGACTTAACCGCCTGGTCACCCATGGTTTGTTATTAGGGTATATTTTAACTTGCTTACACGGAATAATCATGTCTTTACAAAAGGCTGTATATGAGCATGTTACATCAACAAGTTCATCCAAGTCGGCACCACAAGACTCTTTGAACATATCCCAATCAGTGCAGTGGGTCGCGGAGGTAGCAGTTCCAGCAGAGAGCCCCAAACTTCCCTTTCCCTGGCCACATCAACCAGCTCTGACTGGGGGATCCCAAGGCGCTCCCAGGCCAGCGAAGAGATATAATCCCTCCACCTGGTCCTAGGTCTACCCCTTGGTCTCTTCCCAGCTGGAGGCGCTCAGGTGGCATCCTAACTAGGTGCCCGAACCACCTCAACTGGCTCCTTTCAACGCGAAGGAGGAGCGGTTCAACTCCGAGTCCCTCCGGGATGACCGAACTTCTCACCTTATCCCTAAGGGAGACACCAGCCACCCTGCGGAGAAAACCCATCTCGACCGCTTGTATCCGCGATCTCGTTCTTTCGGTCATGACCCATCCTTCATGACCATAGGTGAGGGTAGGAACTAAAATGGCCCGGTAGACTGAGAGCTTTGCCTTCTGGCTCAGCTCCCTTTTCGTCACAACAGTGCGGTAAAGCGACTGCAGTACCGCTCCCGCTGCTCCGATTCTCCGGCCCATCTCACGCTCCATTGTTCCCTCACTCGAGAACAAGACCCCGAGATACTTGAACTCCTTCACTTGGGGTATCACTTTCACCCATCTTCATTGTGGTCTTTTTCTGATTTATATTATTTTCTTTTTGTTTCCATTACATCCATTTGCTGTTACTTCATCCCTATTTATAGAATACATGGCACAATTCGATTGTTGTTAATTCAACTTTAATTGCTGCAGTAGTTATTAAAGTATCCTCACGAAAAAAAGAGACATTTGAAACAATATAATAACATATATCACTGAGCAAATGAATATATTCCCTTGAAAATAAATAACAATATGGCTGGTGTAAGCTCTCCAATTATCTAGTCCTGCTTTGAGCTTACATGTTATTAATCATTTGATGACTTGCTATAGGTAGGCATACGTCTCTTAATAAATGTGTCTTATTCTTTACACTCACTCCTTAGTATGCTCTTCAAGCAATCTTTAGTGTCATTTTAGACTCTTTCTGAGAAGTACGATCAATGCAACATTATGTTTCATATGTCACAGCATGCACCAAAGTTTCTGATTTCTCTCTCTGCAGGAACATCAGCCCAGCAGCTGGATGCCTCCTTCAGCACCAATGCCTCGCTGGAGTTTTTCGAGCTGGACTTGTCAGACCCATCTCTAGACATGAAGTCATGTGGCAGCCTCGTCTCCTCTCACAGGTACTAAAAGCTGCCAATGAAATAATGCTTAAAAAAAAAATCCCTTCAAGTGCAGTTGTCATCACACATGTTGTGCTTCTTCCTCCCCACAGATACCACAAACTGGTATGGGGCCCCTATGGGATAGATTCCCAAGGTAACCCGTCCGGGGTCCTTGTTGCCGGAGGCGAGAATGGCAACGTCATTCTGTACGACCCGGCAAAGATCATGGCTGGAGAGACCGACGTGATCATTGCAGAGAGTGACAAGCACACTGGGCCAGTCAGAGGTCTCGACGTCAACCCGTTCCAGGTACGATCCATTTACTCCAGCTTCAGTGAATCTATCACATGCAAGCAGTCCGTTTTTATAACCAAATGCAGTGAGTCATTTTGTATTGTTTCCTCTGTGCTGCAGACAAACCTGGTTGCATCAGGTGGGAATGAGTCTGAAATCTATATCTGGGACATGAATAACTTTGGCTCTCCAATGACACCAGGACCTAAAACTCAGGTAAGCTTTAGTAATTACTTTTCAAGTAATTTCTTCTATAATTTGTAAATATCAATAACACTCTTGATCTTACTGCATCTTTTTCCACTGTTAAATTGTGAAGTCCATTCATGTGAACTTGTGAAGTTTAATTTTAAGGAAAGTTTGTGTTTGTCATTTGACTTCATTATTTTGTCGGATGTCACCATAATTAAGTCCAAAAGGATTATCAGGGTCTATCGTATTGAAAAAAAACTGACATTGGGATGACGAAAAAAATACTTGTTTTGGATGAACATGATCCTTTCAGAAGCCACATTGTTGATATTCTTTCAATTCTGAAATGAAATATTATGCAGCCCTAATTACTTTGTTAAAGCATTGAACAGAAATATCTGTGTCATTTAATGTGGGTAAATAACGGTTGTAGCAGTTTAGACCATGAATATTTTGAATTTTCTGAATGACAACAATTATTATTGTAATATTATATTTTATTATAATGTTATGTGGCTGTGAAGCACTTCGGTAAACCCTCTGTTTTTAATATGTGCTATATAAATAAAGTGGATTGGATTGGATTGAAAAATAGCTAATGTTCTTGTCTTAAAGCCTCTGGAGGACATCAGCTATGTGTCGTGGAACAGACAGGTCCAACACATCCTGGCCTCTGCCAGCCCGAGTGGCCGAGCCTCAGTGTGGGACCTCCGCAAGAACGACCTCATTATCAAAGTCAGCGACCACAGCAACAGAGTACGTTGATCCTTCTGCACTCGGAGGAAGTCTTGGACCAAAAATAATGCTGGATCTTTGAACAATAATTTCAATTTAAACTGTCTTTATTTAATGTGCATGTCTTTTTTTTCAGATGCATTGTTCCGGGCTGGCTTGGAACCCAGAAGTTGCTACTCAGCTGGTTTTGTCCTCGGAAGACGATCGAATGCCGGTTATCCAGATGTGGGACTTACGCTTTGCTTCCTCTCCTCTCAAGATTTTAGAGAATCACACACGGTAAAAGCATCTGTTTGTGGCAAAGGAGCATAAACCTTTTTTCTCATTTCTCAATGTGAATTTTTAAGACTTAGCTGACCTTTACAAACAGGGGTGTCCTGTCCATCGCCTGGAGTCTGGCTGATCCTGATCTGCTCCTGAGCTGCGGAAAGGACAACAGGATTCTGTGCTGGAACCCAAACACAGCAGAGGTAAACATTACTATAAATGTTTTATTAACACGTTCAAAGTAGCAAACGGAACAAACACCTGTCCCATTGTTGTACCTCTGATGTAAATAAATGATCTGATTGGATCCTCAGGTGCTGTACGAGTTGCCCACTAGCAGTCCGTGGTGCTTTGACATCCAATGGTGTCCCAGAAACCCCGCGGTGCTGTCGGCTGCAAGCTTCGACGGACACATCGACATCTATTCCATCATGGGAGGAACCAACACGGCGCAGAGCCAGAGACGAGCTGATCAGGTGTGTGTTTATATGAAATGTAATCTACATATTTTAATTTTACATTCTTTTTATATGGGTAATTAAATGTCCGAGACAAAAACATGCAGGAAACTTTTAATGAGCAGCTTTTCGTAGATCTGCACATTACACAAAATCAGTGAATTACATTTTCGGCACACCTGGCATTGCATCTAAATGACTTTTCGTCTCTGTTACAGATTACCAACTCGTTTGGGAACATGGATCCTTTTGGCACAGGGCAAACTTTGCCGCCCCTGCAGCTGCCTCCTCAGGCTCCTGCTACTCCAGCGACCATCAACCCTCTGAAGAAGCCCCCCAAGTGGATCCGCAGACCTGTAGGAGCCTCGTTTGCTGTGAGTCCCGTGTCCTACACTAATTACATTCAGGATTTAGCTTCGTTGTTTCACCATCTCAGACATTCTTCTGGCTCTTGTTCACTTCTAGTTTGGAGGTAAGCTGGTTTCCTTGGAGAACAGCAAGCCGAACCCACAGCAGCCTCAGCAGCGCTCCTCACACGTCGTACATGTCAGCCAGGTCGTCATAGAAACAGCATTTTTGAAGCGCTCTGACCAGCTGCAGGCCACGCTGAGAGCAGGGAGCTTTGTGGAGTTCTGCCAGGAGAAGATCGATGGAGCTGAAAATGAGTTTGAGAAGACTCTTTGGTCTTTCCTTAAGGTATGACATTCAGAATGAAACTTGGAAATAAATAGTTTTCAGTACATTTTCTGTAATCTTTCTAATTGTTTGTGTGATGTTTTTGTGTTTTCAGGCTAATTTTGAAAGTGATATCCGCAGCAAGTACCTAGAACTCCTTGGGTACAACAAAGAGGAGCTCGCCTTAAAGGTGAGCTGTATTTTCAATGTTCTGTATGACACTGTTTACTGAATGTATTTGCTCAAAACACATCGTTTTCTTTTAGTACATCCTGTGATACATGTCTCCATTTTGTTTTCAGATTTCAGCAGCGTTGGAGGAAAAGCCTGCTGAGCCTCCACAGGTACGTTTGTCAGGAGCATTTAATCCCACTGTTGATTTTAAAGGAATATCTTTTTGGAAAGTGAGAATTTAAAATCTATCTCTAAGAATTTCAAGGCATCTGGTTCCAAAAATTACCTCCTTCTCGGCCAGATTAAATGTGTCATGTCACTTTTTAAAGTGCTGCTTATTCTGGTGCGCACATTTAATCTGATCCTGTTTAATGATAAGCATCCTCCGTCAATTACTATATACAGTGATTACAAGTGATGCAGTTCCAGTAATATGGTGTTACAAGGCCTTTCCAATGAAAATGTTAACTTGAAAAACATGTGATAAAACAGCTACCGATAATCCTAAAAAGCACATCACAGGCAGTCTTTTATATAAACATCCAACAATATTTAGTTTACAATAGGAAATACTGTCCCTGTCTTCCTGCCCACTCAGTTGAAACGCTTCCAAATTGTCCATTACCACACTGTACTATTCTCTCCATTTGTCCTGCTTACTGAGCCATACACATGGCTGTCGTCTCTGCCTCAGAAAGTGTTGCAAGTATTCATAAAGATGAAGCAACAACTACTTCTGTATTGAAACTACTCAGAGGAAGCTTTGCACAGACTTTTAATTTTACAATCACAGTGCTTTTTCTTCCTCTTAAATCTGCTTAGCAAAACTCAGTGTAAAAGTGCAAACACATGTACAGATTTGACTATTTCTTTAGATTAAGGCTGTTGTTTTAAATATCTCCCTCTCTGAAGTGTAAATATTTAGCCTGTTCATACACTTAGTCAAAAGTTAAATCACAGTCCCTGACTTTGAACCCATTTCCTCCCTCCATATTCAGGTGGAGATGCCCGCTCCAGTCAGCCTGCAGTCTTTACCAGACCTCAGCCTTATCCCTGCTGCTGAAACTCCAGAGGCAGCGTTCGACATGATTGCGGCTGCCGCAGTCCTGCCGCCCGTTGGCAACCCAGAAGAAGCATTTGACATGATCGCTGCTGCAGTCGTGCCTCCCGCTGCCACTGCATTTCTGCCACCTGTTGACAACCCAGAGGAAGCCTTTGACATGATCGCCGCTGCTGCAGATGTACCTCCCCCTGCCGCCTCAATCGTGCCGCCTGCCGAAATTCCATTGGAAGCGTTCGACATGTTTGCCGCCGCAGCAGATGTACTTCCAGCTGACACCACAGTCATGCCGCCTGCTGAAAGTCCAGAGGCAGCCTTTGATATGATTGCTAATGCAGATGTGTCGCTGGCTGATAACCCAGAAGAAGTCTTTGACATGGATGCTGCTGCAGTTTTGCCGGCTGCTGACACTCCTGAAGCCGCCTTCGACATGATTGCAGCTGCAGTTGTGCCGCCTGCGGACCCCTTGGAGGCCTTTGACATGATCGCCGCTGCAGCAAACCTTGAGCCTGCAGCCACGCTGGAACTGGACTCCGCTCCTTACCCTGAGTCTGAAGAGCCAGCAGCGGAAGATCTAGAGGTCGCTCCTGCCGGTGAATCAGAAGAGAATATGGACCAGGTTCTCCCAGAGGAGGACGCAGAGGAAGAAGAGATCCCCTTGGACGAGGAGGTACACCTTGATACCTGCACTGATTTAAAAAATACAGATTTTTGCTAAGGACCCTGCTGACATCTTGTATGGGCAGCGGTAAAGGCCTTGCACAACATTGTAAACAAATTCATTTTTTATAATTTAAAGGAATTTCTTAACCCCCAATGGCCTTTTATATATTTATAGTCATCCTGTGACACATTTTATTTAGAAAGAAAATGTTTTGTAGCATTCCTTTAAGGTGAATGAAGAATACAAAAATATAGACAAGATAACATCTGCAATCCAGCCGATATAACGCAAGAGCTAGAGAAAAGATCACGGAATCTGAACACCCCAGCATAGCAAAAAAAAAATTTTAGTTCGTAACATTTTACTGCATATACTAGCATTTTTAAGCATTTGAATCTGACAATTACTGCAGCACTTGGGGAAAGAGAAGAGTACATTGAAAGGATGTTTCTTTGGTGTTTCAGGAGGAGGAGGAGGTGGCAGCTCCAGTGGAGGAGGAACCCAGTCCTGCTGAGACCTTAGCTCCAGTCGAGGAGCCCGTTGAGGTTCCAGCTCCAGCTCTAGTGCCAGATCCAGCTCCTGCTCTGGCTCCATCTCCAATTCCAGCTGCAGCTCCAGTTCCCGTTCTAGCTCCCACTCCTGCTTCCACTCCTGCTCCCACTCCTGCTCCAGCTCCCACTCCAGCCCAATCAGAAGGAGTCAGTCTCAGCATCGGTCAAGGTAACAACTCTTTCAATGGTTCATGACATACTATCGTTCCTACACAGCCTGGATCCTGTGGAAAACAGTCCAAAAAGTATTTTTTCCTCAAGTTATAGCCATAGACTGCACTTCTTTATAATCAGACTTCCACAAAGGGGAACATATCAGTGTATGGCGTGATCCCTGTCTCTTCCTACTATATAGATTGTCACTGGAAATGTTCCCGATAAAAGTGGGATCCCTTCTTTTGCAGCAGATTTGACACAATATCACCTTCAGCCAGAGCGAGAGACCAAACTAGATCAAATAAACTCTGTTGTTTTATTATTCGTTCTCCTGCTAGATGTGGACGGGCTGATCACCCAGGCGCTGCTGACCGGAGACTTTGAAGGAGCTGTGGAGCTCTGTCTCCATGACAACAGGATGGCAGACGGTATCATCCTAGCCATCGCCGGAGGAGCCGACCTCTTAGAGAAAACACAGAAGAAGTACTTTACCAAGAAACACAGCAAGATAACTAAGGTAACAACAACAGTTTTATAAATAGAGTTTATTATTGATGATGTAACCAGTGGTTGAAGTAGTAACCAGATCTAGATTGAAATGACTAATTCCTTACCCTGAATTTACTTAACTACTGCATTTAAGTAAAAGTAATATCAGCTAAATATACTTTAAGAATCTAAAGTAAAAGTACTCATTCAGCAGTAAAATGTGCCGTAATATTATTTTAATATTATATTTTATATGGATATTTATGTTGCATTTTACTGCTGTAGATGTCCAATATTGTTCTAATTGACCAGAAAGCGGTCTTGCATAAAAAAGCTAAGAAGTTGGAGAATGTTTTTGTCATGAAAGACCACTTTACTAAACATGAAGGGAATAAACAATTGTATAATAGTTTGAGGTATTTGTACCTTACCTAAGTAAAATACTGGAATACTTTTACTATATATACGTGTGTTTCTGTCCTGCAGCTGATCAGTGCAGTAGTGCTGAAGGACTGGCACGACATCCTGACCACGTGTGAGCTGCAGAACTGGAAGGAGGCTCTGGCTGCTGTCATGACCTACGCTGAGCCCGAGAAATTCTCTTCCCTCTGTGGTTAGTTCAAGGATACATGCATATTACTGTGCTGAGAGACCACACTAGACCAGAGTGTTGCTGACATGTTGTTGCTGAGTTTCATCGTTGCTTACAGTTTTTCATCATTGTCTATTAGCTGTGAATTGGTGCTCTCTAACTGAAGTGTCTTGCTTGTCAGATCTTCTCGGGGACAGACTGGAGGCAGGAGAGGACGCCCAGCTGCAGGCGCAGGCCTGTCTGTGTTACATCTGTGCAGGAAACGTGGAAAAACTTGTTTCATGCTGGACCAAGTCACAAGATGGACACTGTCCACTCTCTCTCCAGGTGTGTCTCTAACTAAAACCTGCAAAAAATGATTTATCTGGGCACTTAAGGGCAGCATCTCCACAATTGTATTGTTAAATATTCTCATTATTAGCGTAGTTCTTTGTTTATAACAACTCATGAGGATAGTATATGGCTCTTTAGCTTCTAAATATTCCACCATGATCATAAGTTGGTCTCTAACTTCGTCTGTCTGCTAAATAAAAAGCCCTGCCTGCTGACCGAAAAAAAGAAAGGAGTTAATATAGCATTGAACTGAAACATTAATGTTGTGGGCATAACAGCAAAAAGATGGTATGAAAGCTGCTGAAGATCTCTGTGGAGCCATGGAACTTTATGAGGTGATAATATCTTAGTGTTGTGCAACAGTGGAAATGCAGGGACAGTAGAGAAGAAAAAAAGAGTTGTCAGATTTTAGATTTTTTCAAGTTACTGTGTTGCTCCAAAATAAAGTCTGTATATGCAGCTTAAATCTAAACATTGTTGTTTAAATGGGGTCCTTGTCTCGTTCCCTCAGGACTTGGTGGAGAAGGTGGTGGTGTTGCGTCGTGCCGTAGAGCAGACCCAGCGCTCTGGTCCCGCTGCTATTGGCATCCTGCTGGCTGAGAAGATGAGTCAGTATGCAAACTTGCTGGCCTCCCAGGGCAGTCTGACCACCGCCATCACCTACCTGCCCGACAACACCAACCAGGTATGAACAGCTATTTATAAAATCATGTACACTTGAAACCGCTTATATTTATCAAATAGCTTTGGACATATTTTCCTATACAAATGCTGTTTGACTAAATAGCTCACAGTCATGTAGTTGTCCGTTTATAGTGTTAATTTTGGGTCTTTGATATGACGTGAAATAATATACATACATAATATACATTAGCAGCTCATAATATGCATGGGAAATATAGAAGGGAAAAAAAGGAATCAACTTCCACTGTTTATTTCTTCCTATGTCACAGCTAGAAAAGCCTTTAGTCAATTGCAAACAATTTGAGTAATCCTCTAAATGTCCCTTTCCCTTTTGGACCATACAGGTTTCCGTGCAGCAGCTTCGTGACCGCCTCAGTCGGGCTCTGGGGCAGCAAGCTGCGGCTCCAGCAGCTCTGGTACAAACGCAGAAAGTTCAGTCCCAGCCTCCGGCCCCCATTCAGCCTCAGCCCACCCTGCCCCGTCCTCTGTTTACCCCGGTCCGACCTGCCATGGTGCCTCAGCCCCGTGCAGCAGCCCCCCCTGTGGCCATGCCAACGCCTGCTGCCTCCGCCCCAGCACAGCCGCAGTATTACCAGCCGGTACGTCCCTCTGAGTTTCACAAGTTTCTTCCCTTTTGCTCATAAACCTGAATCTGTGTGAATCCTGATGTCTAATGTTTTAAAAGACATCAGGATTCACACAGACTGGTTTCCTTTTTCTTGGACATCAACATCTACAGGTTACGTACTAGGGATGGGTTTGATATATTAATGTTAAACTCAGACTCTAACGAATCTCTTATCAGATCTCTCCTGCCTCCTTTCTCCCTTTAGTAGCAAAGAGCAATGAAATGCATACAAATGACAGTCTCATATTTTGAATAACTGAATACAAAAATTAACATCAGCTTGAGATAATAGACTAATATATAATAATAATAATAATAATACATACTATTCTATGGCTAATATGCTCTCTGCAGCTGTATTTGAACAAATATTGTATTATCACTTTTTAACATTAAGTTATTATATTGCATATCATTTGCTGTTAACCCCATTTTAAGGTTGTAGCTACAGGTTGTACATGAAAGGCTGCCACTAACACTGCTGAAAAGAAAACCTGATTCCGTAAGAGTTTTGAAAGGATTCACATTTAAGTAGGTTATGTATTGGATTTGTATTTGATTAAATGCTATCAAACCTCATCCCTATTGCCTACTAACTAACCACCCGGTGAAGTGCTCATTGCTGTTGTGTTGATGTCATTTCATTTACTGAATTTCCATTCTTGCCAGGGTTTAAATCACATGCTATTTCCTAAACCTAATTGTGAAATATTAATGAATAATGTTCTTATTGTGGGGCTGGGTACTGAGGGGGAGTTGTGTTCCTGTCATTTGAACCCTGGCTCTGGTGCAATGTGTGTGCATTGTGGTGTGTCGTCCCCCCCCCCCCCCCCCTCTCCATGCCGGGCCATCATTGGTGTGTGCCGTGTGTCTCTGTGTGCTTCAGGTGAGGGCTGCCTCTACTGTCACCTCCTGGAGTAACCAAACTCCCACAGCCCTCCCCCATCACCCTCCTCCTCCTTCTCAAGTAGGCAGGCCCTCAGAGCAACAGGTACACACACTGATGTTTACAGATGTTGTTGCACACAGACGTCCCTAATACAAACAAGTGTTTTCATTGATTAGATCAATACCTCATATGCTGTGCTTTTCTGTGGTGGTGCTTCTTCCCTTGGCTAACCCACTTCCTGTTGATGCATTCTCCACTCATTCTTTCATTTGTGTCTCTTGTTTCACTCCAATGTACAGACTACACGATCACTGACATGCATGCTGTTCCTTGTTAGCAAACATAATGCTCCTGAACTACACACATTACAGAAGAGCATTTGACTCAGGACTATGTGCTGTGTGTTGCAACACCACGCTTAGTTTTAGTTTGTTTCTACAGTCTGTTGTTCTGAGCTAGTCCTAATGTAAAACATATACTTGAGAGCACTGACCAAAGGACTTACCAAGCTCTAAATCCTTTATTTATTTTCTCTCTTATTTGCAAAGATGAGCAGTGGGACTTAACAAAGCAATACCACTCTGAAAACATACATTCATGTATTCTAACTATTCTATTATTGCTAGTATTACTGATCCTTTACCATACAGTATAATCAGCGTTTTGATTTTACAACATGTATAGTCGGAGCTGATTTTTTGAAATGTTTTTAAATATTTCAAAGTCTTCCCTGCTGGATGAATCCTCTGTAGAAGCAAAGGGAGTCATCAATGGACAGTTCCCCTTCTTCTTCTTTTTGAAACATAGTTTCAGTTTTCTTTATGTATTTTCGCAGGTGGAGCCTTCAAACCAAATGTACGGGATGCCACCGCCCGGCACGGACGCCCAACCTCCTGTCTCCTCCACTCCTGCTTACATGTACTCACATCAGTACCAGCGTAAGTTTATGGTCACTTTCACAATCTGTGGTTTCAAATAAAAAATTCAATAAGGTAGTAACTCAATGATTCAAGCCAGAGCAATCGAATTATAGGTTTAAGAAAACACACTCAATCCAGTTTTTAAACCTGCCTTAAAATGTGACTAAGAGCTTCAACATCAGCCATAACAAGTCAGAATAATATGAAACCAAATCAACCAGGTCAGGTTTGAATGCATCTGAATTGCCAAACCCAACCCCTTGTGGGACTCTGTTTGGCGAAGTATACAAACGTTACAGTCCTTAACTTGAAATACAAAATGTTGGCTGAAACTTTGTCTCTGGCAAAGTAAATTAGAAAGTGTAAAACATGTTATTGGTAAGAGACAGGGCTGCAACATTACTGTAGAATCTTTTTTCTGTCTTTTTTACAACACTGGCAAGCATTTCCATTCAGAAATGTTTGAATCTCTTCTATGCTATTATTCTCAATCACTAACAGAAAATGAGAATGAATAGCCTTTCATTTGAAGTTGATCTCTTTGCCTGTTGAGTCTTTTATGACCTAGAAGCTACTCATATAGCATGTTAGCATGCTCTGTACTGTAACTCATTATGTAACTACAGGTTGGTCCTGTTGCATGAAACAGTTAGTAAAGCATGGAACAGAGTGAGTTGTTCACTAACAGCATGTGTTGTATCCTGTGTGACTCCCAGCCTACCCCCAGGTCAACCAGTACCATCCTGGAGCTGGGGGGGGGGCTGTCTATCAGCCTCTGCAGTATTCCTCTGCTGCTCCTCCAGCAGAGCCTGCCGGCTTTCTCTCTCACTACACACAGCCCACATCCCCGGTCTATCCCGGACCTCCTCCCATCAGCCAGTGCCCGTCCTCCTCCTCTCCCTCATATCCTCCTTTCTATCCAACATCCTCCTCTTCCTCCTTTGCCGCTCCTCCAACCTCCGGAGCTTCTTTCCAGCATGGCGGGCCAGGATCTCCTGTGTCGTACATGCCTCCTCCTCCTCCTCTTCAACAGGGCGGAGTCTCAGGTACACAGCTGACCCCGCATCAGGTCTGCAGGGCTCCAGGCCACCTCACAAACTCACCCACTTTCTTTATCCTTTTAAGATACAAGACAGATTTTAGTTTGTGCTCAATGATTGCAGTGAACAAGGCAGCTAAAAGACTCCCATTACCAATGTTAGGGCAAATATTTCTAAAGAAGTCTTGCAAGGAAAATCTAATCTAGAACATAAGATAGTGCAGCAGCTTTAAAAATAGTAATATCATAAAATATAAAACTGTGGTAGACAGGGGTACAGTAATAGTAAAATGTATATACATAGTTAAAACAGGTTGTAGTATGCGCATACACAGCAAAGTACTGTTATGTATAAACTAATAACACTTTACTAACTGCATTAATAAGCCTGGAATATGCCACCAGAATAAATGTTTATTTATAAATTAAAGTTATACAAAATGAAATATGCATAGAAATTAGGTAAAGTTAAACAAAACATATTTCTATTTTCACACCCCTTTAACAGACAAATTAATGGAAATTCAAATGTTTGTTTAAAAAAAAAAAGAAGAAGCTTTTTGAGGTTCCAAAATCTTTAACTGCTGCTAGTTAGCTTAGCTTTGAATAAACACTGGATGCAAGAATCACCTTACCTTTGAACAGATGCCAGCTAGCTGTTCCCTAATAATAGCCTCATTATTAACCAACAGCTGGAGCTTCATATTAAGTGTGCAGACAGGGGAGGCAAAAATCAAAGCATTTTAAAACATTAAATAGACTCTGTCCTGTTAGTGTGAATGATTAGGATTTTTTTTTCTGTAGGTCCTCAGAATGGCTGGAATGACCCTCCTGCCCTGAACAGAGCATCAAGGAAGAAGGTAAGTCTGCTGACTGAAGCATGTAACCTAACCTGTCAGAAAAGACAGTACACCGTTTTATAATTATATATGAATAAACCATATTTCTCATCTTTCAGTCGATTCCGACGAACTACACCCCTCCTACCCCCATCATGGCTCCTCTGGGTGCTGACCCCCAGGCTCAGCCAGTATCATCGGGGGCCCCTCAGGTTATGGGTCAGGGCCAGCACGGGGCCCAGGTCCCGTACTCAGGCATACAGCAGCAGCAGCAGCAGCAGCAGTTCTCCCCTCCACCCATGAACCCTGCCATGCCTAAGACCAGTATGGAGGGGGCCCCAGGAGCCCCAACTGGAGATGTTATACAGGTACTGATCACCTCTGCTGCAGAATATAAAGATAACATCTAACAATTCCATGTTAAACTTCTATTATTTTAATTGTCATCTTTAGCCTCTGCAGTCCATCCCTGCTGAGAAGATCATGAAGAAGCCCATCCCCGATGAGCACCTGATCCTGAAGACCACCTTTGAGGGGCTCATCCAGAAATGCCTGGCTGTGGCTATGGACCCTGTGAGTAAATCTCACAGGGTTAACAATTGAATCTATCCCTACATCACAAGTGATTCGATTTGTAATCATTATTTATCTTTTCACAGCAAACTAAGAGGAAGCTTGATGATGCCAACAAACGTCTGGAAGCGCTCTATGATAAACTCAGAGAGCAGACAGTGAGTATTCCTCTGGGCTTGATCTCTGTAGAAAAATTAAATTAAATTTTAATTGTCATTAAAATGACAATGAAAATTAGAAGGTCAGTTTTATGCAGCTTTGATCCAAGAACACTTCCGGTCACATTATCCAACAGCCTTTAATTGAGCTGCAGATGGATAGATGAAGGCGCAGCAGATTTCAGTTTAGTTCACAGCACGGTTTCCTTCAAGACAACAATTGTAGCCACAGCGTAATACTACAGTAATAATTTAAACAAGCTCACTACAATTAGGAACCAATCTTTTGGTTAAATAAAAGATAAATTGGATTGGAACGCAGAAAGCTAACCGAAATGTCTGTCCATCCATAAATCCTAACAATCGTAGTAATCAATCCGGCTATAAATAAGACACTATGACCTTCCTCAGACTATCCAGCTCCATCTGTCCAACATTTGCCCAGTTTTATAGGGCTTAGTGAATTTGTTAAAAACTAATAGAGGCAATTTTAAAGAAATGTTTAGGAGAAAATAAAGAAATGTTTAGGAGAAATATACTGAACTGTTGGTGCATGAGGCCCAACATCCTGATAAATATTAGGATAGTTTGACCAATCGATTGATACATCCTGCTTAATAACTGTAACTGGGAAACTTTACACAGGATGATTCTCACCAACACTTCCTGCTCTTCTTCTTCTTCTTCTTCTTCTTCTCTGCAGCTTTCTCCCGCCATCGTTGGAGGACTTCATAACATCGCCCGGAGTGTAGAGTCCCGATCCTACACGGAGGGCCTGAACATCCACACACACATAGTCAGTAGCAGCAACTTCAGCGAGACGTCGGCGTTCATGCCCGTGCTCAAGGTGGTGCTGACGCAAGCCAACAAACTGGGGGTGTGACGGGCAGAAACTCCTCCGAGTCTTTGACCCGTGCAAAATGAAGAGAGAGTGGTCGGGCTCGTGTCACAGGGAGATCCACCATGACTCAGTGCAAATGATGGAAGATTTGCGAGAAAGTTGTATGGAAATCCTGTTAAATTCTTCTTTGTGCCATTCATGTTTTCTGACACAAGCCATGCTATCAGTCGCGCTCAGTGGTGAAAGTTCATTCTGAGTCCTGTGCAAACACAATCTCACAATGAATAAAAGGCTAGACACTAGTTAAATTCAAATTCGACCTTAATCTACCAACATGCTAAAAATCAAACTAGCTTTAAATGTATAACTTGTAACAAAATGGATGGACTTTATAATGTAATAAACATGCAATAAGCATAATAAAGGGGAAATCTTTAAATGATCAAGCTAAATATAAGGAAGGCCGAGCTTTATAACAGTGGATGTGAAAATAATGATTACATTTAAAGACATCAAAAGTGAGAAAAGCGACATTCAGGAATTTTAAAGGTATATTTTTATCTACTTGTGTTGAGATGTTTGAAATAAAAGTAGTGTATTTCAAGTTAAATCTCAATGAATTTGGCATTAACAGAAACCTGCTCATGATATAGAAGTGCGTGACCAAGCAAACCGCAATCAATTTAACATATTAGACTTTTATTGTCTCACTATATTTGTGCACTACAATAATGCTCAGATACCTTTATAATCCATTAAACATAGATTTTATGAACAAAATCTTGCTTTGTTTTTAAATAAATGCATCATCGCCTGCATGCATTTTGCAACTGATCTGCAGATGACACAGTAAATGGAAGATAGAGACAGAATGTGGATTAAATATTAATAATGAGAAACTGGGCATTAGATTGATTTTAAACCAGTAGTCCAACTCAGAGGCATTTAAAGCAAGTTGTTTTTTTTAATGTACCTATCATGACTTTAGTTAGAGCTTTAATCCCCTCTCTCTGCTTAGGCAAGGCAAGGCAAGTTGATTTACACTGGCTCACTTTCACCACTGGTGTCACTGCATACAACACATTGGACCAAGATATTGTCTGGATATGTCAATCCCATTTCTTTCGGATGTTTAAATGTTTTATTCATGTTTTAGTTTTTTTTCATTGTAATCACGAGGCTCAGCAGAGTGCAATGACCTTTTTTTTTTTTTAAAGAGACTTTGCTTTTATGGAAATGTAAAGTATGCATGCTTAAACAAACGCTAACTGTCTTCTTTACTGGCTTTGGAGGTAATTAACGGCTAATTAATTAGACCTGAGAAGGAAACTGGAAAGAGACGTGTACTTGGTTTTCATTCCAACTATGATGAGGGCTCCAGTCTGAGGGGTCAACCTCAGCTAATGTTGTTAATAAAGGAGAACAAGTCTTTGTTTGAGATTGACTACATGCAATATTTTCAATAAATAGTATTTATTTACGATATGATCTTGTGTTGTTTTGAACTTAGTTTATTTTCTTTAACGTTTTTTTTTAAAAAGTGTGTTTTTAAGATAAGGCCTACTCAAGTCTTGTAATAATGTATTTTGATTGTAAAGCATGATTCAGATGGATCCAGCCCTAATAGGTTGCTGTGTTTGATGAAATGTAGCCTATCGAAGTCAACTTTAATGTCAATCTTTCAGTTTGTGTGTACAGACAGAGAGATCGAAATGACGTTTCCAAATATCCCGAATACAATTATACAATATACAGAATGTTCCTTAAAATTGAAAGTCGGAAAGTCTAAGCTCCAACCTCCAGAATTCATTCTATTAGTCAATCCGACAACATTTACCCCTCCCTCATCGACCTGGGCTGCCACACCAGCAGCCACTGTGCTGCAACTGACGCTAAACTTCAAGGTTGATGAGGGAGGGGTAAATGTTGTTGGAATTTGAATACAATTCACCAGGAGAGTTTTCTTGACTGTCATAACAAATTCCGGTGGTTGGAGCTTAAAATAAATGAATTTGAAAATATACATGGCACTAAGGACCACCCTAATGTATATCCTATATACACAATCAACAGACACATTTACACATGCACACATTAAGATAAAAAAACAACAATCAATATATATAAAATAACAGTCACTGCAATATCAATATCAATATCTTTTAGTGCAAGATTGTCCATAGAATGTGCATTCATTGCAAGATTGTCCATAGTAGCGTAAAAAAAGTGTCTCGTGCTGGATTTGAGTGTCTGAGTGTCCGGGGGAGTCATAGTCCAGTGGGGCAGGGGGGAGAGAGTTCAGCCTCCTGACAGCCTGGTGTAAAAAACTGTTCTTTAGTCGGATGGTGCTCGACCTCAGGCTGCAGAACCTCCTCCCTGAAGGCAGGAGGCCCGTGAAGAGGCAGGTGGAGGGATGGGTGGGGTCACCAGCGATGCTGAGTGCTCTGCGGGTGAGGCGGGTGTTGTAGAGGTCCAGGATATAATATAAGCAAAAGGTTGAACCACTTTATCTGTGTTCGAGGGCTCCAAACTCCTAAAATATTATGCAGGAGAAATGCTGTACCCTTCATTATTGCTTTCCCCTAAAATGATATACATACAAATACACTGACTAAAAAAATGCATGTCTACATGTGATTACAATATATTAACTTTGAGGATAATTGTTTCTTTTAAAGTCGTTTTTATAATAGTTACTTAAGTTATACAAAATAAAACTTATTTCAACCCTGCATATGTAAAGTAAGGATCATGATAAGGATACTGTATTCCTTAATCTATTTACTTTTAAATATTAACACTCCCATGCTTTTATTTTGAAGGAGCATTGTCCATACCGGAAAACGTGCAGAACACTTTCCCTTGATACCTCCGCGTCTCCACCATATACCTTTAGCAGTATATGTACGACCATTTGTCAGCGACATTAGATAAACCTTTATATATACAGTCTATGATATAAACAGATAAATTAGAGGATACATTTACAGTGTTACAGTGTTTACTGCTGCAGCTGAACAACCGAGCCGAGGGTTAGTCCGGTGAGAGTCTCCACTGGACGGACAGCCGGACAGGTATGGCAGTTTCATCCACAGTTATTATTAGTTTACAGAGCAAGAATTCCCTGTTTCGTACTTAAATGACACATTTGTTTCTGCTTCTCACTCCCTGTATTCTCATTGAGTTAAATGTTGGAGTTTATTAAATAGAATACCTAAGAAGTACCTAATGCACTTTATGATACAGGTGAGATAAAGCCTGTGTATATTTTTACTTGTAGTGCTAATGTTGACATGTAGCCTCCATATCTTTTAAAGTAAATGTTCCCACCAGCTGCCACCTCATCACACAACATTTTATACCTTACCCAACCTTGACCCAGCCCTGGGGCTAGTTTCTTTAAATATAACTTTATTATACAAGTTCAGTGTTTCCCCTAGGATGGGGTCACAGCAGCGGTGCTAAGGCACGTGGGCCCAGCATAATGTGAGCGCGGAGCGCGTGGAATTTGTTAGTCATTTCATTTAATTGCAAACCTTTATTTAATCAGATTGGTCCCATTGAGATCATAGATCTCTTTTTCAAGGGAGACCTGCAGCATATAGGTTCCACATGAAACATAAAACAATAAAGGACAATACATCATACATTACAAGGACATCCTACATTATAATAGTGTGTGCGTGCGAAGTGCGCCCCGCCAATTTGTTTCTATGTGTCTGCCAGCACAAGAAAGGCTCTTGAGGCCTAGTACCAGAACCGGTTCCAGAGAATTTGCTGCCCTAGACGAGATTTTATATATAAATGAAAAATCTCTACAAAAGACAAATACACTACAAAAACAGAAACGTATTGACATAGGTAATATACGTCAAGATGGCTTCAAATGTATTCAGTATTGTATGAACATGTTTTAATTGGGGGGTGGACGTCACATCCTCTTGGGGGGTCCGGGGGCATGCCCCCCGCGAAGATTTATTTGAACATTTTAAAGTAAAATGCTTCAATCTGGTGCACTTTGAGCACACAATTACTAGACACCTGATCTAGGGGGTACAACTCTAAAACACCCATATGAAAAAGATCGGTTTACATTTTAATAATCAAATAAGTATGTGAACATAACCAATAACCTACCATAGCCAATAACAAATAAATGTAACTTATTTTTATTTTTGTTGTTCATTCATATCTTATTTTACCTAGTTAACATTTATTTATGCATATTTTTGTATCTCTCCAGTTTTAAACGATATTTTTGGTTTACTGTCCTATAATATACATTGGAATGATTTCAAACCTGTTTTTATTTATCTAAATAATTATAAAGGAGTGACTTGGAAATATGTGTTTACATAATTTGTGGTCAAAACATTTGAGACCCGCTGAGATAACTTAGACTAAAATTAACTATCCAAACACTCAGAGAGTCCTTTACCTCACTGAGCCTCTCAGTCTGACAGGAGAGCTCTCCTCCACCCTTGTTGTAGAAACATCTTCTTCTTATATCCGTTAGCGCAGCTAGCACCAGATTCTAATAACAACAGCGCCGGTACCGGTGCGCCCTCTCTCTCTCTCTCGCTCTCTTGCTCCCACGCTCGCACTTTTGGCTGTGAGCTGCGGGCGCTGCGCCACCGCTATTTGTATATAGGGGAAACACTGGTATGTAAATGTGTGTCACATCTGCATGTGATATGGTTTGTTTTCATGTTTTTTAATAGCATATCTTGCACATGCAAATACAACACATCTCAAAACATTCTCTTGCACTACTTTTCTATTGTTATGTATTGCACTATATGTTTTATTTGTTTTATGTCCTATATATTCATGTTGAATTGATGGAGGAGCCTGGGACTTAAGTTTTTCATTGCCATATCTACACTGTAGCTACTGGGCACATGACAATAAAGCCTTGAGTCTTGAATCTACAAATGTCTTGTGCAATTTGACAATGGAATATTTTCTATTTTATTCTTCTAAACAAATGAATATCTCTCAATAAACTAACAAAGCCTCCCCCTCTGTGTTCCAGGAGAGATAGGATGTGGAGCTGCAGTATTTGGGCTCTCCTGCCTCCAGTCTACTCTGCCTTCACTGCTGCGGGACTGTGGGTGGTGTAAGTTCTCTTAATTATAGGACTATCTTTAAATATCAGTTTTAAAGCGGCATTTAAACAAATGCTAATACTTTAAGATAATAGAACCCACATCTTGTGTTTTCCTTCACCAATTCATATATGTTTTTGCAGTGTGCTGTAAATATAATCTCTGTGGAGGAGTGTCTTTGCTGTGGTTGGAAGCTTTGAATGGGAGATGAGTTTCTCCTCATCACCATCTTTTTTTTTATAGATACTTTGTTGCTGTCAATCATCAGACTATAGCACCCCTGGGTTCAAAATACAAGTAAGAATTAAAAAATATGACATACAGCAAAGCATTACTCTCTTTATCTTTGGATTCGTCTCACTTTTAATTATTTTCAGGAGAAGAAATGGATCCTTCTATCCTCCCTACATTAGGTACAGACTCATCATTTCCTCTTCACAATAAAAGCATATTTATTCATGTTAATCCTTATTTTTAAGAACAGCAAATACAAATGTGTCACCCTTTTAGTGTTGCAGGCAACTCTCCACCCGCCAGCTGCATCTTCAGCGAAGTCATGAACCTGGCTGCGTTTGTGGGTAAGAATGGTGGATAGAAGAATATAATACAGATTTTTATTAAAAAATGTTTAATGTTCCATTCTTGTCAATTTCAGGCTTCATTCTGGCCATCCTCAGGTACCTTCAGCTGAAACACACAGTGGTCAGTCAGTGTCTGAATGCTGGCAGTCTGTTGGCATTGTCTTTTGGCTGCTTTGGGATGACACTAGTAGGAAACTTCCAGGTAACGTGCACCTATGGCACATTTATATTTTTGCATATTTGTAAGAGTTTATTGATCTGTTTTGGTTTTAGATATTCACTGAGGAGATGATCCACAACTTTGGCACCTTGATGACGTTTGGCCTGGGCACGCTGTTCTGCTGGGTGCAGTCCTACATCACCCTGAGAGCCAACCTGAAGAACGAAGGGAGGAAGGCCGGGATCCTCCGCTTCCTGTTGTCCGGATCCATCACTCTCTGCATGATACTCTGTATCCTTTAACACTTTAAGAAATAAATTAACATATTATTTAAAAGTAAATGACTTCTGCTCAAACGTTTTTTAAGTTCCTGCCACAAAAGCGTTACTAGTAAGTACTGTCATCAGACTCAGAATACTTTATTTATCTCAAGGGGAAATTGGGTCAAATGGCTGAGAGAATCATTTTATATCTTTATATAAAAGTCTTTCTTGCTTTGAGGTTGTCGATAGTACTCAGTATTAATGTACTTAATTTAGTAAACAATGGTTTAACCACATTGACAATTAAAAACTCAGAAAAAGGCAATATTGAAATGTTCTGTTCAATCTCCTTATTTGAAAAATGTTAGCCCTGTGCTATAGGGTCGGATGAAGTCTAAATCTAGAAGATAATCCCACATTACACGTCATGCAGATTTTTATAGCAGAATTAAGAGTTAACATGTTGTCAGGTTGTGTTTTCATGTACTGTAATCCCGGTTACAAGTGTCACTCTTAACTCCCTGCTACAGATTTCTCCCTGATGGCTCAGGGCTTCCACATGCAGGCCGCTCAGTGCCAGTGGGCGCTGGTCATGTTCTTCCTCATCTTCCTCAGCACTTTCGGCATTGAGTTTCGTCACAACCGCTTTGACATCATGTGTACAGAACACTCAGGGGGTCCTGAAAGCCTGTCGGACAGTTTAGAAGTGTCCAGGTACCAGCCGGACCAACTGTAAGGATGGATTATCTCATTTAAAGATGTGCAGGTTTAACTGCAGGAAACGCATGGAACAGCAACTTTAAGATGCATTTATTCTATATACAAAACTGTTTTTACACCAATTGTTTACTTTAACTATTTGTTTCACATCATGACGTAATGAAGGCAAGTTCCTCTATAAGCATTTTAGAAGTAGAGAATCTGCTGGCTTTATCAATCATTGTATTTATATGGAAGGATGTTTTAGTGAATTAGTTATACCCAGGGCCGGCCCTAGACATTTTGGTGCCCTAGGCGAGATTATAATTTGGTGCCCCGCCCCTCCAAGCAATACACAATAGAATATATAAAGAATAAATAAAAAATCTCTACTAAAGACCAATACACTACAAAAACTTATTGACATGTTGGTTATATACATAAAGGTTTCAAATGTATTCATTATTGTATGAACATGTTTTAATTGGGGGGTGGACGTCACATCCTCTACGGGGGTCCGGGGGTATGTCCCCCCGGAAAGCTTTGTTTTAACATTTTAAAGTAAAATGCTTCAATCTGGTGCACTTTGAGCAGAATTACTAGAGACTAGATCTAGGGGGTACAACTCCAAACACCCATATGAAAAAGATCAGTTTACATTTTAATAACCAAATAAGTGAACATAACCAATAACCTACCATAGCCAATAAATGTAACTTATTACTGTATTACTGTATTTTTGTTGTTCATTTATATCTTATTTTACCTAGTTAACATTTATTTATTCATGCATATGTTTTTATATCTCCAGTTTTAAACGATATTTTTGGGTTACTGTCCTATAGTATGCATTGGAATGATTTCAAACCTGTTGTTATTTAGCCTAATAATTATAAAGGTGTGCCTAGGAAATATGTGTTTACATAAATGGTGACCAAACTAAATTAAAATCTAGAACGATTTAAACATTTGAGAAAATAAGGTATTTGCACATTTCTTTAAAGCAACTCCTAATTTATTAAAAGGAATAATTCACTATTTTGAGAAATAAATGTGCTATTGTGCCAAAAGTTAAAAGTAAATTTGATACCACTCTGTGAGACAGTTGTATAAATCTTCTCATCTAACTCTTTAAAAGAGGGCAAACTTAGACCTTATGACTCAATACCACTAGCGAAAAATAAACTTATTTTAGGAGTTTGACACTTTAACTAGCCTTAAGAGTTAATGTGTAAGCTTTTCCATTACAGAAAACAAGTATTTACAGACACGGTCAAACAAACATTTAGACTGAGAGAGGCGTCTGTGTGATACAAGGCATTTATTGGAAGCATGTTTGTAAGATTTCCTGAATAACACCAATTATGTTTCACACACATAAATCATCAATTTGGCAACTTGCAAAAGGTAACTTTCCAACAGCAACATTACGAGGATGGCACAGTTAAACAGATAGCGTTCACCTGCGAGGGGACTAGTTAAGACAGAGTTTGAACTGAGAACTTCCTGTCAGCAGCACCACTGCTGAGTGCATCTACACTAGTTCTACTTTCTAAAACATTACAACGCTTAACGGGTCAATTACTGGATAAGACGTCATACATCTGCAACACGTGTGTATGTGAAGAGGGGGGGGAAACGGCACATCGATGGAAAATGTTTACAAAACGGTGACAAATACGACACAAACAGTTGGAAAGTTGTCATTAAAATTGGAGAGGTTTACCAACCGAGCGTGGTTAAAAAGGTCATGTGTGCAGTTTCCTACAGGCCTCATTTTACAGCTTTTCTGATCTCTTCCCAGTGAGTAGGGTTGCAACATTTCAAGAATTTTCAAAGATGGAAACTTTCCACGGGAATAAACAGGAATTTATGGGAATAAACTGGGAATTTTCAAAATTGAAGGTTGGCTCTTCATAGGGAACTTCAATATAGTTGGGGAAAGTATATTTTAGCATAATCTTGACTAAAACAAACAGATGCCATTCAAGTACACTTGAATATCTATGCCATAGCACACTGCTTACTGCATGGCTATTGAGACCACACAAAGGTTTGCAACAGGCTCACAAATGTGAGAGTGGAAAAACTGGTTGGCATTCGGGCAAACCTAAGGCTCTCTGAGCCTGACACAGAGCCATCCTCAACAAGGCTGGACAGTGACACTGCAGAGGAAGAGGAAGAGTTGGATGTTGATGAGGCCCAGGAAGAGCCCGTTGACTGAAAGGGTAAAAAATGCAGAGGATCGCTTGAAGGAAGATTTGCATGTTTAATGGAACTTTTTGGAGGGAGAGGGGCTCTTTTCATTTAACATTTTGAATGGGACTTTGTGGGGATTTTTGGATGGGAGGTGCATTTTTGTTCATTTTTTACTGAGTGGGGTTGGGGGGGATGAGTAACATTTAACTCAACATTCCTGTTTTCGTTCTTCAATGAAACAAATAATTGTTCAATAAAATAATTAAAACTTGTTCTGTTCTACTTTTTAAAAAAAAATGTTGAAATGTCATGTTTTTTTGTTTAATTTTGCATAGAATATTTCCAAAATTCCCCAGCTTAACTTCCCATGGAAACTTTCCGGAAATTTACCGGAAACTTTCTGCCCCTTTGCAACCCTACCAGTGAGTGATGTTGCTGTAACCCTCCGCAGATCTGTCTCCATTGAAAGGCACCCTCACAGAACGGGGTAGATTGACTCCTTACAGGCCGGGACCTCTAACGGGAGTCCCAGCAGCTTCTCCTACACCTTTTGAACTGTCAACGCGGAACAAACTAAAACATTGCAAAAAGGAGAGAGGTAAGGGGGCTGGGAGGGCAAAGAAAAGAAAGAACAGGTCATTATGAAACAAAGTGTTCCTCCTAGCTCTGTTAAACACGTCCCGTCACTTCCAGTTGGCTAAAGGATGTAACGAGGCTATAGTGGGAGCGCTCGTCATCCGTCAGCTCCATGTTCCCGGACCTGACCACCACCACCACGTTCACCCCCGCTTCCTCTGCTGCTTTGGCCTCTGGGAGGACAAATACACAAGCATGGATCCCATTAATTCAGCCTTTAGGCAAAATGAAACTTGGTTGTTTATTGCATGCTGTGATCAATTACAGCTAAATATTTCTGCTTTCTGTGAAGATTATGCACAATTGTTGTTTGTAAGATTCCTCCACAGGACGTTGTTAAAAAAAAAACAGATTTGTGAGGAGGCTAAATGCTAACGTTTAGTTAGCATTAGCTAATTGGCACTAAACAAAGTCGAGCTGAAAACTTTGGGAAAATAATACCAACACATAACACAAGTTCAGCAATGAATAATAATAACAAAGAAAGTCATTTCCAGCTTGTTTTCCATACAGAATTTAAGTTTTCTATGGAAGGAACACATCCTAGTATGTATCACTTTCTTGCTCTTATTATACATTTACAATGCGACTTTTACAAACACACTTACCTCGGGTGACGTCGGTCAAGAATGTGATTTCTTCTGGTTGAAATCCAATCCTCTCAGCAATTCTCTCGTAGCTCTTACGTTCCACTTTAGCTCCTATACTGGTGTCAAAGTGACCATCTAATAACTGAAATCATTGGAAAAAATAAACAGGCAAATATCTCATTAGCCACTATATCCATAAAACAAACAGCATGGGCTTTACAAAATATGTTGTTCTTCTTAAGAGACGGGAGGCAGTACTTACATCCAACACGTCTCCTTCTTCAGAGTATCCAAACAGAAGTTTCTGTGCCTCCACGCTTCCCGAGGAGTAAATGTACACTTTTAGTCCTTGTTCTCTCCATCTTTTAAGGGATGGAATTACATCCTGGTAGACCCTGTTTGCACCAAGACCAAAATCAGAATATGACCATAATTTAATTACTTTTTATGAAGCACATTGAACCCGATTATATGGTTCCAAATAATCTCAGAGATCAAACATTTGTAATGGATTTGAGCATGGTTTACCATTGTTTGCTTATTTCAGGAATTACAAATAAATCAAACATTGATAAAGAAAGTAAACAAGATAAAGAAAAGGGAAAAATGCATCATGCTGAAATAAATAAATGCTTGTTTGCTTTAAATGAATTAACGACTAACACAATTATTTCTGCTCTGGTTGATGAACTGGTAAAAACAGTATTCCTGTTCTGTTTCCGGAAACCTTGCCAAGTCGTCACCTATGTTTGAACCCATTCATTTTGAAGTGAGGAAAATGATCAGTGTACTTACTCGCCTTTGATTCTCCCAGAAGAATATGCTGACCTCCACATGTGGCCCTGTAACTGTTTGAGTGCTGTCGACTTCCTGTCTGCCGCCATCTGCCATAGCACATTATCCATTACCTCTCTAATAGCCTTCTCCTCGTCTGTGTGCACCGTCTGGTCCACGGTGTGGACGGGGCACGACCGGTGCTGCCTCATGTCCTCTTCAATCTGCAAACACAGCCAGGCTCCTTTATTTAGGCAGAATTAAAGCCTCACAACATGCTTCATTTTTTAAGTAAAGAAAAAATATCCATCTTATTTGTTGTCATTACCTCTGTCAAGTATTTGAGCAAAATTAAGACCTTTTATAAAGAATATTCTAGCAAAAATAATCTGTCCTGCATCTCTACCACCTGACTTTAGTGTCTGAGAACCACAGGCAATAATAATAATAATAATAATAACAACTGTATTTATTTAGCAACTTTCATGCAAGATGCAGCCCAAAGTGCATTACAGTGCAAGATAAGATACATAAAAACAATACCAATGAGACAAATAAAGAGTTGGAAACATCAAATCAGCAAGCTTTACACATGGTTACCTGTTTCTTTAGGAGATGAACATCTTGTTTGCACTCGTCTTCCTCCCAGTGAGTAGACAGGTACTCCTCAAGATGCTCCCTGATGTATGGAAATAAGATATCCTGAAAATATGAAGTGGAGTCATTAGGCGTGGTAACAGAAGCTCTTTATAGAGGGAGAAAAATAATATAATTCAGACACAAAACATTTCCTCTACTTCAATGCAATATTGTTTTGGTTTCAATAACTTTTTGGAATAATCGTGTAAGCAGATATTGCTGGCAAAAAGTTAGTAGCTGTTTCACCCTAAAAAAATGGTCAGTATGGTAGAGGACGTTTAATTTAAAATGTATTAAGTGATCATTATTATTTTGGGTACATTTAAAAAGATATATTGATTAAAGTTGTGGCTCATGGGATTCCTATACAGAAACTATTGTCTATCTATTGTGGAAATGTATACATACCATCAGTTAAAAAAAAAATGTGTAGGACTGTTTTACTTCATTTCATTTATTCATTAATGTTGACTCCCTGCTTGTTTTGTGTTACTTTTGTTTGTCCCATCATTTACTTTTATATTGTATGACTTGTGTATCGGTTACATTTGAGTATTATTGTGTATTCGTATCAATGTATTGTTAACCGATGTAACATTTATGAAACTCGAAATTACGACTACTCCAATAACATGAACGCGGCATGAGGTTTGTTTTTAATCAGGTAGTCGTGAATACATACTGAAACGAGTTTATTTAATGTGAATATACATTTAGCAGTAAATAGTTTATGGAAGCAAAATATGGTTAAATGTAGTTAAAATAATAATAATACATTTTATTTATCAAGCGCTTCATCCGGTGCTCAAAAACGAGTTACAGAGGTAAAAACAAGATACAAGTCAAATTAAAACAACAGCTGAATAGCCACAATGGTCGAACAACGTCCATCTTTAGCTGGTTTAGCTGCTGTCATCTGTTAGCATGGCCGTTAATAGTCGTCAGTGAACGCTGCATAATTAGCCAACCATGCTGAAACTGAAATGATATCTAATATAACTTACCTTTACAAATGTGATTGGTGTTGTTGTCCCTTCGATATCAAGCAGGAGTGCACTAGTACATGCAGGAATTGAAATAGTGGCCATTTTTCAGGAGAGTCTGCAGCTTGTTAGCTGACGCTAGCTTATACTTAGCTTCACCACAGAGTTAAAGTAGGCGCTCCTCACTGGATCTCTAACCCCGGGACAGGTGACGCAGAGCAAAGGTTATCCACACGATAACAGATGTAGGCTACCACCTGGTTAGTTGTTAGTTGTTAGCCACTAGCCAGCTGTGCTTTGCCATCAACTCGCAGCTAACACTGACTTGACTGAAAGAGCCACACATGTTCAGAGCTGTCAGTTCATGCTGCGGCTCCGAGGGGGCGCCACTGAGCGTATTACTGCCGGGGGAAAAACACGCAAACAAGAAGCCAACCGAAAGAGGCTGCGATGAAAACAAAACGACGCTCACAAGAACGCCTTTTTCATTGCAACTTAAACAACATTTGCATTTATGACAACCGTTTTCGTCTAGATATAAACTGATTTTACACTTTTATTTATTTAGATAGACCAAATATATTCCTCTATTTTACATCAAAAGTATAACAAATCATATTAGCTTAGCATTAGCTGTCAAAAAGCCAGCTAGCTTAGCTTCTCCCGGGAATTCTGACTGAATTCTGAGTTCATCATCGACAACTTTAACAATAACAAACAACAATGTCGGACGATTATGAATTCAGTGATGACACTACTATGATGAGAATGGAAGAGGATGGAGAGGCAAACAGCGATGACCCGATGTCTGCAACCGGGGACTGTGGCCTGATGGGGGGCGAGGCCGAGGGATCCAAGATTGACGCCAGTAAAAACGAGGAGGATGAGGGGTAACGTCAACAAATAAAACTCATCAGTCATATTGATTGAAAAACTGTCCACGATTACAATATATTACTATTTTATGTCATCAGTGTGTTACCATAATAATATAACAAACTTGTGTTGTTAAAACCTCAAGTGCTGATTTGTATTGGTGGAGTCCAACTAACATCGAGTTAATTTACTGTAGCGTTACTGTACTCAAGTACACATTATGGGTACTTTTCAGTCTTTCCATTTCATGCAACTTCATGCTCCACCAACGTTACATACAGGAGACAAATATTGTTCTTTTATACCTCTACATTTGACAGCTGTAGTAACGTTTTAGATTCCAATTTATTTATCACATTTCTGTCCAGGAAAAACAAATACAAACGCATAGTCTCCTCTTGTTCTACTAAAATTAATTTATGAGAATATAGTGGCCAAAGGTTCAAGTGGACTCAGGTTCAAGTGGACTCAGTCACTTGAAATGTGGCAATAACACAAGACTTCAAACACTAACCATGGCAATTTTACACAAATGTTTCAAAAGAGGACATGTAATTATTACAGAAGAAATGCATGGAAAATGTTACTGCACATTTCCGTTTTTGTACTTTAATTTCATACAAATTAATTAAGATTTTGAATGAAGGACTTGTTTTTTAAATGTTTACTTTAGAAAATGAGTGCTTCTCCATTGCTTCTAAATCTGCATTTTGGTTTCTTTTAAATGTGCTGTTGTCTGTAGGAAGATGTTTGTAGGAGGGCTCAGCTGGGACACCACTAAGAAGGACCTGAAAGATTATTTTTCCATATATGGGGAAGTTGTAGATTGCACTTTAAAGCTGGACCCCATGACGGGCCGCTCGAGGGGCTTTGGCTTTGTCCTCTTCAAGGAACCTGATAGTGTCGACAAGGTACTGTATTGCTGCTTTTCTCTGTTAAAGATGAATGTTAACTGAATATAATTTGAGTTAAAGACACAATTTACATTTTATTTAGAGTTTATGAACTGGAATTGCAATGTGACCAGTTTGTCAATTGATTATTTTTGCTATAAAGGTTGCCACACAGAAGGAACATAAACTCAATGGAAAGGTCATTGATCCCAAGAAAGCCAAGGCGATGAAGAGCAAGGAGCCTGTTAAGAAGATTTTTGTTGGTGGTCTCTCTCCCGACACCCCTGAAGAGAAAGTCAGAGAGTACTTTAGTGCCTTCGGAGAGGTATATATTTTGGCTAAGTTGGCTAAATATATTTTTCATCCATGTTATGAACTTCACTCTAGTGGCATGGCTGTTTAGGGCTCCTGCCAAACTCATAATAATTTTTTTTCCATTGTTTATTTTTGTAATCACAATTAAACACTTAACTTCTATTATTATATATTATTTTGTACATTCATTGATAATGTTAACAGCTGGAGTCAGTTGAACTTCCCATGGAGAACAAAACAAACAAAAGGAGAGGCTTCTGCTTCATCACATTCAAAGAGGAGGAACCAGTTAAGGGGATTATGGAGAAGAAGTACCACAATATTGGACTGAGCAAGGTAAAGGTCTTTTTTTATCACTGGCACATCAAAATGTATGACCTTGTTATTTTGCGATGGCACATGTAATGGTGACTTTATAACTTATACATGATCACTGGGAAAATAAAACTGAATTGTTCTTCCTTTAGTGTGAAGTAAAAGTGGCAATGTCCAAGGAGCAGTACCAGCAGCAGCAGTACTGGGGGGGCAGAGGAGGGTACTCTTCTAGGTCTCGAGGAAGAGGTGGCGGTGAGTGGAGACTACTCTGATGTAATAAATAATTCACCTAATATATATATAATGCACATAAATAATGCACCCTCTTAATCCATAAAAATGATTCTGAAACTTCGGAAGAAGAAAATAAAATATAGGACCCACTTCATTTATTCACTTAATTGCAGAGGGTTCGATGAGATGAAGACTAGAAACAGTGGTAAAAAGGTAACGCTTCTTCAGCTCAATAATTACCATGTCATTTCTTGCTTTAATCTTCTGTGCACAGTAGAAGGACAAAGTGAGGTTATGCTATGTCTAAGACTAACATAAGAGACATGACTCTTTAAACAGTTGTTCCTGAATAAATATATATACTTTTTAATACAACCCAAATGCATCACACATAAAACATTTAAAGTAAGTGCAGGGAAAACGGTGATCACGTTCAAACAAAAGGATGAAATCCTAAGGGTTGCCACATTTGTTTAAACTGCTTGTGGTTTTGTTCTGCTTCCCAATTTGATTTAAGTGCTTTCTCTACTTTTAAAAGTTCTTGAATCAGAGTTCAAGTATCAAAATAGGTCACTGCCGCAGCTCGAGGAAAAAGTCCAACACATAACACCCCATAAAACCGTGACGTTGAATTTCACTCCTGTTCTGTACAGATTAGCACTTACTAGTTCATGCGTAATTGAGAAGTGTAATTGTATTGATATTGGTCTGTAATAAAGGGTTAAAATGCCCAATAGCATAATATAAATAATTAAAACGACTTGATCTGAGTTTTTATAGAAGAGCTAACTAGCTGGTTATGAAAAAGAGCACTATGTATACCGAGTGGAGGTAAACAGATGAAAGGTTGCTTGATAAGAATATAATGATCTCATTAAAATGTGTTTAATTGCAGGTCCCAATCAAAATTGGAACCAGGGTTATGGCAACTACTGGAATCAAGGCTATGGGAATTATGGCAATTATGGTTACGGAGATCAAGGATATGGAGGATATGGAGGATATGGAGGATATGGAGGATATGGAGGCTATGGAGGCTATGGAGGCTATGATTACCCTGGTTACAACAACTATTATGGATATGGTGACTACAGCAGTAAGTGAAACTCCCTGACGAGCTTTGTTTCATGTCAACCTTTCCCATTTATTTTCCATTACTTTTGAAATGATTAAAACACCTGAAGTCAGATGTTTTACCTCATTAGTAGATCAGTCTGGTGGATATGGCAAGTCGCCGCGGCGCGGTGGTCACACCAACAGTTACAAGCCGTATTAACAGAGGGAACTCATCTTCAAGTAGGTATGTAAAGAAACAAATGCACCTCTTACTTTGAACTAAAACTAGTTTTATTTACTTTGCTGTTTGGTAACATTTTTATTCATTTCCTCTTGTAAATGTCTTTTTCTCAGCACCATCAAGTGCTTTACAGTAGTAGTAACATAGAGGCTACGCTCATGTGGCGAATTACTTTAACAGCTGGCCTTCTGCTGCCTCTTTTGCACCTTTGTCTTTCTTTTTTTTAATCTGTAAAGTTAACAGGTAAAGTACTGCTACTACAGTAAATGGATGCCAAAGTTAAGGATGTGCAAGGAAACAGAAAAGGAAGTATGTTGTCTCCTAACTCTGACATACCTTGTTTGTACCTGCCAGCGGAGCTTCCTTGCAGGCCATGAGCTGACCCCAGATACTCTCAGGGCCCGCTCAATGCGGACCGGGTACGAGAAGCATACGCTCTCGAATGCTGCCATTTGGTATGGTCTTACAACATCCTGTATCAGCATTTCTAAACTAAACAATATGGGACACGTCCAGCTTTGTCATCTTTCTTTCCATTTTGTATTTCTTTGCAACTGTTTGTAATGTAAAACTTAAAATATACACATGTAATTTACTTTTTTTACAGGCCCCCCCCACAAGTAATGATTTTGTAAATATGTAAAATTAACTATTTGCTTTTTGAAGGATACGTACAGCATTCTCTGGACTTTCCAGTTCCTATTGTTAATATATGCATTCCTAATCTTATCTTTAATGCTTGTTTCTTTATTTAGCTCTTGTAGCCAGTAGTCCATGAGCTAAATCCTGGTTGGTATTTGGACGAGACTGTGTTGGGGGGATAAAGTTCTTAACTTTGTGTACATGTATTGCTCTGTTTTGTGTTACTGACAGCGATGGAAAGAGCTCCTCTTTGGTTAATTTTCCTGTAACGACAACATTTTTCTCTTTATAACCTTTTGTAAAACAAGAAGTTTCCTGAAATTTGCATGTAATGTTTTCTGTAATGTGTATTTTTTGCCCAATCGAAGATTTCTTCCATTTAGTATTTTGACTTCTTCAATTTACTGCACTTCAGGATTTCTAGCTTATGGACTAACTTTTGTTACTGTAAAATGTTAAAGTTCTCATTTTGGTTTTTACATTGTAAACAAGGGGGATTCCTTTTTATTTATAAATGAAGCGTTTTGTGTTCATCTATAGCTGATTTGTGTTGTTTGTTTTCCGTAGGGTACAGAGTGATGAAAGGCAGCAGAGTGAAGGTTTCCAGCTGAGAGCACTAGCTGATTGTAAGGACAAAATGAAGAGCACTGACCTACAGTAACTCTCCTCATCATTTACCGGAGTATTCTTAAACGTTTGATGTTTTGCATTTATTTAGATTGCTGCAAAGTTTTAAAGTTCCCATGTGATGGCCATTTCTACTGATCATAATTCCATGGTTGAGGTCTACTAGAATAGATTTACATTGTTCAATTTTCCAAACTCACATTGGTTTCTCATACAGCATCTCTGTATAGTATGTGTATTCACTCTCTGTCCTAAACGGCTTGTTGGAGCTCCTGCCCCCCCTCCCTGTGAGCCCAGTGGCCGTCTGCGAGACAACGAGACACAGCGAAACCCAGCCCGAACACACACCGACTCAAAGCCTCGCCACGTCTCGCCGTCTCAGGGAGGAGAAATCGGCGGAGCTGCAGCTGAGAAAAGATTGTGTGTGTGTGTGAGGAAGTCTGTGGATTGGTCAATTTGGACCAATCTGCGGACTTAACATAACGGCTCCGCGGATTGGTCCATTTGGAGAAATCTCCAACGAGGCGTTCTGGGGCAGCATAGACAGGTATTTTCTGTGTTAGAGTTTTACTCGCTACAGGGTGTACTTTGAGGGTTTGTGACTCTGCAGACCGGTAATAACCGGAAAAGCATGACATGGGACCTTTTTAATAGTTTGCATTCCCCATCCCTTCTTGTTTTTGTATTTAATGTTCTCAAATAGCGTTTGTGAATTTGCCTCAGTCATTTATTACATAATCAAAATGCTTGATTGTTTGGAGCAGAACACATTATTTATATACAGTATTGTGGTAGCAAATGTTCAAATGTATCCTCTTCATCATAATCATCAGTCATATAATACATATGTTATTATAGAGTTTGACAGTCATAAACACACATTATATATACAGGTAATTGGACATAAAGATATGCGATAACAATAAAAATAATAACACTCATCTGGATTTGTTTAATCCTTTGTGAAATATTAACATTACGTCACATTTTAATGAATGTTGGAGTGTTCAAGGAAGTATTTCAGTCAAGTTTCTAGCAATTTAAACTTCTTATTTTACGGAGAGTCTTAATCAAAAAGCCTGCAGATGCTACAAAAACATGTACCCTTAAAATGTACATATTTCTTGAAATATCTGCTGAAATGAAAATAGACTTTCAAGAGTGCATTTAAATGCTGAAATGCTCAAAAGAGGTGAGCTTTATCCTCAATTGTCATTGCTTTCAGTCCTGAGCTGGTGAAGGAGAATATTGTGATTTATATAACATGTGTGGCAAAGAGGATGATGAGGACAACGATGATCAGCACAATCACCCCGATTATAACCATCATTTTAATGTTTTTCCACCAGTATTTCCGGGCAACCCGTGTGGATGTTCTTTGGAATGTGTCAGCCTGAAAGAAACCAAGAGAAAACCTTTTTAAAACACCAGTGATGGAAGAACTACCCACATCCTTTTACTTAAAGGGGAACTCCACCGATTTCCCAAAGCTAGGTCTGAATAATGGTGGCGGAGAGTAATAATGCATATTTAAAAACAACTGTATAGTGTTTTTGTCTCCCCAGATGAAGCTGCGGGAAGTCAGATATATATTGAAAACAACAAACTAGCACCTGAACCCAGACCTAACTTTTGAAGATCAAGTTGCATTGTGGGTAATAAAGGTGCCAGATGAGAAAAATTAGTGTATGGCCTAGTAAGAAAAATACATGAATTCCTGCTTTGTTCAGCACGAATATAGAAAATGGTGGAGTACTCTTTAAAGTAAAAGTACCAAAACTAGAATGTAATAGCACTTATTTACAAAAGTCATGCACTTTAAAATAAAATTACAAAAGTAGTAACAATTGTTTAATTTTGGAAATAACTCATAAAATGACAGATTTTTCTTTCACACTAATAAGGTTGGTAACCACTGTGTTTAATACATATGTTTTTTGCAGGTTAAATCTTAATATGAAAAGTAATTAAATTAGGCTACAAACTACTACTTACACTACTTACACATTGAGTAAGAGAGACAAAGAAAAAACTAAAATACAGAAATGTTTTATGGGGCCCTGGATTATTTACACAATATTATCCTGTGTATTTTTAATGAGCAATATTTCCTGTTTTTATATCACGGATATGATTGATACCGGTATATTGTTACACTTTTACTCTGGCGTGTAATGGAGAAGTAACCCTTTGAATGAAAGATATATGAAAACTAATCGTTAACATCAGGGTGGAAAGCCAACACTGAACCATCTGGATCAGATACTTACAGACGCCTGCAGATCATCAGTCTTGCCGATCAGATCATCTATTCTGTCCCCTCTCTCCAGCACTTTGCTGATGTTATCTGTCAGAATAACTTTAACCTCGTTCACCTGACTCTGAACCTGGTCCATCTTAGCAGCCGAGCCAGAGGCCGGGGGCTGAGAGCGTGTGTCAGCCTGGGGAAAAGGAGGGGAAATTATTCTATTTTTAGTCTCCAAAAAGTTCCCCTATACAACGAGCCACACTAAAAGCAAAACATAGGGGCAACAATCTATACTAGTAGGGCTGGGTGATATACAAAAAAAAGGGTTGACCATTGATGCTTTCACAATATATTTACACTGGGAATTTCGATTAACAAGCATCAGTAATGTGGAATAAAGGCAAATAGTAGAACCGCTATAACAGTCTGATACATATAGATAATAACATCACTTAATGCAGCCAGGAAAAGACAACACTTCACGACAAATCTAAGACGGTGCCTAGTCTCCTATCAGGATTTCCATTTATTTTCCATTTATTGCCCAGTTCTACTCTGCAGTCACGTTTTTAAATGACCAAACCTCACTTCCTGTTACTGAGTGAACAGGTGAGTGTGCTGTCAGGTGTTACAGGGGCCTGTGACTGTCACATGAAAAACCTAAACACTATTTTTATAAAGCAAACCTGCATAACACATTTTATTACTTGTACAGACATACGTTTAATTGATATGAAGACGAAAAACAATTAGTGATCTATGACAAATGTAAACAATATTTAACTGACCTAAAGTCATTGTATAAAAAAGGAGAACTTACCATAGCGGCCCTCTGTTTCAGTCCCAACTAACAACTACACACAAAGTAAATCCTCCACAAAGTCCTGTTATCCAGTCCTGGCAGTATAATAAACAAACGCAGATATGTTCCTCTTGTGACAGAATGAGTCACACAGTCAGAGCTGAACAAATGTCTGCTGAAGGTTGCACCTCTCCCCTGTCACTCATTAACTACCTGTCACCTCAATCAGAGTCTCATTGGCTCAACAGGAGACAGTCGCCACGCACAACTCATGATCACATCCTGAACATGCAACACTTTCATTTCCCGCTTCTCATGAACTCTGCTACTCAAGGAACAACTTTTGACAGTTAAACCGCACATTTTTCTAAACATATAATCCTGGTTTTATGCGTTTACTTACCATGAGTTGTCAGAGCGGCAGGCCGGTGTGGAGCTGTGTGTCTGGCCAAAGGGCTTTCAGCAGAGAGATATTTGCAAGGCAATAAAGGGGTGAGGTCACTGTTGCTTCACTTCCTCATCCTGTGTTGTGCAGCTTGTTTCAGCAACCAGGGAAAGTGTGTGAGTGATGTGTGTGTGAGTATGTGAATTTGCCTACTTGTTGCTGTTTTGGAGCACAAATGTAACTATCTCTGGTACTCTTTTAACAGTGACTCCACTTTATAAGATATATTCAAGAACAATAAACCATAATAAAAATCAGTACGGAAGCAGTCTTGTGTTTTAAAATTTTCGGTAATAAATCTTGCCAAGGATGGAAGAAATATTCAGATCATTTAGTTAAGGAAAAGTAGCAACACTATTCTGTTAAAATACTCCATTAAAATGGATTATTATTACTGATGTGTTAATGTGTAGCATTTCAGTGTTGGTTAGTTGAGGTTGAGCTCATTTTAATGATATTAAAATTGTATTATATAGGCTGTTTGGTAGCTTATTCTTTAACGATGTATTGCATACTGCTCCTCATATGTTTTGTGTTGGAAGGTCAGATCAATTTAGATATTGAGCAGGTCAAGAAAGGCCTTGATAGGACTTTGTTAGTACTGTGGATGTACTTCCCTGATAAAGAGCATCTGGACATGAGTCATGCAAACTGAACATTGGGAGTGTGCTGCACTTTGGCTAAATACTAAAGAAACTGGGTATATGTTTGCTTGAAGTCAAACAAAAAGATATACATTAGTCTTTAATATACTATAACCTTAAATAATCCAGGTTACTTGGACAAGCTGCGCAGTATGCGAGTAGTAAAGGACATTACATCATGCTGGCTGCACCTTTTACAAGTAATCAGAAAGTTTTCATGGACTTTGTACAGTTGAAGATATCATAAGTCGAAAGAAAATGCACAATACAAATACAGAAGATAGACACAACAACACATTCACATGTATACTGTAATACATTTCATTACAATAGACATGCAATTGTCATACTTATGAGAAGTTTATGATGATATTTTAGACTGAACAGAGGTCTTTATTCTGCTATAGGAAGCAGTTTCTCTAACTGCTGTAACAAACTGTAAATACTTACAGAAACACGTCATGGTGGCGTTTTTTCCATGTGGATAAGACAGATCAAATAGTTGAGACACTTTTCAATATATGGCAAACGCCATGAATTATGTGGTAAGTTTTCAGGCAAACTCTTAGTTTGTTTCCAATAAAAGTAAATGGGCATACAAAAATTTGAAACAAAACTATAATCTTGCCAAAACAAATATATATATATATATATATATATATACGAGTCAATTCTATCTCAAATTTGAGTTCAATTTAAGTAAGCATATATTTGTTTTTAATGTTTGTGTTAAAATCATATACAAACAATATATTCATATATCTATTTGATCCTGAAACTGACCATTCTTCATAATAGCTACTTTTACTTTTGAAAATAGAACATTATGTGTACACTGTTGTACTACATTTTTTACATAATATATCTCAGAACTTCCTTCTCCACTGACACATGTTACCAAATTAAGGATGATTTGAGGTGAATTGCTTTAAAATCAGTTTATTCTATTGATGTATTATTTTGTTTTTAAATATGTAATATATTATATTGGTGTATGTATTATAGCTATAATATTATTTACTTTGGTATATTTGTTCTATGTTGCTGTTTGTTTCTTTACTGACAAACCATTTAAATGTAAAAACATTTCATGATTATTTTTGAAAAATACAGAGAAAAAAAAGGTGGTGATTAAAACAATAAAATATGAAAATACAGTATGTGTAAATTAGCTAAATATATTTTAAATTATGAGGGGGGAAACTGTTCACCTGACCTGTTGCGCCATCTTGAGGCTGCCCGAGCTGCTGCCTGAAGGACCTTCACTTGTAAACATTCCTCCTTAAAATCACACATCCGTTAACAGGAAGCCGGAAAAGGGGAATCTGTAATTAAATGTAAGTATTAAGTAGCCTTCATATATTTATTTGTTAACCGTGTACGACTTTGATGGATGCAATGAACGACTGTTAGTGATCGTTGCCTCGGTTGTTTTCTTTAATCCGCCTGATCTAAATCCACTTTACTGCCATTCCATGTCTTTATTATCGTAACTTCCTGAGTTCATGATTGATTTGTATATCATTAGTCAGCGGACATCAGAAGAAACTTTCACCTTCGAGCTGGGGTGCCGTTAATAACGTTACATTCAACTTTCCTGACACCACGACCGACCGACCGACGACGAGCTGAAGATGAACCCGAGAGGAGCAGCCTGCAGTGGGAAGACTTTCCTGTTCACCTCCGAGTCTGTGGGAGAGGGACACTCAGGTAATTTAGACAGCCTTTACTGTATACATGTGAACCTGAGTGTATACCTGGGTGTACTTCGTATACATACAGTCTATGGTTGTAGTATACTGGGTACACAGTGTGGACATGTTCCTTGTTAAAAGTCAATGGTGAAAGAAGTACTAAATCCAGTGGTGGGTTAGGGTGGATTATTATGAATAAAACTACTTGACAGTATACAAAAAGTAAATATTTGCTCTAGTTTTACCACTTACAACATTAAAGTGATGACCACATTAATGCATCAATAATTATTACATTTATGATTTATATATTCTGAAATGGGCCATTCTGCATTCTGAATTATATTTTTGAAAGCAGCATTTTTCCATGTAATTTAGGACTGGGAATTTTACTTGCATAATATTTACATACTTTATTAGGCTGGCTTGCAGCTCTCAGTTACTGATGATGTCAGTAATAAAACACAAGTGTGTATTCAAGGCGTATGCCCCTGTTCATCTCTGACTTTGTGTTCACAGATAAAATGTGTGATCAGATCAGTGATGCTGTGCTCGATGCATACCTGAGTAAAGACCCCGACTCTAAAGTGGCTTGTGGTGAGGTTTATGTCTTATAATATTGAAATGTATCATGATGCACCCAACCCCTAATTCATAAAAATGCTTCAGACTTGTTTGTGAAAAAAAGTAAAATCATTGAAATAAACTGTGATTATTCATTGCATTGATTAATTTGTTTAACATCAGTGTTTCTGAATAGAGATTCATAAACCTCCAAGGCTACTTTGAATACTGTAAGAAGACAAAAAGTGAATATGATCCAAATCCAATAAATAAATGTGGACATTTCCTATTAAATGTTCCTTTTTTTCAATGCAAATTTTAACATTATTACATTAAATGGTAGTGTTGGTTCATTGTAGACAGGAAGCCAGTTTGGGATTAGATTAGATTAGAATACATTTACTTCTTTGATTACAGATTGGGAAATTGTTTAGTTCCGCTGTTGAATGAGAGACAAAGATCCAGAATATAGATTTGTGGTTGAAACATCACGAGAGCAGAAAAGCAAATATTTAAAAGAAGTTTCATCATTGAATAACATATAATAACACTTCTCTAAATGAGTCATGTTTTGTTTCAGAATGTGTGGCGAAGACCGGCATGATTTTGCTGGTTGGAGAAGTGACATCTAAGGCCATCGTGGATCTCGTGACAGTGGTCCGAGATACCGTGAAGAAGATTGGCTATGATGACTCTTCAAAAGGTAGGTTTCTTATTTTACAACTTGAAGTTTTTGCAGAATGTTCCCAGGGTATTTAAGTAAAGGACTCCCTACTGTGATGTGCAGGTTTTGACTATAAGACGTGCAACGTGCTGGTGGCCCTGGAGCCGCAGTGTGCCGAGATATCAGACTGTGTGTTTGAAGGCAGGGATCAGGAGGACATTGGTGCCGGGGACCAGGTTGAGTATATATATTTTAATCCTTAACTTTATCCAAACCACCATGTGGATTTAGAATTGTTTTTTGGTATTAAAATAGTTGTAAAAAGTCACTAAGGTAAAGTAGCCAGTAGTACATTTGAAATACAATAGTTTACAATGAGGTTGTCATTCAATTTAATGTGTTTTCATTGGCTACTTAATTTCTATATTTCCTTACACCACAATTAGAGTGATTAGACTGAGATGTGGATTCACACAATGATTATTTGGCTTTAGCAACTGCTTAATCTGTCCCCATAAGACAACAATTGTAATTCTCAAAGCACCTGCAAAAGGGTGAAATTCAAACCTTACTGGGCTGCCAGACAAAACGTGTGTTGATTCTCCTGTAAGTGATAAGAAAGCCTTGGACAGAGGTACATTTTAACCTGGTGGTGCTAGATGACCATTTGTAGTTTTACCTGAGTTAATATGAATGATATGATGGGGAAGGTAAAAGTCTGAATGACATTGTATGACCATCTTTACAATAGTTGCTGCAACATTTGTGTAGCTAATTCAAAACGTTAATTATCTACAAAATAATGTATGCATTGTGTTCTGGTGCATAAGCTCTCATTTAAGTTGTATTTAGTTAAGCTTAAAGATATCATTTTGACACTTTTTCCATAACTGCTCTGACTGGGTTTCCATATCTATGGATCTGCCTGTCTCCTCAGGGTTTGATGTTTGGATACGCCACAGATGAGACGGAGGAGTGCATGCCGTTAACCATCCTACTGGCTCACAAACTCAACTACAGGTTAAAGGAGCTGTCACGCAACGGAGAGTGTCCCTGGATAAAACCAGACTCCAAATCACAAGTGAGCCATCTTAAAGTCTGACAGAGGGGCAATAAAGAAATCAAATATCAGGCTGCTGGGTGTGAGGCAGCAGGGAAAGGACACATTCAGACAATCCAGGTCCCTGCTCATGTGGCTGGAAAGAAAGGCATGAAAGAACAATGACAATCTGACGAGGAGTAGCTGAAGATTGGTTGGTATTTATACTCTGAGAATGTGGGGAAAAGGAAAAGGTGAGCAGGTGGATCTAGGAATTAGTGGTAGGGCTGCGGTTGAGTACTCATTTTTGCTTAGGAAGGGTAATGGCTTGTAATGACCTGGAAGTATAAAGCGGCAGCCATGACAAGAGCTGGTCAAAATCTGTAAATGACAAGAAAAGGAGCTTTAATGCTTTCTTTACCTATCATGTAGCCTGGTGTAGTGCAGTGTCCTCTCCTAACTCTTTAAGACACATATTTTGTTAACCTCATGACATTTTCTTTTGAGATCAAGGATAAGTTCTTAGAAAAGGCATAGGCTGTTATTTTTGGTCTAATAGACTGTTGTTTTGAAATGTTGGTGTAAAGAGTTTGCTTAATTGTTTTGCCCTTGTTGCTGCAGGTCACAGTGGAGTATCGAGACAATATGGGAGCCATG